ACGAGGCTCTCGCGACTCGCATCTCCCGGATCCTACCTCAGTCCTCATTCTGGGGCATTCCATGGGAGGAGTTGTCGCAAGGGCAATGCTGGTTCAGCCAAACTATCAGGAGAACTCGATCAACACCATAATCACAATGTCAGCACCGCATGCGCGCCCCCCAGTTACGTTCGACGGCCGAATCGTGCAGATCTACGACGAGATCAACGACTATTGGCGGCGGGCTTATACCCAAAAATGGGCCAGCAACAATCCGCTGTGGCATGTCACATTGGTGTCTATTGCTGGAGGAAATCTGGACACTGTTGTCCCGTCCGACTATGCCAGCATCGAATCGCTTGTGCCCGAAACCCATGGATTCACCGTTTTCACGTCGGGCATTCCGACGGTCTGGACCAGCATGGATCACCAGGCAATTCTCTGGTGTGACCAGTTTCGACGAGTTCTGGCCCAGACTCTGTATGAAATCGTCGACGTCCACCGGGCCTCTCAGACGAAACCTCGGGCACAAAGGATGAGGGTCTTTAAGAAGCGACTCCTGACTGGTCTGGAACCGATTGCCGAGAAGACTCTGTCCCTGAATGAACCGACAATACTATTGACCCTGGATGACTCGTCCAGTACGGTAGTGCCAACCGGGGTCCGACTCGCACTGTCGCAGCTGGGTTCTGAGGCTGCGCCGAGGGCGTATCTCCTTCCCGTCCCGCCTCATGGATCACCTGAACCAAAGCGCTTCACTTTGTTGACCGATGCTCAACTTCACGCAGCCATCGACGGCAATCAGCTGCAAGTCCTCCTTTGCAGCGTCGCGGGTGTCAATTCCATTCTGCCCTCCGCAATCGATCTATCGAGGAATGGCACCACGCCGACAAAGTTAGCATGTAAGGATGCTGCGTCCGACACGGTCCTTCTTCCAGCTTCAAGAACGGATATCGAGGCCCCTTTCTACCTGGACGGACAACCCCGGATAGATCCCTTTTCATACCTACAATATGATGCTGAGCATCTCTCTGATCATCAATTTGTCGCCGTCATTGATAGAGCGACGAGCACCAGGCACGGTTTCGTCGTTGCGGAATTCAGTGATCACTCGTCCTTTCAGAAAAAGGAAGACATCGGCCTCGCCCGTCTCCTTACATTCGGGCTTTCGCTCCGACTGCCAGCTGATCGCCCCCTTGCCATGGACGTCCACATACCTGTTCTCAAATCCAGCCTGATTGCTTATGAGATGGTGATCAACAATCAGCAGTGTGCTGGGAAGCGACTCCTTTTTGCGCCGCTGATTCGCCAATACATTCAACGGCCCTACGAATCCAAGTTTTTCGTTAATGCCAGGACGACTGGGATCAGTTTCCACGGTGTTGCTCCGTTTATGCCTCCTCCGCTCACATCATCGGTGGACGATGGCCTGGCTTTCGGAGTCTGGTCTGATCCGACGTGCAGAGGCCCCCTGGAAATTGACCTTTATGTGGATGTTCTGGGGAGTCTTGGCAAGCTGTATATGCGATACCGCACAGTTTTTGCAGCCTTCCCTTTGCTCATCGTTACGCTAGTACTTCGAAAGCAGTTCAGTGTCTACGACACAACGGGCACATTCATCTCCTTCTCCGAAGGCTTGGATCTGTCTCTGCGACGGTCTATTCCGCTTTTACTTTCTTGCCTCACTCTGCTCTCCCTCTCACCTAGCAGGGTGACAACGTTCCTCGCCGCACTCGTGGATAGCAATCAGGCGAATTCGAACCTTTCTTCGGACCTCCGCTTCCATAAAAACGACCTTCTCATTGGCACCGACGACCCCTTGTTTATATACCTCGTGCCTTTTATAGGCATTGTATGTGTCGGCGTCTGTACCGTGCTTCATTACATTCTTCTTGCATTGACAAGAATTCTTGGCGTCGCATATGCCATTTTTACCGCATTGCCTGCCATCAATGGCAACAAGCCGCCGAATTCATTGCCAGTCTTTGCGCCGTCCACTCCTCGACGGAGGGTGATTTCGACCATTATTCTACTATTTCTAGTTTCGACCTTTATTCCCTACCAATTCGCCTACTTGGTCGCCTGTCTTGTGCAGATTTTGACAGTCGTTCGCGCGCTTCGCATATACGTCGTCAATCCGTCAACGGCCAATTCCAACTATTATCATTACTCGCATTCTATCCTCCTGCTGATGATGTGGGTTCTTCCGATCAATCTACCCATCTTGGCAGTCTGGGTCCGTAACCTCGCCGTCCACTGGCTCACACCATTTTCTTCCCATCACAATGTGCTGTCTATAATGCCGTTTATACTCCTCGTGGAGAACTTGACAACAGGGAAGATGGTTCCACAGGTAACTTGCGGATTCCGCCACATCACGAGCGGGCTTCTTTTTGGCACGGCGCTCTGTGCTGCAATCTATGGCGTTTCACGGGCATACATGCTTCATTACTTGGTTAATGTGGTGGCCGGATGGCTCGTCATCCTTCACTCTTCCACGGAGCCATGGTCGTTGATGAATTTCGGTATGTTTTTGGAAGGGGATGCGATTGAGTTGGAAGAAAAGCAGTAAGTCGCACTGAATAATGGTATAGATGTTCATATAATAAGCGTTACTTTTTGGTTACCACCGCTTTATACCTTATAGTTAATACCCACAACATAGATAATTGTAACATGACAATATATATAAGATGTTAATTTTCTCATTCTGTCAATCATGTATGGTTTAGAGGACTGTATATACCTTATTGTAAGAGATGGGTGGTTGTCTTGAGAGAGACGTTCTGCCTTTGTCACTGTATGTCTACCTGTTTGCACTTCGGCACTTGGCCTAAATCGGATACTAAGCCATTACATCATACCTTACCGCATGTAGTATTATCCACGGTCCTCGGTACGAGGTACTCGTACGCGTTTACACTCCCGACCTCATCAGCCTCTCTCTCTTCAATGCCCAACCGCACAGCCTCGTGGCTGCGCTGGATACTCGGAATGGGCGAGCGTCGAAAACTAGGAGATGTCGCTCTGGACATTGTCCTCTTCGCTGGCATGGTAAACAGATCCCCTTCATCCATAACTGCCGTTGTGCTGACGTCGTCTCGCCAGATGACAGCTGGTCTCTACGTTGCTCGCACGTTCCTGAACCCGATCCTGAGCAATCTGGTAGATCCCGATAAAGAGAAGCACGAACAAGCGAAGCGACAGGCGAAAGCTCATCTCGACCGCCTAAGTCGGCGGCGCCATATCGATGGCATTGGCGATAACGGGGCCGACGGGGCTCGAGGTGGCCGGCGAGTCGAGGAGCTGGTGCTGAACGAATATGAGAACCTGATAGCGCTCGAAATGGTTGCACCGGATGATATTCACGTCGGCTTTGATGGTAAGTTTTGGCATTCAGATTTCCGCCATGGGGGTCGCCGCCGCTAATTGGACGTGAATCTCGAATCAGACATCGGAGGCCTGGACAGAATCATTGAAGAACTCAAAGAATCCGTCATATATCCATTAACGATGCCACATCTCTATCAACATGCCGCTTCGCTGTTGTCAGCACCATCCGGAGTTCTGCTGTACGGCCCGCCTGGCTGCGGCAAGACAATGCTGGCCAAGGCTCTGGCCAAGGAGAGCGGCGCATCGTTCATCAACCTCCATATATCAACGCTCACGGAGAAGTGGTACGGCGATTCCAACAAGATAGTTCGGGCTGTCTTCTCGCTGGCTCGCAAGATGCAGCCTGCCATTGTTTTCATCGATGAGATCGACGCCGTTTTGGGCACGCGGCGGAGTGGCGAGCACGAGGCCAGCGGTATGGTAAAAGCCGAGTAAGTACTCTCTGACAGCCCGGGTGACGTTGAAACTTGCATCATGGTGCAAATGAGTATTGACGCGATAAAAGGTTCATGACCCTGTGGGACGGATTGACATCGAGCAACTCATCCGGCGTCCCAGCGCAGATAGTCGTGCTCGGCGCCACCAACCGCATCCACGACATTGACGAAGCGATCCTCCGACGGATGCCCAAAAAGTTTCCCATAACCCTGCCGAACCTAGAGCAAAGACGACGAATCCTGCAACTGATTCTCAAGGACGCCAAGGTGGATGCCGAGCACTTTGACCTGGATCACGTCGCCAAAATCACGGCCGGCATGTCGGGGAGCGATATCAAAGAGGCTTGCCGCGATGCTGCCATGGCGCCCGTGCGAGAGTACATGCGCCAGCATGGCCGCGACGGCTCCAAAAGGCCAGTTGACCCAGCGCAGTTCCGCGGGATCAGGACGGATGACTTTCTCAAACACCCAGGGGACCAGTATCTGCTAGAAGTGCTGCAACAGCGCCAGAAGGGACCCAACCAAGCACCGGCGAATGATGCGTACGCAGAGATCGATGAAACATTCATCGAGCCCCAGGATTAGTCCTTGACGTCTACGCAGCTGCCCACCTATGCCTACCACGTTTTGCATGGCTTGGAGCAACAACTCTCCTTTTTTTTCGTTTTTCTGTTGTCTTTTGGGGTTCTGTCTTTTCAGGTGTAGTGTTTCTTGTCGGTTAGCGTATTCGTCACGGAACTCCGGTCATCATTTCACGACAATCCCCACGACAGCACCTTTGATGTTGAGTAAACAGTGATATAGCGTCCTCGTGGATCTTGTGGGATATACAATATAAATTGGGTCTAATACATTTGTCGCTGAGAGGTTGTACACGGGCTGCCAAGGCAAGTGCTGACGTGAAAGGGCTGATAGGCCAAGTATATATGACCGTACAGACCATGAAAACATGTAGAATAATGGGGCATAAAGCCAGGAATCTTGGTTTTACTATAAGTTCTCTTCTCATAAACCCGCTCAAATGTTTAAAAAAAAAACAGCGTGCCCTCTTACACTCGGACGCTCAACTCGACTGGTCTCTCGTACACTTTTTGTCGGTCCAACCACGCCGTCTGTTTGCTGACCGTCACATTCTGGGAAATGCTGAGAGATAGTTTCTGGCTACCCAAAGCACTGCCGTGAGACGCTCATCTACCCCAAAGGCATGTCTAAATTGATGCTGCTCATGTCCCCATTGATGCCGAAGAATTGAAACCTGTCGGTCATTGGTTAGCGGCAAATATCAGTCTCAGTCTCACACACATGGACTCACCAATCTTCCACGTTCAGCGTCGTCGGCGCAGGCTGTCCCTGCGCAGAGCTCGTGCCCCAGCTGTCGGGACTGTTGCTGTCTTGCAGTCCTCCGTCGAAGCCAGACTGCCACAGGCTGGATTGTTGTCCCTGGAAGCCAGACATGGGCACCATGCCTGCAGCGCCCTGTGAGGCGTTTTGGCCGGAGCCTCTGTACTGGTTGGTCTGTATGCCTGTCGCCACACCGCCCCCGGGCATTTGATTCAAGGCGTTTTGATCCAGAGTCTGGTGTGTCTGTGTGGGCGACAGATTGGGGAACGCCGACAGGCTTGAGCTTTCGGGGAAGAGCTGGTCGGGCTGGAAATTCTCCCACAGAGCTTGTGAGATGTTTGGCGAGTTGCGGGTGACCAGGTACAAATCGGGAGGGGTGGCAGGGAGAGAAAACGAAGGGTTGAACGGCGTCGCGGGCCTTGTCTGGGGCCGCGAGTTGGTTCCGCCCATGAAGGTATCTGCGCCGGTATGGCGAACGGTTGGAGACGCTGCTGACGAGCGTTGACCGGGATTGCCCGTATTTTCGCTCCTGGTAGCGCTAGGGGTCTGCGGCCGTGATCGTTCGTATGATTCCTGCGGCGTCGGGGTGTTGCTCATGAAATCCATTGCCATGTCGTCGTATTTCCGCTTAGCCGAGTCGTGCCTGTTGTTGTTGAGCTGCTCCAGCTGGGCAACGGTTTGCTGCATCTTCCGATGCCGCTTGCCTCCCGCTTTCTGCAGCCGCTCTTCGAGCACCTTGTTGCCAAGAATGGACTCAAACAGGGTGTAGACCATCTTGCCCACAAGCCAGACGCGAGAGACCTCCTTCATTGCCTGCATGCAGCTGCGCAGCCTATCTTGCGTCACCTGCTGGATGGAGGGCACAGGGGAGCGCATTTGGTAGACATGCATAATGAGGGCGGAGAAGAGGCTATATACGATAAAGGCCGGGCAGTATCGAAGCTGGTTGTGTGCTGCCAGATTCTCAACAATGGACGTGATCATGGCCGCCGCTTGGAAGGCAATGTTTCTTGACGGATAGGGAGTGTCGTTGGGGAAGCGAGGCGAGCCACTCGGCGGCATATGTGCCCGGTGCAAGAGACACAGGGTCGTGTAGTAGTTGGAGTGAAGGAGCGCAGACCAGAAATGATGGCGCGGCATCTCCCAGTATACAATCTTGGGGCAGTTCTGCAGCCAATCGGCCAAGGCCATGTCGCTGTGCGTCAGGTCAATGGCGTTCCGCTGCCTTCCCTTGGAGGCAACCGAGTACTGCTGCGACAGAACCAGCCCCATGATCTCGCACAGCTTGACGTATTGCAGGAAGAACTGCACATGGATAGGGTCCGGCGGGTACTCGCTGCCTCGGTCACCCTCGTCCTCGATGAAGTCATCCTCAGTCAGCATCTCGACGTCCGAGTCGTCAAGGTTGATGTGGACCGGACGGCCAAGGGCAACGGCCACTGATCGATCGCGCGTGAACAGCGTCCACCAGATGCGCTTCCAGAGCCGCTTGTCAGACTTGCTCAGCTGCGACCGCTCGACAGACCTATGCATGCCCGAGCCCTGAGCAACAATGGTGGCGACACGGCTCCAGTAGAAGACATTCTTGGTGACATCCTCAGGCCCCTCCCAGTACCATCCCATCAGCAGGAGGGACTGCACAATGGTGACGCGGTCGTCCTCGTAGTTGGCGTCGTACAGAGCCTTGGCCCGTTTGTAAAAGGTCAGGGCAGCCGGAGTAGTCGAGCCATTGGCGTCCATGAGCTGCGCGTTTTGGCAGACTCTGGAACCGGCCAGGAGGACAGCCTGGAGGAGCAGCAGCGACGGCGGATTCTTGGGATCCCGATACTGTCTCATAAAGCGTGTGCGATTGATAACAGGGACAATGGGATGAACCCATTGGAAATAAGCATCGATCAACTCATCGCAGAGCGATCGCGGAGGCAGTAGAAAGGCCCCCCGCTGGTGCAGTATATCGATCTCGACGTTATCAAGCTCGGTCAGCCTGGCTCGCGAGCCCCTCACATTCTCGGGCAACGGGTAGTGAACGACGTCCGCAGAGCCCTGACGGTCGTGGACGAGGAGGGTGAGATTCGATGATTCGCCGAGGTACGCAACACGGCCGGCCTCGGTGATGGGGGCACGCGTGAACTTTGGCTTCATGACCAGGTTGAGATAGGTGCCATTGTCGACCTCCTCCTTCCTGGCCTGGGCCTCTGTAAGAGACGTGGGAGGCGTCCCGTCAGCAGTATGTGACACCGTCGGAGCCGAAGCTCTGGGCGAGTACGGGGTAGCGGTGCTGCTTTGAGGCGTCTGCCGCGACGGCTCATCGGTATTGTCGCCGCGATCGCTGCACAGAGAGACGGGCATGCGCACCGGTCAGCATGGAGAGAGCGGAACACAGGACTTGTGGCAGAGCTCGACATGGACACGCACCTGTCGGAATCTTTGTTTGCTTGCGCCCCAGTGGCCTGGGTCTTCTTGCGCTTGGGTCTTGGGATGCGGCATTCTATCTGAAAGGCGACGCAGTTGGTGCATGGAACCCCCAGACTGGCTGCGTCGCATCGAACCTGGACACGGCCGTACGGTTAGCATGCAACGGCACCCATGGAGAATAGCGCATGGCTCGCGACGGCGGGCAAACGTACTTTTCGAGCGTGACATGTCTGATATCGAGTGGTTAGCAGAGGTGGTTATAGGTCAAGATATGAGATGCCGGTCGCAACGTGGTCAGCGGACCCGCCGCTGGACGAGATGCCTCGGCACGTTGGAGAAGTAGTGATTATGCGACCTGCAGGATGATACACATATACATACCTCGCATGCTCGTGACGCTCGTTGCCTAGAAACATCGGGCGAGTTAGAGACGTGCATCCGCGCAGCGCTGTCACCGAATCGTGGCCCTCATACCTCCTAAAGCTCATCTGGTTGGCGGCCGCCGCGGCGCTCGCAGCAGCTGAGGGCAGAGGAGACGTCTTGGATTGCGGCTGCGCTTGCGGCTGTGATTGCTGCTGCTGCTGCTGCTGCTGCGGACTCACGCGCGACGCGCCGTCGCCAGAGGGCACTTCGCCGTCCATGGTGCGGGCGTGGTCGCTGAGGCCGCGGAATTCGGAGGAAGTCGAACGATTGCGGGAACAGAGACGGCGGGGGGGGGAACGATGGAAGGAGGAGGCAAAGCGACCTCCTCCCCGGCACGATGTCGAGATCAGTGCTCAGCTACGTCCAACGGGCGACAGACCAAGGCGATGGATCAGGGCTCGAAAGGGCGCATGCGACTCCAGGAGGCGAGGGCGATTTGCAGACGCTGTTTGTTGTACAATCGGACAAGAGGATCAAACCGGCAAGGCGAGCGCAGGCATGTTGCGGCCTTGGTTCCAACTCCGTCAGCACCTGGAGGCCACACCCCGTCTCGTCACGTCGGTACTTGCGGGCGATGCGGACGGTTCTGTTAGCCGTAACCACTGTCTCGGGCTGCGTGTTTGTATGTGTCGCCGGTTCCGAGATGGCTTCATTCGTGTGTCGGAACTGTGAAGCTGATCAGAAGCAATTCCGCAGGGAAAACGTGAAGCGCGCTGCCTCGGCCGCTTTTACCAAGCACGGCACTTCGCCCTTTGTACTAGTCAGTCAACCCGCACGGCCCAGGCACGACAGTCTACCTGCAGGTACAGCTGCTACAAGGGATCGGAATCGAAATCCGCCAGGGCACAGCGCTTTTGGCACTGGTCTAACACATGGAGAAAGAGAATGATGATAAAGGTACTTTCAGTTGTTCCAGTGCAGATTGTAATCTGACAACCTGGATATTATCCAAGAGGCGGCAGTCGCTCTCTCTCGACGTCATATTTCTACCGAGGAGTACTGTGCGTACATAAGGTAAGGTAGTAACTAAGGCGACTGCATCGTCGGTTTGAAGCTTCCAGTGTATAGTAAGGTAGGTGTATTCTCCAAGCATGCCCGCATCAACAACGATAACCAGGATAAATCTACTGCGCATCCAATGCTCCTTCATCCTCGTCTCTCAATCCTTATCTACGCGTTCCGTCAGCGCCTTTATTACTCTGGCATAAAACTTGGATGCCTGATGCCGAGGAAACGTAATTTCTTCAGTGAGGTAGTCGGGGAGGACTTCGATCAGATCGCTGTCGCGGTCGTCGTCCAGCTGCGGGCGGTATGTGAACTGCAACTCCTCGTAGCTTTCGGCTGCTTCCATGTCTTCTAGCGCAAGCTTGAAATGAAGAGCTATTAGAGCGATTAGCCTTTGGTCCCTACGCAACCGTAAAACAAGTCATAGCAACTTACTCCCGTTGCGTCCAGTCTGGATGCAATCAAAGACATCCTCCTTGTCAACACGGCGCACATCCCTGACGATGAGACCCGTCAAGTCTGCATACAAGTCTTCTCTGACCTGCGCGACCCGCTTGCTTTCCTGTTCGCTTTGGGCCGCCCGGTTCCCCGTCGTCGGTCCTTTGCTGCTCGTTTCGCCGCCTTGTCTAGCCGCTGCCAGTCTTGTGTATAGATTCTTCGTCTCGGATCGGGCGTGCGCCAGAGACTGGTTGGCGGCCGACAGCTGGGCGCGCAAATCCTCCACCTCAGTCTCGCTCTGGTCTAGCCGCGACTGCAGCTGCTCTGCTCGCTGGATGGACTTGGATTGCTCGGCCACCTCTTCCTTGAGCTGCGCAATCAATTCGTTGGCCACTGTCGCGCAAACGTTAGCGGGCAATGCTTTCTGGCGGCATCCATAGCACCTCCTGTACGCCAGGCGCCGCCTCACCTCGAGTATTCTCCTCGGCTTGCGCCTTGAGTTGTTCAAAGTTGTGCTCGGCTTGCTTCACGCCAATCTCTTGAAGCTTCTGATATCTCTTTTCTAGCTTTGCATGGCTCTTCTGTAACTGGGAAAGTTGCCGTCGGACATCGTCGCTGGTTGTACTGTGGTCTTCCAGGCCACTCATCTCTTCGTCGTCTTCGCCATTCTGTACGTCGCGGTTCTTGGATGCTTTGGGCCGCCCTCGTGCCAGCTTCGATGACTTGGACCGATCCGGAATGCTGGCTTCATCATCTACTTCGGATGCGACGCTGGAGTCGGAAGAATTTGTGCTCTCGTTCAATGCGCTTTTGATCTTCTGGGCTTGCTTCGAGGCCGTGGACGCGAACTTGGCTTTCGCGTTGGATCCGCGAGATCGGTGTCGCGTTTTCTTTGACACTTTACTTGCCGCCGCTGGCCGATCGCGCATTATTCCTGCTTTAGTCTATGGTATGCGGCCGCTCAGAAATCAGTGATTGAAGTCTCGAACCCTCGGACAGAAAACAATATTCTTTGTTTTTATTTTTTGTTTCACTTCCAAAGATTGTGAAGCTCTCGAATTAGCCAACGCGCGTCGACCGGCGCTGATATAGAAATGCTGAGTATTGCCAGTATCGGCGAATAGTAGTATCTGAAAGAGAGATTGAGCGTCCAAGCTTGCCAAGCTACCTGGAAGTTTGGGGACTGAAGCCGGGCCTTGACTGTATTATCGATAAGAGGTTAAGTCTAGTACAGGGGGGTTCTGCCAAGTCCCCAGTGTGAGGACAGTCTGGATTCACTGCCTCCGACTTTAAAGGCATCGTGGTCCCCCTCAGATCAGTCTTCACGAGGTCCTCATAAGCTTCGTCCGTAGATCCTACACGCTACCACAAGTAGTTTACAAAAAAACTATCAATCGTCGAATGTCCAATCTCAATAGGGAGAATTCGATGCATAGCTCGAATTGCATAGGTACATCTATCAATAGTTGGAAACCATGCTAACCACATACAACTACCTATACACATATGCTGAGCAACTCCAAAAGCAGGTGTAAATCAATAAGAATGCTGTGTATCAAATTCTATCCTTTTATCGCTTTATGCTAGAATCGTCGCTCGAGATACCCCCAAGGAATTGCGACGATGCTTGTGAATCAAACATATCGAGGCGTGGCGTGCCTTCGGCACCTGGCGTAGGTGTCAGCTCTATTAGGTCTCCAAAATCCTGTCCGTTCGTGTTCCTCTGCCGTGGCAAACCGCCAATCAACGGGCCCATATTCCGCTTCGACCACGCAGTTCGCAGCCACGTCTCAACTGCGGCCGCCGCCTTGTCCAAGCCATTGTTCTGATTGCTTGGTGACTCTGTATCTCCCCCCTCTTGATAAGTGCCTTCCACGATTTCAGCAGGTTCACGATCGAAGCCGAAGCGTGCCATCTCTGACCCCATTACCGACATGGACGGCAACTTGTCCATGTCAAGGCCAGGGAAGTGCTTTTTGGCCCACGAGTTGAGGTAGTCCTTGTCTGGACCGGGAGCCCGGATATTCCTGCTCAAAGGGCCTACACCACCAGCGCGTCGCATCCACGCCGGCCTCATATCCGGCGCCTCGCTGCTTCCATGACTGCGGAGGGAGTCTCGTCTTCCCAGCAGCGTTGGTCGATCGTCGGCCGCGCTCTGTCGCCTGGACATGGGCTGGTCTATTTGATCTGAGGTGGTGGAGGCGTCGAGGCTTTGCCGCGGCGTTGATGAGAAAGAAACGGTCCTGCCAGTCTTTTTCCTCCGCGGCGGGAAGTAGCCCAGTTTCTGGCGCGCCATGCGCCCGATTTCTACCGGCTCAGGCAGTGAATCTATCCTGACCCATCTGACGTGTGACCATGGCATGGCGTCCTTTTCAGCACTCTCATCTTCCGGTGCAGGCCGTTCGCCTGGTAAGTTGAAAAGAGTATCAGGTGTAGCTTGTGACGGTGTTTTGTGAGAATTGGTGGCGGCGTGGTTTTGACTGCTTGACGGGGGATCACAGGGTCGCCCTCGCACTTCGCAGGCATCGACTGGAATAACGACCCATTTTCGGACTTGGATACTGTCCCTGGACCAGAGGCCATTCGCTTTTCGGAAAGCATCCTCCTGGCACTTGTACCGCAGGATAATGCCAGCATACGTATCGCTGGGCTGTATCTTGTGGATGTACACCAGATATTCTTCTGGTTGAGAGTTCTCTGAGGGAATTTCGTCCGAGTTTCGACGCTTGTGGTATCTCGAGTAATCCAGCGCTCTGTTGTTTTCCAGGACGCTAGCCCTCTGTGCGGTCTTGAGCGCGGACTCTCGCTGGTCCGATGATCCAGCAGCCACCCGGTTCGCAGCCTTTGGGCCTTGAGAAGCGGGAGAGCTCCCTCCCTTGAAGCTCTTGCTGGCAATGCTGCCGAGGTTCGATGGTATTCGATTCCAAAGGGAGGTAGAGAATGCGTTTCCGGACTGAGCATCCGCTCGCGATCGAGACACATCACCTGGGTTCTCTGCTACCGAAAGAAGCGAGGATGCGAAGCCCTGGACGGATGACCAGCTCTGAGTCCAGGAATCACCGAGAAACTGCCCCAACCCAAGCGTCTCATCTCTTCCCTTGGTGTTCCCACCTCTCTGTGATACGTTCCCGTAGCTTCTTGTTAGGTTCTCGTCGCTGCTGTGGCCGCTGCCGTAGTTGCCATGATCGGGGTTGCGGCGGTTGCGCGACCGAACGGACGTAGCGCCCGCTGTTCCGGCAAGGGGCGCTGCAGAGGATGAGGATTGGTGCGGCGATGACACTCCAGGAGCATTGCGGTCGGCCATGGCGACCACCGGACGATGGAGGGCAGCTCACGAGTCTGCAAGTCTGGCAACGCCTTCTCACCAGTCGGCGGCAGTGGCGAGGCTCCGTGGCGGTTCGTGGCCGTGTAGCGCCGTCAAGGCCGTATCATGGGTCTGCGGAGCCCGGGGGAATCAGCAGTAATTAAACCCCAAGGCCCTCGCGAAGATCGATATCTCGGAGCCGTCTGGCCTCTCTTCCGTCATAGGGAATAGGGGAAACGAGCGTCGCTGGGCTGATACTCGGGATATACATTGGATGTCTTGTCTGCAAGAGCAATGGCAGTGGTAAGACGGCCCTGGCGGTCCCTTGGAGTGTCGCAGCTCGTGGCCACGCACGTCGTTATGCTCGGTGCTAAGATGGAGTTGGTCTGGCACGGGGGGCCCCCACCATCTGAATCCTTGAGACGGCGGAGCACGGTGCCGGTACTTTGCAGGTACATGGCCGCAGAAGTCTTAGCACGTGCATGCTCCTGGAGTTGGACTTTCAATGGCTGAGATGTACTTCACCCTGCCTGTAGACAAGTCCGTTATACTCGGTACAGTAGTAAGAAAAGACCGTTATACCGGATCTCATTGACTTTACAGATGGAGGGAAATCATACAAGTCGACCTTTGATTCGACGGGCCACCAGTTAACACTCAAACACAGTGTCGTCATCAGCTCAGACGGTCGCTTGTTCCACCTCTTGGTTGCACATCACAGTGCGGATCAAGAACAGCTGCACTTATTGCAAACGCGAGCTGGTACGTACCCTGAAGCAAAGTGGTGCTAGACCAAGCAGGGCAAAATCAATTAAGAGATCCCGCGTCGACGCGGTACAGCTCTGCAAGACGCATCCTTTTCGCGATTTGCCTGCTGCTTGCCCGTGAATCCAGCACAACTGCCCGCCATGGATTCGTTTATGCTCCAGGACGATGGCGTGCGTGATCGTATTCGTCAGGCTGAGGAGTTCTTGGTTCCCAGTATGCATGAAGCTCATCTTCCCCTCTCGTCTCGGGTCTCTGCCCTGGCTAACCTCTTGTTCAAGATGACCCTCATGCCCGAAGCTATAGATCGGACATCATTTTGATGCTCCGCAAGAACCAGCGTCGCCTCACCGTCAACATCGACCACGTCCGAGATCACAATGCCGAGTTTGCGCAGGAGATCCTCCTGAAGCCTTTCGATTATACCCTTGCCTTCAACCATGCCCTCAAAGAGATTGTGCAGACGCTGCCCCAAGCCCGGCCTGACCAGACGGCGAGGGACACCGTTTACTACTGCGCGTGGGCCGGCAACTTTGGCCTCAATGCCTGCAATCCTCGCACGCTGTCCTCGCAGCACCTGAACAACATGGTCTCTGTTGAGGGCATCGTGACCAGATGCTCCCTCATCAGGCCCAAAGTTGTGCGCAGCGTTCACTACAATGAGGCCAAGGACAAATTCCACTTTCGAGAGTACCAGGACCAGACCATGACCAACGGAGTCACTACCTCTAGCGTCTATCCGCAGGAAGATGACGAGGGGAACCCTCTCACAACAGAGTATGGGTTCTGTACATACCGGGACCATCAGACGATTTCGATCCAAGAGATGCCTGAACGGGCGCCTGCTGGCCAGCTTCCTCGAGGCGTGGATGTCATCTTGGACGATGATCTGGTTGACTCAGTGAAGCCTGGCGACAGGATCCAGCTTGTGGGAATATTCCGAACCCTGGGCAACAGAAACGCCAATCACAACAGCGCTCTGTTCAAGACTGTCGTTTTGGCTAACAATGTCGTCCTACTATCTTCCAAATCCAGTGGCGGCGTGGCTACCGCCTCCATCACCGACACGGACATCCGAAACATTAACAAGGTAGCCAAGAAGAAGGACCTCCTCGGCCTTCTCTCTCAGTCACTTGCTCCCAGCATCTACGGCCACGACTACATCAAAAAGGCCATTCTACTCATGCTTCTGGGAGGTGTGGAGAAGAACCTCGAGAACGGCACCCATCTGAGAGGAGATATCAACATCTTGATGGTTGGCGATCCTTCTACAGCCAAGTCTCAGCTCTTGCGCTTTGTGCTCAACACAGCGCCTCTGGCCATCGCCACAACAGGACGCGGCTCCTCGGGTGTCGGTTTGACGGCTGCGGTGACTACCGATAAAGAAACGGGCGAGCGGAAACTGGAGGCGGGCGCCATGGTCATGGCTGATCGCGGAGTTGTCTGCATTGATGAGTTCGACAAGATGTCAGACGTTGACCGTGTGGCCATCCACGAAGTCATGGAACAGCAGACAGTCACCATCGCCAAAGCTGGAATTCACACGTCGTTGAATGCTCGGTGCTCTGTTATTGCAGCTGCCAATCCCATCTTTGGACAGTATGATCCTCACAAGGACCCTCACAGGAATATTGCTCTTCCGGATTCGCTCTTGTCTCGATTCGATTTGCTCTTCGTTGTTACCGATGATATTGAGGACGCCAGGGATAGACAGGTGTCCGAACATGTGCTGCGCATGCACAGGTATCGCCAGGCAGGCACCGAAGAGGGCGCGCCCGTTCGGGAGCAAACCTCCCAATCGCTCGGAGTGTCCGCAAACACGCAGAACGGCTCTCAGCGCCCCACGGAGGTTTACGAAAAGTACGACGCAATGCTGCATGCAGGTGTTACCCGAACATCAGGCCGGGGAGCCAGCAAGAAGACGGAGATCCTCAGCATAGCATTTATGAAGAAGTATATTCAATATGCTAAGCGGATCAAGCCGGTCCTTACGCAAGAAGCCTCAGACCGCATCGCCGACATCTACGTCGGTCTGCGGAACGACGAGATTGAGGGAAACCAAAGGCGGACGAGCCCGCTCACAGTCCGTACTCTGGAGACCCTCATCCGATTGGCTACTGCTCACGCAAAGTCACGCTTGTCATCTCGAGTAGAGGAGCGAGACGCCATTGCTGCTGAGAGTATCTTGCGATTCGCTTTGTTCAAGGAAATTGTCGAGGACAGCTCACGGAGAAAGCGCAGGCGCACACAAGCCGCTGGGCTGGTCTCGTCTAGCGATGAGAGCGGCGAAGATGATAGCGACGACGAAGGCGACGAGGGAAGCCAGCAAACTAGCCTGCCCAACGGCAGCAGCTCTCGACAATCAACCTCACGCATGCAGACCAGGAGTTCACGGACGAATGGAACTAACGGGTCTACAAGCCACAGCTCAAGCCGCCAAACCCGGGCAATGGAAGCAGATATGACGCTGGACAGCAGCTCTCATCCATCTCACGACATGGTGGACACGCAGAGCTCCTTTGCATCAACATTACCGGCGTCGCAGGTCTTGTCTCAAACCCCTGGAGAGGGCGAGGATGATGGCCTGGCCGGCGCGGCCAGCAATCTGGAGATTGAGGAGACTGTTCTCACCCCTGAGCGACTATCGGCTTTCAGGACAAATCTCGGCCAGCTGCTCAACACCAGCGTGTTCGAGGACGATTCGGCGCCTCTTGACGCGGTCATCCAAGCCGTCAATGAGAGGATTGGTGGCCGCGAAGGGGGGGCTTTCAGCAGACCGGAAGCTATCCAGGCGCTGAAGAAGTTGGAGGAGGCAAACCACATCATGTGAGTTTACATGCGGAAATCTTTTTTTCGTGACAATGATCTCTGTGCTAACCAGTGACGCAACAACTAGGTTTGGCGATGGCGATGTTATCTACAAGATTTAAAATCTAGAACGACTAAAAGACATCTGCTGGCAGCTAAGGGTAGAATCAGGGAACTGCGGGAGCTGGAGAATGATACCTAACTATTTGAGTACGAAGGCTTCGTATATGGAACGGTAACGTCAGGGATACTAAGGTATTACAAGGATACTACTACTACAAGGTGAACCTCGGGGCTGAATGACTTTATGAGCCACAAAGTTGTTGGGAATTAGAAGAAGTAGAAGAATTAAAACGACGACATCTATGCGATATGAAATTTCAAAGTCTTGCCTCAAACTCATGCAGTCGGTCTAGCACAACGCTTCCATTCCAAGTCTCCGTTTTATCTTGTTCTCGTTCCAGTGTCGGCATGCCCACCTGTTGTACGGCAAAACTGGCCGCGACAGTTCCCCAAACGGCGGCCTCCTCGTAGCTCTTCCCCCGAGCCAAGGCAACAGCCATGCCGCCGAGAAATGTGTTGCCGCCGCCTGTAGGGTCGACGACCTCTTTGCTGTCTTTGAAGTAGGCGGGGATCCATCGTTCGACGCCGGGGTCGACCTCGATCTCGTCGCGAACGACCAGCCCGTCCTCGTCGCGGATGAGATCGGCCAGCAGAGCCGTCATGTCGATGTCGGGTCGCAGTCCGCCTCTTGTGTAGTTCTTTTTTCGAGTCGACCTGGAGCCCTGGTTAGGTCGACGTTTCCTGCCGCCATTCTTGACGACGTAGCAGCCCTTGTGAGCAGCTCGCACAACGATGGCAAAGGACTGCAGGGGCATGCTGTCCAGAAGCTGCTCGCAAGCACGCTCAATCGCCCTCGTGGAAATGTCTCCGGTCACCGGGTCCAGGCCATCGTCGCCCATGAAGCCGGCAAGCTCGCTGTGGTTCGGGCTGCAGACGTCCACCAGGGGCAGCGTGTTGGTGAGGTTGAGCAGCTCATCGGGGGTGCACAGGTCGGGCACAGGCTCCCACACGAAGATGGGTTTGGTATATGTCTCGGGCGGGGACACTTCCTTGCGGCGCGCGATGATGCTTGTCACCAGTTCCTGGCAGCGGGACGGAGAGCAGATGAGGTGGAACGACTTGGACTGCAGCAGGTTGGGCGGCAGATCGTCCGTCGTGATGCGTTTCTTGGGCGTCAGGTACTTGAACTCGCGCTTGTCGCCCGCGCCGCCGTAGCCGTTCCATCCTCGCGTCGTCAGCCGGTCGGCATCATGGCGTATCACGGCACCGGTGCCCCAGCTGTCGACCAGCTCCGTGACCGAAGGCGGGAAGTCGGAGCCCTGGTCGACAATCCACCCCACCGTCGACGAGAGCGGCGGGGGCGAGAAGAGGCGGGCGCCGAGCGCGGCGTAGGAGCCGGCGCCGCCCAGGACGTTCTTGCGGGAGGGCGTTGGAGGAGCGAAATCGATATCATCTTGACGACAACAAGCGCGTTTGGACACGGTCGGTCAGCCCCAATGGCTGTTAGGAGGCTAACAGGGCCGGTAGCGGGGACGCCTCACCGAGTATGAGCATGCCAAAGGTCACAAAGTCGATGTCGGCATGATGCTCCAGTTGCTGCTCGGACTCCTCTGGGGGATCCGAGTCTTTGCGAGAGCCCATGGCCGGCTTGGTGAGGACGAGGTTTGAAGGAGTTGAAGATGGATTTTCTGGCTCGGCGACGGGCGAGAATCACGGCAAGAGGTGATCTGATGTGCCTGCAGGCAGCTTATCGCGGTACATTGGTGCAAGGTACGGGGTACTGGACGAGCTAACACAGCCCGAGTAGTGAATCATGGCAGAATACCTTGATGGCGTCGAATTCCTGCGTCGCTGATACGTCCGGGGTAAATTGGTCCCGGTACCTTATCTCCTCTATCTGATAAGCTTATGAGCCGCCATGACACTTGAAATGTTTCATGGCAAGCATGAATCGAGTGTCGACAATGTCATAACTGAAGATACTTTGTGTAATCAGCAGCTGGGGCACTAATTGGTTGTAACTGTTGCTATGAATTGGTTTTGGGGCTTCAATTGCTCCCAGATGCCGCCTGGACGCCGCCAGAGTGTCGAGCAACTACTACAGACACACACAAGAACTTGGAAGAGCCAGATATGCAAGTCACTATTACATATGTTGCGTTCCGTGACCAGAAAAGTAAAAAGGTATTGACTTTATTCAAAATGGGCGCAGTGAAGAAAGAGTCTATGGGAAGCGCCACTGGTATATGTGTATGTAGTATAGCAGTATACAAACCAAACAATTCTCGGATTACAGCTTGGCCTTGGGCGGCTCCAGTGTAGGAGTCAGCAGATCGCGCATCTCGTTCGCTGCCTCGTTGAGGTAGTAGCTCATCCGGTCACTTCCAAGTCCCTTGGACACGACGTTGAAGTTGATGCTGCAATGGTTGTTAGCGGAAGTTCTGCCAAGGGGTTATACAAAAGTCAGTCTCTTTTCTTACCTGTTCTCATTGATCATGTAGGCAATGCCAAACCCATCGTCAATGACCTGACTCCAGCCGTAGCCGTTGAAGAACTCTGAGCTGAGCTGCGACGTTGACAGATACCATGACGAGGAGTAGGTGTATGCGGGATCCTTGTAGATGGCCGGAAGCTCCTGGCCGGGCTCGAGGAGCTTCTTGAGGCCAAAGAGGTGTCTATCAACGCCCTTTCCGTCGGACGCGGCCGAGATGTACTCGAGGTGAGCCGCAATGGCCTTCCGGAAGAGGTCAATCTTTGTCTTGTCGTCAATCGACGGGTCTGCCATGGACTTGCACCAGGCCACTGATTCGTCAGAAACGCTGCGGCACGTCTCGGTGCGACCCTGCTGGAAGCGCCGGGTGGCAGCCGATTCATACGTCGGGCGGTTCTTGCCGTACATCTTGGCGTAGGCAAGCTGGATAATCATCTGCACATATGCATCTGGCGAGCACTTGAACTTCTTGATGAGACCCTTGCCGTAGGCCTGGTACGCTTGGACAGCAAGCTGATGCTTCCCAATGACGCTGTTGAAGTCGGCAACGGCGCGATCAATCTCGCTCTGAATCTTGGGCGTGATGTCAAACTTGATAGGCTGGGGGTCAGGCAGGCTGGATCGGATGCTGGGATCTGAGAAATCAATCTTGTTTCCAAAGATGAGATCATTGATGTAGTCGTTCAGACGATGTGTGGGCGTGCCGTCCATCATGGAGTGCTCGCCCATAAAGCCCGACGTGCCGTTGTCGTTGATGATAAATTGGAGAGGCTTGTCGTACCAGCGATTGGCGCCATCGCCATGCCAGTACTGGTGAGCACGCTCCTCCAGAGTGACGGGAGACGCATCGTCGAGGCAGACGACGAACGAGGCAGACTCAATAGTCTCCAGAGCCTCCTTGTTCTTGGGGCTAGCTGAGACCAGCAGCTCACGCGCATCCGCCCAAATGTCGCGGTTCTCCGAGGTCAGGGCTCCCACAGGAGACACTCGCTCCGCAACCTGATAGATGCGGTTGAACTGCTGTTCGAGCTCCGACGTGTTCAGCTGCTTGCCAGCAATCTCGTGAGGGACCTTGAAGAACTGGTTCTTGCGAATGGCAACAAAGTGCTTGTTCTCGGCCGGGGAGAACTTGACGGGATAATCCGCGGGGCGGGCTGCAACGCGGCTCGCATTGAACATCCACTTGTAGCTGTCCATGCAGATGGGCAGCCCTTTCATGTATTCCGGCTCGAGGTTGCCGCTGTCAACGAGCTTCTTGAACTCAAGGACGCTGCTGGTGATGGCCGCGGCTCGCTTAGCAGGGTTGCGTCGTTTGGGATCGTCCCTGTGCGAGTAGAAGTAGCTGACGTATGGCACTACCGGATCGCGATAACTCAGGTATGCAGCGTCATTCCACCAATCATACATCCAGTTCTTGATCTTGGGATCCTTGCTCCTCTCGATGAGCTTTTCTTGAAGCTTGCTGCCGACTCCGCCCGGCTTGATGAACTCGGACACGGCCGCTTTACTATGCTCAAGCTCGCTGTCAGAGATGATAGGGTGCAGGCTCTTGAGATATCGCTTGGCGGTCTCCTCGAGTGTCGGAACTGGAAGGCGGGGGAGCGAGTCTTGGAATCTGAGCATCGGGCCCTTCGACTTGTCCTCAACATAGCCTGATGCAGAGGAATAGCGGTATTAGCTCAGGTAACGTCTCAGGAGAACAGCAGAAAGCCTAGCTGCTGGGTCGATAAAGCAATTGAAGCGAAGCATCGTTTCGCCCAGGTTTGAATTAAGAACATACCGGGAGGGAGCGAGCTGCTGTTGCGTTTGGGTGGCGCCATGGCGATGCGATGGGTCTGCCGTCAGCAGGCGTGTAAGTCAGCAGCAAATCCAAGAGACAACGGCACAGAGCAACGAGTATCGTACAGAAGAGAGCGCAACCCGTCGGAAGGTGTTTGTCGGTCTTTGGGAGCGAATTGCTGACAACATGGCAAACTAGAGGGAGGCAAAGGGGGTTGGCCGAGTCGAGGCTTCGGAGTTGTTTATATCGGCTGCTGGAGATCCGCTCAGATACCGCGGCTCATGGGGAACGGGACTGGTGCGGGAGGCGACTCGATGCTACCGCATTCGCGCGCGGACAGGGCCAACAATAGTGGTGAACAAGAGTCAGGTTTATCCGGTCCAACCTGCGTAGAGAGAAGTGGAACAGCCTTCTTCGCCAGTCGATAATGGGGGGAGCGCCGAGGACATAAAGGAAATGGAAGCGCCCAGAAAACCACAGAGAGCAATGCGGCTTCACAAGTGCGAACAGATTGTCTGGAGCGACGTGCCAGACCGCGGCACATGCCAAATGCGAGAAATAACGCTTGGCTGGCCGACGCTTACCGCTCTCGGACCTTCGGCTCCACTGGACCCCGGATGTAACGAGCCGAGGTTGTTTTCTTTTGCTGCGTCAATACAACTAGTCTACCGACCACAACGAGGGGGAGGTACTGGTGGGCGCTATCGATAAACGCTACGGGGCAAGGGATTGACGGCCCAAGCTGAGCCACTGCCCTAGGAGCAACGGAAACCTCCGTACGTCCTTTGTTTCAAAGGCGGTGGTGCATCTTGGCTTCTGATTGGGGTCAAGATCAGGGGCTGCCGTCATCACGAGCCGCTGTGCAGGTGACGGAAATACTGCCGGCAGTAATCGACGAGCACCAGTGCTGACCGCCTACCATGATGGGACGAAGATTCCGTCAGTCCGCACAAACAAATGATCACCTACTTGACACACGATATTTTAAGACGAGACCAGAATTTCTTCCTTCGTCCGAGCACGCCGGCGGTCGTCCATGCCAGACCATTATCTCCACGATATGAGCGCCATCCAGTGCTTCCGTAGACTGTGGGGAGGTATGGCGTCGGCATTAGAGCACGGTGGGGAATCTGGGGAGCAGTCGGACCAAGGCTATCGGTAGCGGGTTTCCAGACGTCGCCAATGGGAACTGATGTAAATAGGAAAAGCGATTGCCTTTGTGTCTCTGGGCAGTCGAGGCAGTCGAGGCAGTCTGGCCTCGTCACAAGATCATGATTAAATTCCCAACGCGCCAGGCAAGCTTCCACTTGCCGTGGTCAATCATGAACTGAACCGCCCCCCAAAATTGGCCCAAGCTGCAGCCAGACGCGAGCAAGCATGATGCAGAATTGCATGGAAGGACTGGCCCTTGCAGTCAAAGGACGAAGCATTCATCCGAGGGTTCCTCCGCCATATGGACGTCGTTCGCAATACTGAAAGTAGGGTATGCACATAATTATCATCAGAGCATTGCTATATGCTATGCTCGTGTCGAAGCCGTGGACGATGTCTGCCGGAGGAAACATGCGGAAACTCGTCTGTGAGTTGAGACCGAGCATCTGGGAGATCAGAGTCTCGGCCCAGAAGCCAGGCATAGCGACATAGCTCAGGGCGTAGAAGATGTGCCTCAAAGTCAGTATCCGCAAGATCAAGATGCGTACAAAGTCCAAAATACCTACGTTGTGATGGAAGCCTCTTATCGATTAAGAGAACGATTACGCCACAAAAGATTACATGCCGCGTGCAGAAGCGGCCGGCCCGATCTGGCCTAGTGGATGCGTGCAAGTTGGGGGTCCTGCGGACTTGGGCTTATCATCATCGCGGCGCCTCATCCATACAGATCACTTCTCTCAAGAGCATCTCGATAGCAAACTGTCGGACGGCACGACAGCATCCCCCCAGTCTTATACACATCGCGCTGTAGCTCATCATGCCTTATCTTCCTTGATTTACTTCTCGCCTTAGGTATTGCAACATTCTTCATATTTTTGCCTATTCCGAATCCTTGCTCAGGGGCGCTGCGAAGCAGTCTCATGACCCAACTTCTCGCGCCCTTGTTGCGCGTTTGCTTCCCAAGACACGGAGACCATCGCTGCCTTAGACAAGCAAGGTGCCGATCAGTGCAAAACCAAAGACTGACCTTCTAGGGGCTCGATCTCTTGTCTTTCAGCTCATAGCATCTCTCCCGATCCTCCGCATCCGAAAGATCTCAGTATGCACCCACAAGACAAAGACGCTCACCGTGGGCGGCTAATCGCCACGGTCGCTGCAACTGTCATCTCCCTGGCTTGCGGCACAAACGTGAGACACCACTATTACCCACCGTCCTTCTCGCCATCTGCGGCATCATCGCACAGTGCAATGACCTGGTCCTGCCGGCTGCTCCGTGTCCTCGAGGCGGGAGATTGAATCTCGGTCCATCTCCTTTGCCTGTTTATTGTTCCTCACATGCCGTAAAAGCGAAAATATTATGAGAAAGCGTCAACTGACTCCGAGATCGCAACGCAGTATGTCTATTCCGCATGGGCGCCCCAGTTCGCTGAGAGACTCCGGCTCTCTACCACGGAGAGCAACTTGATCGGCCTCTTCGGCAACCTGGGCATGTACACGCTGGGCATCCCCATCGGCATGTTTGTGGATGACCGTGGATCAAGACCTGCTGTTCTTGCCGGCGCCTTTCTCCTGGCTATCGGCTATGCCCCCCTCTGCATTTCCTTTGAGAAAGCCGCGGGCTCTGTCCCTGTGCTCTGCTTCTTCTCCTACCTGACTGGCTTGGGCGGCTGCATGGCCTTTGCAGGAGCAGTCAAGACATCTGCGCTCAACTGGCCAACCCATCGAGGCACGGCCACGGCCTTCCCGCTGGCTGCTTTTGGTCTCAGCGCCTTTTTCTTCTCCTTCGTCGGAGCCGTCTTCTTCCCCGGGAGCACCAGCTCCTTTTTGATGCTGCTGGCATGGGGCGCCTTTGGTCTTACTTTCTCGGGCTACTTCTTCTTGAAGGTCTACCCTCATGACTCCTACCAGGAGGTGCCCAGTCACGCATCGGAGTCACAAACACCCGCTCGACAGAGGGCGCGCAGCATAACCGAACCCGGTACGTCGTCCAACCCCGATGCCGTTCACCCAAGTCCAGGCACATCACCCCAGGCCTCTCCAGCATCCGACGCCAGTCGCGCCGCTATCTTCAGTGACACCGAAGCTGGTGATGATACCCAGATCAACGAGACATTGCCCTTGATCCCCGATGTTGTCACCGCCGACATAGTTGGGGGCAGTAGTGTTGATCAAGACGTGTCTCATCGAGTAGATATACGAGGATGGAAGCTCCTGTTCTGCCTGGACTTTTGGCAGCTATTCGCCATCATGGCAATCCTCGCTGGAACTGGCCTCATGACTATCAAGTATGTCCTCTGGCGCGCCCAGCCACTTGTGATGATCAAGCTAACGTTCAGTCAAGTAATATTGGAAATGATGCCAATGCTCTCTGGAGACATTACGACAGCTCGGTCGACGAGCCGTTCCTGGTCAGCCATCAGCAAATCCACGTGTCCATTCTCTCCGTCTTCAACTTCGTAGGACGACTGCTCAGCGGTAAGGCCACAGCAGCCACAATATGTGTCCTCTCGCCTCACAAGCAGCTTGACTGACGCATTTCACAGGCATTGGCTCGGATTATCTGGTGAAAAGGCTCCATGCCAGCCGAATTTGGTGCCTTGCCGTCGCTTGCAGCATATTTCTCCTGGCTCAAGTTTGCGCTACACAGATCGAGATGCCTCAAAAACTGGTTTTCGTTTCAGCCCTTTCCGGCTTGGCGTATGGGGGCCTTTTCGGCGTCTTCCCCTCCATCGTCGCGGAGACGTTTGGCATTCGCGGACTGAGCCAGAACTGGGGATTCATGATGCTGGCGCCCGTTGCCTCTGGGAACGTGTTCAACCTGCTGTATGGGAGGATCTACGATCACCACAGCGTCGTCGAGCCTGATGGCACGAGATCCTGCGACGACGGCATTGCATGTTACCGTACGGCTTATGCGGTTACCTCGACCGCGTGCGGTCTTGGATTGCTCATCACCCTGTATATAATCCACTACCAGAGGGTCCAGTATCTGAAAGGAAAGGACAAACTAGAGGAGGAAGACTAAATGTCTGTATATGACTGGATCGTGCCCGGTATAGAGATCAGGATATGGGTTTTGCAGACAATTACAGCAAGCCCATGATGGGTACACTCTTGGATTCATATGTTCAAGTATTAGATTCTCTACATCGATAGCAACTAGCATTTTCCAATTGGAATGCATAAGTGGACATGAATTATGCTCACTCGATCCTTGACCCGAATACAGTCTCGTCCGTCTGTAAGTCTTCGTTCTCGTACTTATAATACTGTGAGCTTGAAGCTATCTTGGCTATGCATTTAAGCGAGCCGTTTGATCGCTGGGCTGATAGTACGGATAGAGGCATTAGGTATGCATACCAAGCCGCGCCTAACCGCATACGGGCAGTTATGTCATCTCCCCATCCTTCCAGGTCACGGGTACTAACCTGTCGTCAGTTACTCCGTATCTCGACTTAAACGCATCATCTTGTTTCAGTCCTTCTTTGCACGCCAACGACATCGAGCGCTTTCATTGCGCGTCTGCGACTCTCCCCCCTTGCTCCCAGCGCATGTCTCGATCCTCCACATAATGGGCGCCCTACTTTCGCTGCCGCTTCTGGCGGTACCGAGCGTGAGCACGGTATGTTCCCATTAGCTTTGCGCCATGCCGCCCGAGTCTTGATGAACGCCTAGGGCATCATGTTTGTTGACTTTGGCTTGCTGACTTGCGCGATGTAGATAGTGTCATGCTTTGCCAGCTGCTGCGGCGCGGCGACATGCTCCATGGTCTGTAGCGCGTGCGGCAAATGCGGCAACAGGTACGAAGTCGATATGGTCTTCGCCAAGCCCTCTGATGGCTCGCTGACAGCTTCGCAGCATCGCTACGCGCATCGCCTACGCTCTCCTGCTCCTCGTCAACTCGATTCTAGCATGGATCATGCTCACGGATTGGGCCATAGAGAAACTCCAGCACCTCGCCCTTGACTACGTCAAAATCAACTGCCCCACGGGACAGTGCTATGGGTGGCTCGCCGCTCATCGAATCAACTTTGCCCTCGGGCTTCTACACCTCATCTTCGCCGGTCTTCTCTTTGGTGTCAGGTCCTCCAAAAGCCCACGAGCAGCTATACAAAATGGTTACTGGGGTCCCAAGATCATTGCTTGGCTGGCACTCATTGTCATGTCTTTCCTCATTCCAGACAAGTTCTTCATGTTCTGGGGAAACTATGTCTCTTTCGCCGCTGCCATGCTCTTCCTCATCCTGGGCCTCATTCTTCTCGTCGATCTGGCACACACCTGGGCTGAGTACTGTCTGGCGCAGATTGAGGAGACCGATTCCAGGTTCTGGCGCTTCGTCCTCGTGGGCTCAACGTTGGGCATGTACCTGGCATCGATCGCCATGACGGTGGTCCAATACATCTTTTTCGCTCAGGGGGGTTGCACCATGAATCAGGCCGCCATCACCGTCAACCTCCTTCTCTGGATCATCATATCCATTGTGTCGATCAATCCCACGGTTCAGGAATACAACCCCAAAGCTGGCTTGGCCCAGGCCGCAATGGTCGCAGTCTACTGCACCTATCTGACCATGTCAGCTGTTTCTATGGAGCCTGATGATAAGAACTGTAACCCCCTGGTGCGCGCTCAGGGAACAAGAACCACATCCGTTGTCATCGGAGCCATCGTGACAATGCTCACTGTTGCGTACACTACCACCCGTGCCGCTACCCAAAGCCTTGGACTGGGAGGCAACGGTGACGCTATTCGACTACCCGAAGATGACGAACACGATCTGGTTACGCAGCAGCCCATGGAACGCCGTGCCATGCGAGCCGAGGTCCTGCGTCGTGCTGTCGAAGAGGGTAGTCTTCCGGCTGATGCGCTTTTGTCAGACGACGAGAGCGACGACGGCAATGATCACCCTCATGATGACGAGAGATCCAGCACCCAGTACAACTACTCAATGTTCCACATAATATTCTTCCTGGCCACGGCATGGGTATCGACACTTCTTACGCTCAACTACGAAGAGGCCACTCGAGACGGCCAATTTGCCACGGTTGGCCGCACGTACGGTGCCAGCTGGGTGAAGATTGTCAGCGCTTGGATCTGCCACGGCATGTACATCTGGACACTTGTTGCGCCTATCCTTCTTCCCGATCGGTTCGATAACTAAGCTATGGGGGGCGTCGATGCAACTCCACTCAAGTATATCCCATGTCCAAGACTGCACAAGGGGCACGATGGAAGAAAGATACCATATGCCCTGAAAACAAGACGCTTGTTGGGCGATATCAGATCTGCCTTTCCAGAGCCCCCCCTAAGAGGGGAGAAGGCTGCAGCGCTTCACTGTCTGCTACATCGCAGTACTATAAATGAGCCAACTGGCAGCCCCATCAGACTGTCCGAGCCGTGGAGGGATAAAAGCATCTGTTCACCATGACTGCGTGGGAATCTTTCAAGCGACGGAGTTCAGCACATCGTATTGGATCATTAGGGAACTGTGAATTGTCATTTTCGTTTTGGTATGCGTTTATTAAATTAGATTCTGCTTATTGATGGCGATGACCCGCTGGGAGGGCGAGATGTATGCTGCATCCGTATATATAGGTAACCCGTAACGGCGCGAAATAAATTCGATTACTCCAAATCCTCAAGCCATGCTTAGTTCTTTTGCCCTTCTATAGCCCCCGCGGCCTTTGCGGCTGCGCCCTGGTTCAATCCAACAGCCTCTCTATCGCTTCCCTGATCCTGCAATTTGAGATCCTGCATCTGCTGCTTGTCCTGCTCCCACTGCGAGTTGGCATCACCAAACTCCTCTTTGATCTGCGCTTCCTTCTTCTTCCGCTCTTCTTCTTCTTTCTCGCGAGCGATTCGTTCTCGCTCCATTTCCTGCAGTGAAAGCCGTTGTTAGCAAAAGGTGACATAAACTCAACAACGATAAGGGGCCACAAGGAATTACTTACCTCCATATGCTTGATATCGTCAACACTAGGTTCATACAAATGCCAAATAGTATAATGCGGCAGTCCAACAACAGAGAATTTCATACGCTTCGCCATCTAGAGGAGATCTTTGTCAGTTCAAACTCTCCCAGCATATCTCAAGGCGCAGTATGAAAAGACTCACCTTGCCGAAACCCTCTGTTTCAGCGTGCTTCTCAAAGCTAAACGCCGGGAAATGAACGCCAGCGCGGAAGACTTTCGCCTTGGCCAAGATACTGACACCGCCGACTCCGTCGATTTCCATTTCCATATCAGGGTCGCCGTAGGGGTCGCGCAGGTAGGCAAGATGCGGCCTCCATGTGGCATACTCGGCGTAGCCTTCGACAATAACGGCGTCTTCGTCCAGAGTGTCGGCCAGCGCGAGCGCGGTTTCGGATTCCTGCCACGAGTTCAGATCGTAGGGCTGCTCACCGCCGAGCCAATCAGGAAGGGGACGCCAGACATCTAGGGGAATATTGTTTAGTATACGAAACAATATAAAAAACAACTTGGATCTGGAGTTACAGGGGCAGACATACTGGGGACAATGACGTCCTTGTTGTGTCTCATCAGATCCTCCAAAATGGTAAACGGTGCGGTTTCCACGTCCACATCACGCCAGTATACCCAAGAATGGTACGGCCGCAGAGCGGCGCTGAGAAGCCAATTGCGCGCCTGGGCCATGAGCTTTCTGCGGCTCGCCTGAGCAGCGAATCCGTGGCGGCTTTCCACGTCCTGGTTCACCTTTTGGCCGAAATCTTTCTCGATGATGGAGATTTCTCCGTACGGTTGCTTGGGGTCCGGATCGGCCTGGATGGCCTCCAGATGCTCCGTCAGGGATTGCAGCGTGTGGTCCTTGGAGTCGGAGACGAGGAACGCAAGATCGATCAGGTTGTGAGGATACGTAAAGTTCTTCAGATGGGAGAAGAACATGGGCAAGTGCTGCTCGGCATCGCGGAGAGGGACGCAGAGCAGGATACGCTCCTCACGCTCCCAGCCGCGCGCGCTGCCCTGGACGTTGGAGAGGTCATAGTATCGGACCGTTTCCAGCTTCAGGTCCTCATATCCGGAAAGGATGCCGAGCGAGATGAGGGAGGCGACAGACTTGGGCTGGCCGAACCAGAGGATGAGGACGAAAATGACGACGAGTGCTATCCCGACGCGGATCGCTGTCCTCTTGCGTTTCCTGTGGGGAGGGAGCGTGGCCCTTGGCTGGAATCTGCGGGCAAAAAAAGGCTGGGTTAGCTGGGCATGCCAATTGGCGTCAACGTCGTGCGAGGGAAGCATGGGCGCGGACGGAATATCGCACCTATGGGGGGAGATCTCGAAGGTGTCGGCACGCGGATATCCATTCGAGAAGCCGCTTGTGTGATGCCGTGGCATCATGATGTGGAAAGCGTAGGCGTTGGTGATGAAAACATCTAAGATTCCTGCTATCGGTTCGCGCTCTTGCACGCGGGCGGCTTCTACCACCTGCGTGGACTTTGGGTTTTGGAGGTGATCGCGGGCTGATGGTTGGTGGCAAAGGCAAAGGAGGCAGAGGCCCGAAGGAAATGTAACGTGTTGGAGTGGTGGCCCTCGTATTGCCTGTGATTGTCCAGCCAAAGACCCCTTGATCCTCTTTGGCGGCCAATCTACGAAAATGTGCTAGCTCGAATCTGCAACATCTCTCGCAAAAATTCACCCAGATAGGCGACGAAAATGGCACCTATTTTTAGCTTGCAATCACTGGATGCTCAAAGATTCAATAGTTGTACATGAGATATTTCATACACTGAATTATTTACAGGAAGACTGAAACTCTACAGTCATCATTTATACTCGAAAAACGAGCCTGACACGCAGATGTCACTGAAAACAGGCACAAAGTCCCGGTTACATATCTTAGGTCAGCGATTTCGATCGCTTTTGCGGCCAGCCAGCCCAGGCAATCGGGCAGACAGACATCCTATTGTAATTGTAACCCCGACAAGCTGCGGATCAATGATCTTCAGGCTTCCAAATAGCTGCCTGTCTCAGGTTCCTGTACGGCGTCTTGGGGCGCCTGCAGACGAGATTCTCCATTGTTACAGGTACCTGCTACTAATCCCCAAACAAGGGACGCACTAGCGCCACCTACGAACCCCTCCAAAGGAGTCCAGGCAAATGATTTAGGCGGTGCCGCCAACCAGCAAGCTATCACGTACTACTACTTAAGCTGCTGGGCCAGGAGTCTCGGTTCGTCACTGTCACTGCGGCCCTCAACAGCGTATCCTCTTCATGTGTTTACTTCCTCTTGTCCAACATCCACAGCAAGCTGCCGCACAGCCCTTCTGACTGCATTCGCGCATCTCACTTCCAACGTCGCCGCCATGGCCGCCCCAAGCAACATGCATAACCTTACAACCCTCATCAAACGGTACTTGGATGCCCGTCATCCCGATTCTTCTCCAGCTTTGCTGATTGCATGGCAGACTTGAAGCCGCGACCTCACGCCTCGAAGATATCGCGTCGTCCACGGAGCTTCCCAAAGATGTCCCGGGCCTTGGACAGCCTGCGACCCCCGTATCGGTATCCGAACCGGCTGCGGCACCGCCGCCCCCCGCCGTCCAAGAGCCTCAGGAGGCGCTGCCCGAGTCGATAGAGGATTTCGACACTTTTCTGAACACCACCCTTGCCAAATATGTCAAGCTCAGCAATGAGCTTGGAGGACCTGTTGCCCAGCAAGTGCGTCTTTCCCTCCTAAACACTTGGCGACGCGCCGATTCAGGAGAGCTGCTAACCTTGTTGCGCTACTATGCAGGCCGCCGAGGTTCTCAGGGGGTTCCAGGAACAGCGCAAGTTCCTGCTTATCGCTTCCAAGGCCGCGAAGCCAGCCACCTCAGGATCGAGCTTGGTCGTCTATCAGAATCTGCTGAAGCCCATCACGGAAGCGCTCATGGCCGCAACTGAGATTAAAGACAATAACCGACCCGACCCAATGTACAGCAACCTGAGCGCCGTTGCAGATGGAATCATGGTTCTGGGCTGGGTTACGATTGACCACCGGCCTTACAATCATGTCGAAGAGTCCTTGAGCGCCGCGCAATTCTTCGGAAACAGGGTTCTGAAGGAGCAAAAGGACAAGTACGTCCAGTGTGCGGGCCAGGCATGATGATCAAGCAGCTAACCATGTTGTGTGCTATAGCGACCCCAGACAGGTTGAGTGGGTGCAATCGTTCTATCAGATCTTCCATGACCTCGGCGACTACATCAAACAGCATCATCCGCAAGGAGTCGCTTGGAACCCCAGAGGAGAGCCTGCCGAGGAAGTTGCCAAGTCTCTGGATTCCAGCAAAGAATCACAGCGACCCCCTGCAATCGCCGGCTCTTCTGCTGGCGGCGCTCCCCCGCCCCCTCCCCCGCCTCCGCCACCCGGCCCGGCCCCTATCCTGGATATCGGCTCTGATTCCGCAAAGCCATCCGGGGGAGCGCCTGCTGGGGGCTTCGGGGCTGTCTTCTCCGAGCTGAATCGAGGCGAGGATGTCACCAAGGGCCTGCGTAAGGTGGACAGGTCAGAGATGACGCACAAGAACCCATCTCTGCGCGCAGGATCCACAGTCTCCGACGGCGCCAGAGCAAAGAGCCCCGTGCCCGGCAAGAAGCCCAAGCCTGAGAGCATGAGAGCCAAGAAGCCTGCCAGGAAGGTGCTCGAGGCCAACAAGTGGACTGTCGTATGTGGTGACCCGGCCCCTGGACACGGCGAGATCGTTGTGCGCTGACAAAAGAATTGCAGGAAAACTACGAGAAGGAGGCTCAGCCCGTGGAAATTGAGGCATCCATCACCCACTCCGTGCTGATCAGCCGATGCAACAACACCACCGTCATCATCAAGGGCAAGGCAAACCAAGTCACTGTCGAAAATTCCACTCGTCTGTCTCTTGTCGTTGACTCGCTGGTCTCTACCGTGGACGTGGTCAAGGCAAACAACTTTGCGCTTCAGGTCCTCGGCACGGTGCCCACTGTCATGCTCGACCAGGTCGACAGCGCGCAGGTTTATCTCAGCAAAGAGAGCTCAACCACCAAGCTGTTCACTAGCAAGAGTGACGGTATCAACTTGAACATCTTGGCCGGACCCGACGACGACTACAAGGAGGTGCCGCTGCCTTCGCAGATCTGCTCATACTACAGCGAGGAGAAGGGCGAGTTGGTGAGCGAGATTGTGGCCCATGCCGGCTAAGGAGCAGCTGGATGGATGACGGACTTGGTACCCAGGGACGGTATATACGGACCAGATACATACACCACTATATCCATGTAGAGATTAGAGTTGAATATGGCTTCATTGATATCACATAGTATACAGTACTGACAGCTTCGTCGCGCTAATAGTACGAGTATCGTACTAGCCCCAGTGAAACGCCTGCAGTCCTTGGAGAACTCCAATGCTGACTCACTCCTCCGCATTTCCACTTCTCGTTGGCGCCTCGGATAAAGCGCGGCTCAAAAGCCACCCCCAGGAAAACCGGCGATTGTGTGATTTGTGCTTGCGCGGGTCAGGCTGCCGGTATCGCAGCGCTACGCCGCATGGGGCAATTCAGCCCCTCTACTGTCATCCTCCAGAGGATTGCGACTTCATCCGTTGGGCCAATTGCCTCCCCACAGCGCCGATTGCTGGTTTGCTTCTTGCTACAGCATCCAGATCCCTGAACCATTTTCCCTCTCTCCTGTTTTTTGTTCTCTTCCTCTCTATATCGAAAGAAGGAGAACTTGAAACACCAATCGCATCCCATCTTGCACCAGTGCGGCGACTTGTTGGATTCTCTGTTACCAGTCAGCCAATTCTCTCATACTAGGTACTGGGCACTTGTCGGGCTGTACGGGACTGCACAGTATCTGCTGTAGTAGTCACACAACCTCAGCCAGACAGACGATTGTCGCATCATCTCATTGCAATCCTCTCTCATCCGACATCACCTTTCCTCTACCCTTCTATATCCAAGATGGCAGCTCCCTTCCCCGACGGCCAACCCGGCAAGTCTGCCAGTCCCCTCCAGCGTCTCGACCTCGACGGCCACAACCTCCCGCCCTCACCGGCGCCATCGAGTCCTCGAAACGGACGACGCCGCTATGCTCTCGCGACAGAGCTTGTTTACACCGAGGGCAAAGACCAATATGGCGCTTCCAGCACGCCCATCTACCAGTCTGCGACCTTCAAGCAGACTTCTGCCAGCGGCGGCCAGCAGGAGTACGACTACACGAGATCTGGCAACCCTACACGCACTCACCTCGAGCGTCATCTCGCCAAGATCATGAATGCCAACCGTGCGCTGGCTGTCAGCTCCGGAATGGGCGCTCTCGACGTCATCTCGCGACTCCTGCGCCCTGGCGACGAGGTCATCACGGGCGACGACCTCTACGGTGGCACCCATCGATTGCTCACATACCTGGCGACCAACCAGCAGATTGTCGTGCACCATGTCGACACAACAGACGTCAACGCGGTCAAGGAGCGCCTGTCAGAAAAGACGACCATGGTTCTCCTCGAGACGCCCACAAACCCTCTGATCAAAATCGTCGATATCCCATCAATCGCGCGGCTGGCGCACGAGGTCAATGAAAAGGCTCTCGTGGTGGTTGACAATACGATGCTCTCCCCCATGCTCTTTAACCCCCTCGACGTCGGCGCGGACATTGTGTATGAGTCGGGAACCAAATATCTCTCTGGCCATCACGACATCATGGCCGGTGTGATTGCGTGCAACGATGCGGCAATTGGCGACAAACTATACTTTACCATCAACTCGACAGGCTGCGGACTGTCACCCAACGACTCTTTCCTCCTTATGAGGGGAGTGAAGACGCTGGCTATTCGCATGGAAAAGCAGCAGGCCAACGCTCAGGCAATTGCCGAATTTCTAGAAGCACATGGGTTCCGAGTGCGATACCCCGGTCTCAAGTCTCACCCGCAGTATGACCTGCATTGGGCCACTGCCAGAGGAGCCGGAGCAGTCTTGTCGTTTGAGACAGGCGATCCGGCCATCTCGCAGCGCATCGTCGAGGCGACCCGTCTGTGGACCATCAGCGTCAGCTTTGGGTGTGTGAACAGCCTGATCAGCATGCCTTGTCAGATGAGCCACGCCAGCATCGACGCCAAGACGCGAAGAGAACGGCAGATGCCCGAGGATATCATTCGGCTTTGTGTCGGTATCGAAGATGCCAGCGATCTGATAGACGATCTGTCCCGTGCTGTAAGTTTCTCTTTGATGCCTAACCGTTCAACTCCTCCTTGCATGGCCCAACGACTAACCTTGTTTTCTTTAGCTTGTCCAAGCCGGCGCTGTGACGGTCACTCTGGACGGGTTCCACGCCATTGAGCCCTCTCCATCGCCATGAGGGCGGGGCGCAATGAAGTAACTTGAGAGGAGTAAATATTGACGGGTTATTCGCTTGCTGCGCATGTTGAGCCTGCAGAGTACACACGCGGCTTGGGTTCGCAATCGTGAAATCAGGGGTCACCGGTTGTGATTTCTTACTACGTAGGATTGGGGAGAGTTCCCAGACCATGTAAATGGAAAAAAGAGAGAGCATAAGATATGCTTTGTCGGGCAGTGGGCCCTTGAATGGCAGAGGAGGGTCTGGCAACAGCTACATACCACCATTACAAACCACTTCATCAACATGAATAGAAGATGCAAAGGTGCTGCCACCATCGGGCTTCTCCATCCGCCGTGTTGTTACCTTTTACTACCTCAGCTTTGAAGAGAAAGTCGAGACCTCACGACCCCTGCTAAACAGGTTTTTCTACTGCCGCTTAGCGCGCCGCATTCCTCCCAAGTCGTATGCAACCCCCAGCGAGAGCGAGTGGAAAGGAAGACGAAGAAGGGTGGGAGGTAAAATTAGAGCTGCGAATAAGGCACGAGTAGCGCCGAGGCAGCCAACCGACGGGTTGGGCGCTAAAGCCATGCTTGTTTGTTTTAAGCTCTGGTTTCTTTCCAGGGGGGGGGGTGAGGAAGTGATTGCTTGCTTGATTTAATTTATCTTGAGCCAACTGCGTCGCATTGAGCGCTTCGTACTCGATGATTGCTTGCTCGTATGCATCATGGCGGGAAGGGGGGGGGGGGGATTGAATTGAGATTTCCAGGACCAAGAAAGAAAGAAAGAAAATTGGAAGAGTGAGACAGTTGCTTTTTTTCCTTCTCTCCCTATTCTTGTGGCTGCCCCTGAGTGGCCCAACGGGCAGAGCGTCTTTTTGCTTGCTGCTGCTCGACTCTTGATACTGTATTGAGCTAAAGCAAGATATGTACTGCCTAAGCGTCCTGCTGGGCGATCTGGTAGATGGAGAGTCAATTGGCGCTCTCGTGTCTGTTTGATTACATGTAAACGCCGTCCCCAGAGCAGAACTTGACTTGATGACTCGGGGGGTGGGCTTCAATCTGAGATGTTCTAGACGCCAAGGTCGGGTCACTGGTTACCTACATTATGCGAGGAGGCCCTGCGGCTTGTATCTCACCAACAATGCAGCAATTACTGGTGTATCGAATGATAAGATACTGGTTGGTGTCTCTACAGCATATTGCACATAGTACATACACAGCATCTTGCTCTCGGCGACTCCTTTTTTACACCACCGCAGCACAGCATCGGGCATTCCATGTCGGTGCCGTGTGTGCCGTTTGTGCGTCTTCTCGCATCGATAACCCTCCAGAGCAACTACTCGTATTTTCCATTCTCATCTTCTTTTCCTGCTCCATCCACAGCTTAGCTGAGCCGTGTATCCACCTAAGCGAGCAAGGGCATGGGGCTTCTTTGGGGCGGCAAAGACTCTCCATCATCCATGCATGCAGACGGAGTACATGGACAAAGTGCGAGCAGCCAGTCCTGGGTCTCGATCGCGGACTCCAGTTGGTCGGGCTGTTCCGTGATGCCGGCCACCGACATTTACAACGCGGGCGCCCACCAGTTGGCTGCGTATACTCGTAGTAGTACTCGTCCTCGCCCGCCAGCCTCTTCTGTTTCGGCATGGCCCCCGCGGCGGCGGTTCGTCAAATCACAGCTGACGCCTCCTGATGGTGCCCGTGAGACTATTCCCAGGACTGCCGCCGACTGGGCCCGGCATCTGCAGCGATGCTCTCCCCGGAGCCTGGCAGAGGCCATCGGGGGCCACCTGGAGCCTGCCACGTCGTCGAGAAGGGGGGAAGCCCTGCGCCACGACGGTCGTGAAGCCAGAGTCGAGAACTTATTAGTATCGCCCACTGCCCAGAGCTGAGCCTGCAGGGTGTTGAGACAGACCTCTAGCTTTCTTCTGCTTCCTTGGCCTTTCCCACGCCAAGCCGCCTCCGTGTAGTATCTTAACCGCTTCGCTGCTAGTCGATATTGCAGGCAGCGCTTCCGTCTGGGCTGCCTCCCACACCCTCTGGAGCTTGTGTTGCATCAGGATCAAACAGAAGCGACAGCAGGGAACGACACACGGGCCCCACTTGCATCAGAGCTCGTTTCAATCCGGTTGCTTGACTTGATTAACGCTCGCCAGCCGCCGCGATGGCTAGCCCAAGTCATCGCCGCCACGGCTCGCAGCATCGTCACGGCCAGCACCGAAGTCTCGTCAACAACGACGCCCTCGAGCCCGGCCCCGTGTACGATAAACACTACGGCTCCCGAGACCGAGCGCGAGAGCGAGAACGGGATCGAACCCGAGAGCGTGAGCGAGAGCGTAATCGAGAGCCCGAAGAGCTCCCTCGTCCCAGCACCAGCCACGAGTACAAGCGCACCCGCTGGCGGAGCGAAAAAGGCCGCGGCATGCAGCTATTCAGGATCAAGTCCAGCGGCGAGAGCGGCCGCGGTGGCATTCACCCATGGCACTTCTTGCGCATCTGCTTCCGCTCCTCCTGCAAGGCCAGCGCCGCCATCAATGTGCTGTGGCCCATTGTTCCCGTCGCATTGGCTGTTCGATGTAAGTTGTTGGAAATCTTTGTGAGAGAGAGAGAGCTCTTTGCGGGGGACCAGCGCCGCGATTTGCCCATCTACACCCGTCCGCTTTCCGTGCTTCCGTGCGTCAGAGTTGCTGATTGTCGACGAACAAATCGCTTGATTGTGTCTAGATACCCTCCCCGATGATCACATCCTCATCTTCATTCTCTCCTACATTGCCATGGCACCGTGTGCCAACCTCATCGGATTCGCTGGTCAGGAGTTTGCGCGTAAAGTCCCCCATGTCTTCGGCGTGCTCATTGAGACGACCATCGGCTCCATTGTCGAAATCATCCTCTTCATGGTTCTGCTGCAAAAAGACCAATTCCTCGTTATCAAAGCCGCCATCCTCGGTTCGATTTTAGCCACCATGCTGCTCTGCTTGGGCTTCTGCTTCTTTGTCGGAGGCATCTATCACGAAGAGCAAACCTTTAGCGACACCATCAGTGAAGCTGGTAGTGGTCTGCTCCTCACAGCGTATGTTTCACCCCCTCCCACCCGCCTGATCTTGCGACAGGATTTATATTCCATTTCCTGCTTTACTTGATGGACACCCGACTTACCAGTGATTCCAGGGGCGTTGCGCTGGCTATTCCCACCGTGTTCTCGCACGGCCTGCCGGACGACAGCACGCTGACTGCCGAGCAGATTGCTCACAAGACACTGAGCATCTCGCGAATCGTCTCCATCCTCCTCATCATCGCCTACTGCGTCTATGTCTTCTTCCAGGCCCGAACCCACCATGGTATCTACCACGCCATCTTTGAGATGGATGAGGAGCGCGACCGCGACGGCCATAAGGACGCCGCCAAGGACAAGCTCACCATGACCGAGTGCATCGTCGCATTGACCATTGCCGTGACTCTCGTCACCTTGATTGCCATCACCCTCGTCTTGCAGATCGAACACGTCATCGAAAAGTCCAAGGTGTCCGATGCCTTCATGGGTCTTATTCTGGTTCCCCTGGTCGAAAAGTTCGCCGAGCACATCACGGCCATTGACGAAGCCTGGGACAACCAGATGAACTTTGCCCTGTCTCACGTCCTGGGAGCCACCCTTCAGACTGCCCTCTTCAACGCCCCGCTGGTCGTCGTCGTTGCTTGGGGCCAAAGCAAGCTCCTGGATCTGGAGTTTGGCATCTTCGACTTGGTCATGCTCCTCCTAGCCATCTTGACCGTTGGGCGCTTCTTGCAGGATCAAAAGAGTAACTATCTTGAGGGCTTCCTCTTGGTGACTCTCTACGTGGCAGTCGCGGTTTCTGCCTTTTACTATCCGGACCCGCCGCATGCTCAGGGTGCCTCTGCTGAGGGTGGTGAGGGTAACCATGGAGGCGCTGTGCCTGGCGAAGGCGGTAACGAGAAATTCCGCTTCTTCTAGCATAGAGTAACCCTCTGTGATGCCAGCATTGCGGTACGAAGGAGAAAGTATTGCTCATGGCTCGCTCATGCTCTACACTTTTGACAGTCGAATGAGAAGGGGTGTTGACAAAGTCCTCTTCGGACGACCATGCATAGCGTTGGAAGGAAAGGAGGATTGCGGAGCATGTATAGCGGTTTTCTAAAAATCATTTCAACTGGGAAGAGTAGCGTTTTCACTCTGTCTCTCTGTTCATACTGGCATAGGCAATGGTTAGCAATTTTCGGTTTATAATAGAATGTAATGAAACGCTTACAGTACCCAACTTCAGCGTGGCGTGTAATTGCTGGGGTACTTGCTCTTACCCTGGAGGATTTTCTCGCGCCTTTGTGCGTCAACAGTTCCCAATTGCTATCGACAGCAGATGTTTACCATTGGTGGCATAATGGAGTCGTTCTATTCTAGCAACTGCTTGATGTTCGTGAACAATCGCGTGTGGACTGGATCTCTTGTCATTTCCGCGATGAGCTTCGAATCTACAAATTGTTGCTTAAGATCACAATGTCGCTTTGATTGGCTCACGTATGGCAGTTGTTGCCCTTTCTGACCTATCCCTCATTTTAGGCTAAGCCGTATCTCGCCGCCTCGTTGTTCCGGCAGCCGCTTATCAGAATCGGGTGCAGTAACAGCCTCCGATTCTGCCACTCCACTCCATTCCGCATCCATAGCCTTGACCTTAGCCTTGCGTCAATCTCGTGGCGCAAAAGACCCCCAAAGCTTGGTCTTTCTTTTCCCTTCAACTTCCTGGCCGGCCGCTCAAGAAACGAACTTCCCATTTCTCTGTCTGTCCGACTCGCTCCCTCGGACGCACCGATGCTGCTCGCTCGACTCGCTCAACAACAGTGCCGTGTTCCAGGGCAGTACATCCCTTAGCAGTGCAGCGCCACGCTCGAATGTAGTACCTCGATCACACTCCGCTGTCGCAATCCAGAGTCACCCTGCGGGTTGCCATGGACCGCGCAAGGAAGCGTACGTTCTGATCTTGATCTTGCGATTTTACTGACGGCATGGATATGGGAGCTAACTGTAGTTTCCAGGAGAGCTTCGAGCTCTAAATGAAAAAGCATGGGAGGGCGACAAAGGTATGGAGATTGGATGTGCTCCGAGATAATGCCCTCGTTGCTCATCTTTGGCTAACATCCTCACCAAAGACCTCATCAACGTCAGCAGCTCGCTTGACTCGTCGCTCAAGAAGAACACGGCCTTCATTAAACGCCTCCGGACTGCCATTAGCGCCGCAACCCTCTCGACGTTTCTGCAAGAGATTCGAACTCTGAGTCTGCACAAGTACCTGTCCGAGATCATATCTGCCTGCTACGAGGGTCTCTGTCGCCTCAAGACTCCCGGGGAAATCGATGCCGCCATCGAAATCGTGAGCGCCCTCCACCAGCGATTCGGTCCCACCGAGTTTACCGAGTACCTCACCTGGCTGCTTGGCAAGGGCATGGCCACACCTGACAAGAGTGTGCTCAAGACCCTGGCTGCCGAAGTTCGTGAGAAGGAGGAGAAGGAGCGCATCACCCGCCAGCGTGCGCTTCTCAGGGTCATCACCGAGCTCTGGTTGGTTGGCGTGCTGCGAACCCTGGACGATGCCACCAAGCCAGACGATGCAACCAAAGGCGCTACCGGCAAATCCGTAGAGCTCAAGACTCGAAGCAGCTCAAAACCTGGCGCCTCTGCAGACCCGTTCCCGCTCGAGGTTCTGAAAGACCTACTCGGCCACGACAGGGAGCACGCCAATCTGCCGCTGCTCGTCATCTTCGTCAAAGCATTCAGCTGGGATATCTTGGGGGTCCGGACTACTACGCCTGAAGGTCGCAAGTCTGGAGAAGACGAAGCCTCGCCAACCCGTGAAGAGACCGCAGAACCCTCCGTCGAAGATCAACCGTTCACTCCTCCCGAATTGGCCGAAAAGTTCAAGGAGATTCTCAAGAAATACTTTGACGATGTCGCCAATCACATTGTCCGAGATCAAAAATCGATTCATTCCCAAGCCCGACGTAACGCTGAGGCCTATGTCAAGTCCGGAGAGGTCTTTGAAGATAGGCAAGCAAATTACGAGAAGCAAGTCAAGGCTCAGGATAGGCTTGTTGCCAATGCCCAGGTGATAGCCGACGTTATCGGCGCCGAAATGCCTAGTCTGAAAGATTCCAATGACCCCCATGCTTCCTCAAACAACAGCATCGGCTTGGTAAAGACTGGCGACTACCTACGATCCATGGCAGATGGTGCCGGTATCTGGGAAGACGAAGACGAACGCCGCTTTTACGAAAATTTAGTTGACCTCAAAGGAAAGGTCCCAGCCATCCTTCTAGAGGATGGCAAGAAGAAGAAGCAGGAGCCTGAGGAGCAGAATGCCAAGAAGCCTGATTCTGCCGAGGGCGCAGAAGCTACAAAGGCCCCTGAAGCCATTGACGATCAGTCGATGGCCATTGCGAACAAGACAATTGGAGCCCAGGTTGATGCCCTCTTGGCTCGTCTGCCCGACCTTACCAACAAGGATATTATCGATCAGACGGCCATTGACTTTTGCTTTCTCAACTCCAAGGCGTCGCGCAACCGACTGGTCAAGGCGCTGACGGAAGTCCCCAAGGGTCGAAGCGATTTGCTGCCGTCTTGGGCCCGTCTGGTTGCTACGCTGGGCAGATATATGCCCGATGTCCCCAAGGGATTAGTCGACTATCTTGATGCCGAGTTTCGTAGCTTGCAGCGCCGCAAGGAAAAAGACTTCTTGGGCCAGGTCCGACTGAGCAATATTCGGTACCTGGCGGAGCTCACCAAGTTTGGGGTCGTCCCTGAGCACGTTGTTTTCCACTGCCTCAAGGTCAGCCTCGACGACTTCTCTCGCATGAACATTGAGATTCTGTGCAACTTGATTGAGAACTGTGGCCGCTATCTTCTCAGGAACCCTGAAACAGCGCCAAGAATGGCCAGTTTTCTCGAGACGCTGCAGAGGAAGAAGTCTGTACAGCACATTGGCCAGCCGGAGAGGATGCTCATTGACAATGCCGTGTACCACGTTGACCCTCCGGAACGGCCTGCCATTGAGCAGAAAGAAAGGACTCCGATGGAGCTCTTTATTCGGAAGCTGATCTATGGCGACATGACTAAACGGAATTATAGCAAGATTCTTAAGCAGATTCGCAGACTTCACTGGGAGGAAGCAGAGGTAAAAACTGCCCTTTGCCTGTTTTCTGCCCGAGTCCATATGTTCTCTGTCTCGGCTAACAGGTGACATTCATTACATTCAGGTCGTTGCTATTCTCGAAAAGGTCTTTTCTAAGCCTGGCAAAGTGAAATATGGAAACATCCATCTCCTCGGCATTCTTTTGAGCGCACTCTACCGACATCATCCGCACTTTGTTGTGAGAGTCGTTGATAACGTTGTCGAGTCCATTTGCTTTGGGCTAGAGCAGAACGATTTCAGGTTTTCCCAGCGTCGCGTCGCCGAGGTCAAATACCTCGGGGAGCTCTACAACTACCGCATGTTGGAACATCCGGTCATCTTTGACACCATGTATAAGATTTTACTATTTGGATATAGTGAGACCCACCCCTTCCCATCCTTCCTGCTGGCAAACCAACTTCAGCTCCGCCGATTCTCGTTTCTGACATGTTCCCAGGCGGACCACCTGTTCCCGGCAAATACAATCCCTTTGATCCGCCGGACGACTTCTTCCGGATTCGCCTCATCTCCATTATGCTGGAGACGTGTGGCATGTTCTTCAATCGAGGTGCCGCTGGGAAGAAGCTCGACTATTTCCTCTCATTCTTCCAGGTGAGTCAAGGCAATAGGGCCCTATGTTATGCTGTAAGCGTGTGCGAGACTAATCTGTTATGTTTTCAAGTATTACGTCCATACCAAAGCACCTCTGCCGCTGGACATTGAGTTTCTCGTGCTAGACACGTTTGCACTGACAAGGCCTCAATGGAAGTTTGTGGACGACATCGAGGAGGCGGCCAAGGCCTTCCAGCTTGCCATCGCCCAGGACCAGAAGACGGCAGGAGTGGACAAGGTTGCGGAAGCAGACGACGCTACAAGTGGCCCGTCTTCCGAGGACGACAACGGTGACATGGACGACGTAGAAGCCGACGGTGATGGCGAAGATGAAAGCGCTTCTGAAGAAGAAGAGGAAGCAGAGGTATGATGCAGCACGGGCCTCTGAGCGAATGCCCTTGGACAATCCTGCTAATGCCTCATCTCTGACAGGAGGGTGACAATGTCTCCACCCATGAAAGCGAATATGACGAGGCCATCATCGTCACCAGGCAGGAAGAAGCCGTTGATCCGGAAGATGAAGCCGAATTTGAACGAGAGTATGCCAAAATGATGGCGGAAAGCCTTGAATCGCGCAAATTTGAGCGCAAACAGCTGTTTGACGTGCCGCTCCCCGTGCGGTCGAGGAATCGTGAACCGTCCATGTCCACTGGCTCTGGGGAGACGCAGCAGAACGGCAAAATGGCATTCTCGTTGATGACAAAGAGAGGCAACCGGCAGCAGGTATGCTTTTGTCATGTTTCTTTCTCCCCTAAACTTGTCCTGAGATTTGAATGCTGACGTGGCCGTTAGACTCGGACAGTCGAACTGCCTTCGGATTCGACGTTTGCAATTGCTATGAAGACACAGCAGCAAGCAGAGAGGGAGGAACAGCAGCGGATCAAGAACCTTGTCCTCAACTATGACCTTCAACAAAGTGATGACCAAGACGGTGAGTGTACCCAACCTACCCATTCCAGCGTTGCCTTTCTTGTACTCAGACTCATTGAAATGCCTTGCTGTAGGTAATGACCGGCCGACAACATTCTACCATAACCGGGTGGACAAACCGAACAAGGGCCAACGCGTTCGGAAGCTGCAACTTAGCGATGTGGATTGGTAGCAGCGTAATTATCTGATGGAAGTCGATCCTTATGACCTACACATGATGCTACCATCTCCGGACATCAAACGACACCGAGCTTTGGCATTATCGGTATACACGCCTGTAATCCCTTGGAGAAAAAAACAAGGTGCTCAAGTTTCTGGATGCTGTCACTGCTTGTCAGCAACAAGCACACCGCCCCTAACAACGAGAGCCACAAGCGCGGCTCAACAGGGATGACAAAAGCATGACTTGGGTTTGCTATTTCACTGTTCTCTGATATGAGACACCGAATTTGATCGGTGAGGCCAATGCAATCGGACGGAGGGTCTCCTCTGGTACGTTCTGCTACTGCCGCGTGAATAAGCAATGGCGGTTTAACAACAGTCACCGACGATGCATCTTGAAGGCTATTGATACAATCTACTGCCTTATTTTGAGAAATGGAAGGTGCCTGAAGGGGGATGACGGGAGTGGGAGGGCTGGCAGGGTGTTTATGAGTCCTCGGTGAGGGCAAGCTCCGTGATGGACGCCGCGATGGTAGCAGTGGCATCAGAAGCTGAGGACAATGTTCTTTGTACGAACCACACATCATTCCCTTAGCTAGTCTAGTGGTTGCTGTGTCCCGCACTCGAAGGTGTGGGAGGAGGAGGAATCGATGCAAGGGACTTGAGAATGCAGATCCTTGCATGGGAGCACCTGTGCGACTCTGGCACCTCCGAGTTACTAGTATCTATTCATTGCCACCCACAGAATGATGATCTGAAGAGACACACTACATAGTTGATGAAGTACTGGACGGGCAACCAAGTCACGGACTCGAGGCAAAATCGTGTTGCTATTTACGTTGATCAAGGCCCGAGCTCTGCATTAGGGAGCGGTGCTACGAAGAAATAGAGGGTATAATCGTGATGTTCCCACCAATAATGCCTTACGGTAATCGTATGCTGCAGTTCGTATCGCTGCTTTAGACCCAACCGCAGTCTGCGTCTGAATAGGTAGCCAGAGAATTTCTGGATCCATTCTGTGCCTCTCTCTACCTTAGGTATAAACCTGTCTTGGTGCCCTTTGTCTTTCTCGTGATACCACTTTTTGTAATTCTTTTCCCTTCTCCCTCCATCCACGTTCCACCGAGCACCCACGACGCCGGACCGAGACACTGCCCATCAGCTCCCGCCCAATCAGGCCCCCAGCCGTGTTCGCTGCTGTGCATGTGTGGTTCCATATTTGGGCCGTCATGACCAGTGCTGCTGCAGCTGCGCGCCGACCTGCTGCATTTGTTCAAAAGCCTCTGGGGGTCTTTGACCTTTGACGCCGACAACCGACACCTCCAGGGAATAAGCACCAGTTTGTTGGTCACGACTTTTGCCGGAGAGAAGAAGCTGAAGCTGAAGCTGCTGGCAAGTCTCACCCGCTGCGACCAAATCCAGCAGGTGGTGGTGCACATCACTTGCCGCTTCTCACACAAACGGCAGATTGTGTGTGTGAAGGCTGAACCAATTCTTTTAGCCGCACTTCTCTTTTCTCTTTTCTCTTTTCTTTTATTCTTTTCTTGTTCATCCTTGATTTGCAATTCTGCTCTTTGATTTGCTGCTTCTTTCTGGCTGTCGCTTTTGCTCGATATTGTGCCGTGTATCCGGACGTTTCTGCTTTTGAGAAAGACACGACGGCGGCTGTTGTTGGACGTCGACGCCTGAGCCGACTCTGCTGCTTTCCCATTTCCTCTTCCTCCTCTACTTCTTCTGCCTCCATCTTCTTGTACTCGAACTTTCCATCTCTCACTGGGGCTGCTATGCGATTGCGGATTTGCTACAGCCACAGGGCAACACGACAGAGATCGCTCGGTCCCAGCGAATGTCTTGACTGCTTTTCGCATGCGAGCGTCAGTCGAGCCTGATTGATCTGGGGCCCCGGCTCAATTTAAAGGCTCGCATTGTTCTGTCTTGCTCTGCATTTCTGTCTCTCCTTCTTTCAAAGGACCGTGTTGCGTGTATTTGCGTGTACTGCGATTCTGGTTATGGGAGGATTCAGCAGCCGTCTATCGATTTACATCTCATCGCCTCCCTAGACCGGGGTTGAAGACCGACGGCCTATCTTCAACACCAACAGCATCTTCTTTTTTTCACAAATTTACCCGTCGCAATTGGTAGGACAACATGGCGGTTGATCCTGCTGGGTCGGAATGGCCCGTCAAAGATGTAAGTTGATTCCTGTTTGCCCATAGTCACGAGGTTTGGAGTGAAATGTGTAGTCTTTTCTGCTTCAGGACCGTCGAATGGCTAATGGAAGCTTGTTGCACCGCATCTCAGATTGTGTATACCGCCATCATTGGAGTGGTCATGATTATGGCGCTGCTAGAATGGTTTCTCTGGCTCGCTGCGTTTCTGTATTGCTTGTACAAGGCATTTCGAAAGGCTGAACACTGGTCTATCAACGTCCTCTGTGTCGTTGTCGGCATAGCATTTGTAGCCTTCAGGTATGTCTCTTGCTCACACATATATCAGTGTTATGAGAGTATATACCTATATGCTCAGCAACACTAGGAGACTTGCTTGCTAATGCTCGCCTCTTGCAGGGCCATCTTCCTGCCAATCATGATTGTAACGCTGCCACTGCCAAGCCAAATCTCCAAGCACTGGCCAGAGGATGTCGTCTCAGTTCTCCAGTGGTTTGCTTTTTGGAGCTTTTCGATTCTCCTGACGGTGCCCTGGCTTTTCTGCGTCTACCAACTCGTTACCAATCAACTTGGACGTACGAAGCGCATGAAGCAGGTGCTTGACGACGTTACCGCCCCCAAAGTTGTGATTGTTATGCCATGCTACAAGGAAGAGCCTGATGTGCTAATCACGGCTATCAACTCGGTTGTCGACTGCGATTATCCCGCTGCTTGCATCCACGTTTTCCTCTCGTTTGATGGAGACCAGGAAGATGAGCTCTATCTCAACACAATTGAGAAGCTGGGCGTTCCCCTGACCATGGAGTCGTACCCGACAAGCATCGACGTCACGTACAAGGAAGCCCGCATCACCATATCGCGGTTCCCTCATGGTGGCAAGAGACACTGCCAGAAGTCGACGTTCAAGCTCATTGACCGAGTGTACGAGCAATACCTCAAGATGAACGACAATCTCTTCATCCTCTTCATCGATTCGGACTGCATACTGGACAAAGTGTGCCTGCAGAACTTTGTATATGACATGGAGCTAAGTCCCGGCAATTCTAGAAACATGCTGGCAATGACTGGCGTCATCACGTCGACCACGCGGAAGCACAGCATCATCACGCTGCTCCAGGACATCGAATACATCCACGGCCAGCTGTTCGAACGCACGGTGGAATCTGGCTGCGGATCGGTGACGTGCCTGCCGGGGGCCCTGACCATGCTTCGCTTTTCAGCATTCAGGAGGATGGCCAAGTATTATTTCGCCGACAAGGCGGAGCAGTGCGAGGACCTGTTCGACTTTGCAAAGTGCCACCTGGGGGAGGATCGATGGCTCACCCACCTCTTCATGATTGGCGCAAAGCAGCGCTATCAGATCCAGATGTGCACGTCGGCATTCTGCAAAACCGAAGCTGTGCAGACCTACCGCTCCCTTATTAAGCAGCGGAGGCGATGGTTTCTCGGCTTCATCACCAACGAGGTGTGTATGCTGACAGACTGGCGACTGTGGAAACGGTATCCCCTGCTGGTCATTGTCCGCTTCATGCAGAACACGATCCGAACGACTGCGCTCCTCTTCTTCATCATGGTCCTGGCCTTGATCTCGACGGTTGCAAAGGTCAAAGACCTGCCGGTTGGGTTCATCGGGGTGTCGCTTGGGCTGAACTGGCTGCTCATGATCTACTTTGGGGCTAAGCTCCGACGGTTCAAGATATGGCTCTACCCGCTGATGTTTGTCCTGAATCCCTTCTTCAACTGGTACTACATGGTGTACGGCATATTCACCGCCGGCCAGAGGACCTGGGGCGGGCCGAGGGCAGACGCTGCCGCTGCCGATACCAACACAACCGCACGGGAAGCAGTTGAGAAGGCCGAGAGGCAGGGAGACGAACTCAACGTGGTTCCCGAGAGCTTTATTCCTGCCCAAGAGGCACGGAGGGCAGCCTCGGCCAAGGGCATGTCTCAGGGCTCGGGGCTCGGTCATAAGAGGAGCGTTGTCAGACCCCCTGATGGCATTGACGGCCTGTTCTCAGCTCGGCGGAAGACAGCAGCCGGACTCTATACGCATTACGACGATTCAGACGGCGGTATCGAAACGCCACCCATCTCATCCACTACTCCGTCCTCTTCGCGAGACGCACTGCAGAGGGGCTCTTTTGAAGGCTTCGTGCTCAACGGACCCGAGGCCATTGTTTCCGTGGATCAGTTCATGGGAGAGGAAGATCGCAGAAAGTATGCCATAGCCCAACGGGCGCAGTTCCAGCGAGGCACCGGAACGAGCAAAGAATCGACAGACGTTGAGCTCATTGATCTGTCGTCGGATCCGTAAAAGGTGGCGTGGCGTGGCTTGGCTGAGGTGGCTTTCACGCAATCGAATACTATGGAAAGAGGCGAGTCTGACTATATCGACAACGCCCCTTGCAAAGGCCTGTCAACGAATATTTGGTTATATCATTTGAACAAGACATTATTGCATATACGTATAGACAGCCACACCGCCGTTCTCTCCCTTTCTGTTGGTTTCTTCCGTGCCTTTGATGTCCCTAGAATTCGCCAGGAACGGTGCCAGGAACAACGGTGGTTGTGTCTAGAACAAACTGCCTTATACTTGGGAGGTGAAGCAGAGGCTGATGCTGCTCTGTTGCCGTGGAAATGGCAGGAAATGACCTGTCTGTTCGAGATATCAACGCCGCCACTGTTTGCTGTTGTTCAACGCCACCACGAGGTGAGGCAAGGTGAGGAGGATACAGGCAGCAGCCCTCGACTACGCTTTTGGGCTCCAGGGCTCCCTTTGGCGGGGTACTCGAGGGGCATCCGAGCTGACGAGCCATTTGGCGGGGTAATTTGTGCTTGTTAGGCTGGTGAAAGACACGACGATATAATGTAAGAGCGTCTATCTATGATATCGCGGCGTGCCTCACTAATACAACAACTGGTGGCAGCCTTACGATGCAGCTGCTGTAGAGCTACTACTATATGAAGACCAGACGGATTGGACAGCATCAGGACCTATCAACACCTTGTACAACACGCAGCAACCCCTGAAGCAGTGGCAACGTCATGTATTTCTCTGGGTGCAGCAGCGCCTCCCATTGGCTGTCTGGCTGCTGCTGGCCAACGCGATAGGGCGGCTGCTGCTGGCCAATCCTGCCCTGCCTGCCTCCCATTTGCTCGCCGTCAGGCTGTGAGCTGTCCTTGTGCCTCAGCTTTGCATGTCCACCTTTTCTCGTGGCATCTGGAAAATTCTGCAGCTTTCCATGGGGTACCTCTCGCGGCCATGGCGGGGCGGCAGCGGCAGGTACTCCCCCGCGGCGATTTGGCGGGTGCCGCTACCTATGGCAGCGAGTGCCCCGCGGTGCCGCCAGGTACCGCCCCCCGACGCTGGGCGCCCAGATATTTGAGCAGGCGGCAGAACGCTGAATTTTTCTTCATTAGTACCTGATCTCACCGCCCAGCGCAGCTCATCCAGCACTGAACTGAGACTGACTGAGTCAATCCACACGCCCACCCACTCCATCCCACTCTGTATCGCAACCGCCACTTATCAGAAGCACCACCTCTACCTTTTTACCTTACCTCTTACTACCTCTAGGACCTTTTTTTCCTTCCCTTTTTTTTTTGCTTCTATTTTTCACCTTTACTTTCCACCTCCAAAAATCTAGGCTCGATATTTTCCTGCCTCGATTCCCTCCACGCATCCGATCCTTTTGAATTCTCCCTCTTTTTTTCTTACTGTTCTCGCTTTTTACCCCTCGTCGAATACCAATTTCTTTTTGACTTGGGCCCCTCACTTGCGACCCAAGTGCGGCAGAATCGAGAATCTCTGATAAAAAAAAAAAGAAGAGACAGGGGATAACAGTGCGATAAGCCAGAACAAACAGACATCATGTCTTCCGTCGTCGGTAAGTCCCCCGCTGCCGCTGCGTTCATTCTCATGCTTATTTCTATACTGCGTCGCTCTCTTCGTTAGCAGACCGAGATATCATGAAAACCCCATGAAAGACGTGCTCCCATGCTGACACAACCCCTCCCTGCCTCGCAGGTGTCGATTTCGGAACCCTCAAGACGGTGATTGCAGTTGCCAGAAATCGCGGTGTCGACGTGGTGAGTAGCAAATCAACCGCTTCACACGATTCTCCCAGAAGCTGGGCCTTTGACTGACCAGAGATAATCTATTATTCTAGATTACCAATGAAGTGTCCAACAGAGCAACACCGTACGTCCCGCCATTTCAGCCTTTCATCCGCGTCTCCATGAGCGATGCCCCCCCTCTCTGTCAATGGGAATCCAAGCATTGCTAACATTGCTGCGTTCGATAGTTCCTTGGTAGGCTTCGGCCCTAAATCACGCTACCTTGGCGAGGCCGCCAAGACCCAGGAGATTTCCAACCTCAAGAACACCGTCAACTGCCTCAAGCGCCTCGCCGGCCGCTCCTACAACGACCCCGATATCCAGGTCGAGCAGCAATATGTCACCGCTCCCCTTGTCGACGTCAACGGCCAGGTTGGCGCCGAGGTCAGCTATCTCGGCAACACCGAGAGGTTCTCGGCCACCCAGCTGGTTGCCATGTACCTCAGCAAGATCAAGCAGACCACCGCCAACGAGCTGAAGCTGCCCGTCGCCGACCTCTGCCTGAGCGTCCCTGCCTGGTTCACCGACTCGCAGCGCAGAGCCCTGCTGGACGCCGCTGAGATAGCTGGCCTCAAGGTCCTCCGCCTCATGAACGACACCACCGCCGCCGCCCTTGGCTGGGGTATCACCAAGCTTGACCTCCCCGGCCCCGAGGAGAAGCCCCGCCGCGTCTGCTTCATCGACATTGGCCACAGCAACTACACCTGCTCCATTGTCGAGTTCAAGAAGGGCGAGCTCGCCGTCAAGGCTACCGCTTGGGACCGCAACTTCGGTGGCCGAGACTTCGACAAGGCCCTCGTCGACCACTTGGCCAAGGAGTTCAAGGGCAAGTACAAGGTGGACATCCACACCCACGGCAGGGCCATGGCTCGTACCATTGCTGCCGCCGAAAAGACGAAGAAGATCCTCTCCGCCAACCAGCAGGCTCCCGTCAACATTGAGTCCCTGATGAACGATGTCGATGCCTCCGCCATGGTCACTCGACAGGAGTTCGAGGCCATGGTTGAGCCCCTGCTGGCCCGCGTCCACCTGCCCCTCGAGCAGGCCCTCGCCCAGGCCAAGCTCACCAAGGACGACATCGACGTCGTCGAGATCGTCGGTGGTGGCTCTCGAGTCCCCATTCTCAAGGAGCGCATTCAGGACTTCTTCGGCAAGCCTCTGTCATACACCATGAACGCCGACGAGGCTATTGCTCGTGGCTGTGCCTTCAGCTGCGCCATCCTTTCCCCGGCTTTCCGCGTCCGTGACTTCACCGTCCAGGACATCATCAGCTACCCCATCGAGTTCGGATGGGAGAAGGCCCCCGATATCCCTGACGAGGACACCAGCCTGACCGTCTTCAACAAGGGCGGCGTCCTGCCCTCGACCAAGATCCTCACCTTCTACCGCAAGCAGCCGTTTGACTTGGAGGCTCGCTACGCAAACGTTGAAGAGCTTCCTGGCAAAACGAACCCTTGGATTGGCCGCTTCTCCGTGAAGGGCGTCAAAGCCGATGGCAAGGAGGACTTCATGATTTGCAAGCTCAAGGCCCGAGTCAACATCCACGGCGTGTTGAACGTGGAGAACGGATACTTTGTCGAGGACCAGGAGGTCGAGGAGGAGGTCAAGGAGGGCGACAAGAACGACGATGACAAGAAGGACGCAGATGTGAGTTGTTTGACTATCCCTGTTGCGACGATGAACGGAACTTTTAACTGACACCACTTTCCACCAGGCTATGGATACCGACGCCAAGGATGACGGCTCCCGAAAGACCCGAAAGGTCAAGAAGCAGGTCCGAAAGGGCGATCTGCCCATCGCCAGCGGCACTTCATCACTCGATGCCAACACCAAGTCCGCCTTGATCGAGAAGGAGTCTTCCATGGTCATGGAGGACAAGCTGGTCGCCGATACCGAGGAGAAGAAGAACGAGCTCGAGGCGTACATCTACGACCTTCGCGCCAAGCTTGACGAGCAGTACGCCGAGCTTGCCAGCGAGGAGGAGAAGGCCGCTATCCGAGCCAAGCTCGAGTCCACAGAGGTATGATATGACATTCTGCCTGCGATTCATCACCATGGAACACGTTTGCTAATTACGATTTATAGGACTGGCTGTACGACGAAGGCGACGATGCCACTAAGGGTGTCTACGTTGCCAAGATGGACGAGATCAGAGCCCTCGCCGGACCTGTCGTCCAGCGATACTTTGAGAAAGTCGAGGCCGAGCGCCGTGCCGTCCAGGAGCGCGTCGAGGCCGAACAGGCTGCCAAAAGAGCCGCTGAGGAGGAGGCTCGCAAGGCTGCTGAGGCTGAGAAGGCCGCCCAGGGAGGAGCGGACCAGGAGATGAAGGACGCCGATGCTCCTCAGCCCGAGATTGAGGAGGCTGGCGAGTCCAAATAAGCGTCGCACGCTTCGGTTGAGGGAGGAGGAGTAAGGAAATATTCCCAGAGATGAAATACACTGCGATAGAAAAAGTTGAACTTTTGGTCAAAATCAACGGAGGAAGGGAACTCACGAGGGATCATCATGTCTACACACTCTAGATTTGTTATATCATATGCATATCATATGCCCCCCCAAAGTAGCTATGACCTTTTTTTTATAGGTACGCATGAAAGGAACACTTTAGACCTTGCCAGTCTCTCGCCCATTCTTCTCATGACGTGACTGTTGTAAATCAACTTTTTATCATACCTTACCCGAACGGTTTGAAACGATGGCTCTCATTGTAGTTCATTCTATCCCGAACGGAATGAAGCGATTTTCATTACAAGTCATTCTATTTTCACTCCAATGTCCCATCCATCCTTCGTATTCGCATGTTTGCACAACCCCCCCCTTAGGCTCGGTCGAAGCATCTATTTCCTTTTGACTTCATCTCTACTTGCTGCACGGCACTTTCTTTTCATCTTCCATGATTGCATCGATCTTTTGAAAAACGGCGCGGTCTGTTTTTCCTCTCTTTCTCTCGTGATCCGCTACCTCTTCTTTTTCGTTCATACTTTTGTGATACAAGGATTGTTTTTTCCCTTGAACAATCTAGCCAGACTATATAAGCAACCCTTCCAGAACAATACACAGATCGAAACCGAAACAAGAACACGAAGAAAACAAAAGCAAGAAAAGGAAGAGAGAGAGAAACAATCAAGTGCTTTTATAAATGCGCAGGAAAAAAGGAAAGAAGGACAAGATGAAGAAAGGGAGGAAAAACAATAGAGGTGAGAAGAATGGGTAGTAGTAGTAAGTGACGCCGAAGTCGGCCAGTATGAGAGAGAGACGGAGGGAAAAAAAAAAAACAAAAGAGGTACTAGGAACGATTTTTATCTCTTCATTCCCAGTTTTCCCCAATCGCCACGCTTCAAATGTCAAACAGGGGCTTGAGCTTGATAATCAGCTGCCACTCGTCATTCGTCACCTCCTTGCGGTAAAACTCCTTCAGAGTGTCGATGCTGGCACGCGAGATCTGGCTGTAGAGGAGGTCCGACTCCTCCAGGTGGCGGCCGTAGATGGGCTGGTGGCCGCCCATTTCGATCTTGACGGCGACCGAGGGCTGGCCCTTCTTGCAGACGGGGACCTGCTTGTGGTCTCGCTCGATGGAAGTCCTGGAAGTTGTTGTGTCAGCATTGGAAGTTTCTGGTGGGTGGAAGAACGAAAGAGGGCACAGGGAGGGGAGTATATGGACAAACTTACACTCTACCGAGAGGAATGACTTCCTTGGTGTTGGTCGTGGGGTTGGTCTTGACAGCCGCAATCGGCGTGTTGATCTTGAGCTGGCCCTCAACCACATCCACACCAATGACGATGGGCGCCGTCTTGTTGAAGACGGCAACGGGCTTCAGGACGCAGGGGAACACCGCCAGCATCTTGGACTCTTCCTTCTTCTTCTCCAGCATCTCGTCCATGTGCTTGGTGAAGTTGTCAAACAGGTGGTAGATGATGTCGGCCTGGAAGATCTTGATGCCCTGGTCGTCGGCGTATGCCTGGGCTTCCTTGTCGACCTTGACGTCGAAGCAGAGCATCACGGCATAGTCGGGCGCCTTCTCCAGCATGATACCGCACTGCATCACGTCACGCTTGTAGACCGGGCCGATGCCGACGTTGGCCACGGGAATCTTGCAGTCCTTGAGGAAGTCCAGCAGGGCTTCCAGGGATCCCAGGGTGGAGGCCTGCACGCTGACGCCGCGACCAGAGGTCTCGACTCTGCTGAGAAGGTTGGCCAGATCCGACTCAACCTCGTCGACGATCTCGTCCTCGTCGTCGTCTGGACCAACCACCATCAACCTGGAACCCGCAATGGCTCCCTCGAGGCCGGGGGCGCTGATCTTGACACCCAGAGCTGCCTTGACCTCCTTGTTGTGAACGTAGGCCGACTTGAGACGCAGCTCGCGGAGCGGTGCTGGCGTGAGCAGAGCTCTGATGTTTGTTACGATGGCACCTTCGGTACCGCACAGAACGATTCGGTCGCCTTCCCTCAAGATACCGTTGGACAGGATGACATCAATGGTCATGCCGAAACCTTCGATGGCCTTGACCTCCAGCACAGTTGCCTGCACCTCAGACAGGTACATGAGCGAGCCAACCATGCGCTCCTGCGTGAGCTGGATGATGAGCTTGAGCATGTCCGGGATACCCTCGCCGGTGTGCGCTGACGTGGGCACCAGAGAGACGTACTTGGCCATGGACTTGTTCTGGTAGAAAAGCTCAGAGTTGAAACCCTGCTCGGCAAACGCCAGCTTCGTCTGCTCCAGGCGGTTCTTGAACTCGTTCTGCACCGCCTTGCTCTGGAGCGCCAGACTGTCCTGGAAGCCGTTGTTGTCCACCTTCTTCCACCCGTAGAGTCTGTCAATCTTGTTGAGCGCCACGATGAAGGGCGTTTTCCTCTCACGGAGCATGCGCATGGACTCTAGAGTCTGCGGCTCGAGGCCGTGCATGATGTCGACAACCAGAATGGCAATGTTGCAGAGAGACGAACCACGGGAGCGGAGGTTGGAGAAGGACTCGTGACCAGGGGTATCAATGACGAGGAGACCAGGGACCTTGAACTCGAATTCGTTGTTCTTGTTGACGACGGCCGTCTTTTGCTTGATGGCGTCGACAGGGAAGTACGTAGCACCAATCTGCTGGGTGATACCTCCTGCTTCGCCCTCCTGGACGTTGGTCTGTCGGATCTTGTCAAGGAGCTTGGTCTTTCCGGTATCGACGTGTCCCAGAATACAGCAGATGGGGGAGCGCAGGTTGTCCTTGGATCGAGCAGCCAGGGCGGCCTGATGAGCCTTCTCTCGGCGTTCAGCAGCCTCCTTCTTGCGCTGAGCTTCGGCTTGCTTGGCTTTTGATACGGCTTCGTCCTCGGAGGAGTCGTCTTCGGACTCGCTTTCGGACTCAGACCCGGACTCGTCGTTTTCTCCCTTCTTCTCCTCCTTGGCTGCGCCGTTGGCTTTGGCGGCAGCCGCCTTCTTCTCCGCCTCCTCATCGGAATCGGCATCCCAGCTGTCCTTGACGTCTTCTTCGTCTTCCTTGACAGCAGCCTCCCAGTCGTCTTCGACGTCGCTCAGCTCAGCAGCCTTTGCGGCCGCGGCCTTGGCTTCGGCCTCGGCCTTCTCCTTGGCAGCCTTCTCCTCTGCCTCCTTCAGCGCCTTCTCGGCCTGGATTCGGGCCCTTTCGGCGGCTTCAGCCAGAGCAGCCTCTTCGTCCTTCTGGACAGGGGGCAAAAGAAACAACGCGTTAGCAAGCGACAACCGGCGAAAAGGGGGAGTATACGAGACTGTGTTGCTTACCTTGTCGTTCTTGCCCCTCTTCTTCTTGCTGTCATATACAACCTTCTTCTTGGGCGCGCCCTCTTCCGTGGGGCCAACCTTGATACCCGCAGCAAGCATCTGCTGGAGCTTGAGCTCATTTCGAGCCTTCTCCTCCTTTTGGGCCTTGGTGAGGAACTTGCCCTCCTTCTTCAGCTGCTCAATGCGCTCCTTTTCCTTCTGCTTCTTGAGAGCCCGCTGCTCCTCCCTGCGCTTGGCTTCCTCAGCTAGTCGCTTCTCCTCTTCCTCTGCCTGCGCCCTGGCTTCGGCTTCCATCCGGGCTGCCTCTTCCTGCTTGCGACGCAGCTCCTCCTGCTGCTTCTGGATCAGGGCGAGGTGTGCCGGGATCTTCTTCTTCTTGCCTCCCGTCTCAGCAGCAGCGGGAGCGGCAGGGGGGGTGGCCGGCTTCTCAGCAGCGGGCTCATCTTTCGTAGGGGTCGCCGCCTTGGCCGGCTCTGCGGCCTTGGCAGGTGCTGGGGTCTTCTTCTTCGCAGCCTAGAGGAACTCGAGTCAGAAAAATCAAAATGTCACCGGAGGCGTTTGTGAGTTGGAGAGTCCCATATACCTGTTCCTTCTTACGCTGCTTCTCGCGCTCCTTCTTCAGCTTCTCCTTCTCGGCCTTTGTGAGTATCCTGCCGGGCTCCTCGAGATCATCCTTGACCTCCTTGGCGGCCGCCGCGGGAGCGGGCTTGCCCTTGCCCCCCTTGCCCTTCTTCTGCGGCAGGGCAAACTCGTCGTCGTCGATGGAGGCCTCGACGGGTGCCTTGGCGGACAGGTCCTCCTCGACGGGCGCGGGCGCCGGCTCCTCGTCCACAATGCCCTTCTTCTTCCGCTTCTCCTTGTTCTTGCGCAGCATGGCCATCAGGCCGCCGCCGCCCGTCTCCTCCTCCTGGGCATTGTCGCCGTTGTTCTCCTCGGCGGGCGGGGTGGCCGCGGCCGGGGCAATGCTCTCGCCCAGCTCTGCCTCCCAGTCGTCCTGGGCGTTCTTGTTTCCCTTCTTCTTCGGCGCCATGGCTGCTGCTTGTCTCGTGTAGTCGACGGTTGGGAAACGGCGAGAAAAGTTGACGAGGAGGGGTAACTCGGTGATGGCGAGGAGAATCGAGAAAAGAAAAATTCAACCCCGCAGTGTTGAAGAGAAATTATAGGGAAAGAAAGCGGGCAAAGATTGTTCCCCCAAAAGACAGAATGGGGAGAAGGAATGCAACCAGAGAGAAGGAAGAAGAAAAAAGAGGCGACTTGAAAAAAAATAAGGCCGGAGATAATACTCGAGCTGTCCCGCACTAAATTAATCCGCCACTTTTGTCTGGCCTCTTGGTGGTTTACAGTTGGTGAAAGCCTTTTTTTTTTTGCTTTGCGGGGCAGCAAATGGGGTGTCTTTGATGCCTGCATTTTTGCGGGACTCGCTCTCGATGCCTTCGTTTGCTTGCTTTACTAATTGGACAGTCTTTCCACCTTCTTCTTTTCCTTTTTCTTTCACCTCATTTCACAGTGACTTCTTCCATATCATGACAGTATTATTATTCAATGAAGTGCACCTACATTAGGCTATCGGTGGTTGAAGCTTTAGAAAAGGTTGAGTCTTCGGTGAGATACGTCACAAAGATCAAATACCCAGTCATGCTTCACCCGCCGACGCCGCCTCCGACTCTCTACCCAAGGCGAGAAGAGTCGAGCTATGACTTGGTTTAGGAAGAAGCAGCAGACAATCACCGCCACATGGTTGGAATTGAGTGTGGTGGTGGTATCTTTCTCACGTGTCTCATGCCTGCATAGCCGTGAATACAGCCATTAAGTGACATCCTCACCTCTTAATCTCCACACCGGGCAGAGGGTTGCTCACGATCCCTGGATAGCACCGTTCGTCACCACAGCCGCTGCCTACTCAACGTGTACCCCATATCATCCTTCAGGGGAGAGAATAGCAATACTGCTGGAGCCAGAAGCAATTCAAAAGTCAAGTCCCTGTATTTGGCTTCATATCCTCGTCCGTGTACGTCCCTAAGACCCAAGCGACCCATGATCCAAAGCTGCCGTATCCGTCCCTTTCCACATGCAATCATGCCATGGCAATCCAACACTTTCGTCTACAGTGCCGGTGCGACGAGAAACTTGATAATCTCGTAGCCCAGCTCGAAATATCTTTCTCTCCGCCTAACTTCTCCTTCATCTTTGAAACCGACGGTGTAACTCCCTCCCCCTATCGCATCGAGGTGGTAGCAGTACACGTAGAAAACGTCATCGGGTCCCACGAGCTTTTCCAAGATGCGCAACTTCAGGCACCTTTTTAGCAGGTCGCCGTCAATGTGCGTGATCTTTGGCGTGGGCTGCAGTTCCAGATCCAGAATGTCCACCCTGTTATCGACTTGCAGTGTGTCGAGGGAAGTAATGCCTCCTTTGGTTTGCGCCAATGTCTGGATCATGAGCAACAACCGCCACAACTCAATGCCAAGCAGCGAAAGCTGATGCAACGAGCCGTCCAGTGATACGCCAATGATATCCGATCCATCATGGCTGCTCGGTAACGTCCCATAGCGCCGCTGCGTATTATCCACGAGCCACGGGGGCCTGCTGCGTGCTCGCACGAACCTCCTCACCGAGGATGGCAGCATGGCTTCGAATACCACCTCGAATTCCCTGTCCCGTTGGCCCAAGGGAATCCACAGGCCAGCTATGACGCACACCTGGTCTGAGACAAGAGTCAATGGCCACTGGCCATGACCGTCAGTGGGATCACCAATGTCAATCATATGAACTGCTCTCCGGGAGATCTGGTCGCCGTGGACGAGCTCCATGCTGCCATCTTCCGTGGACTGGTAGTCAATCACTTCAAGAGAGTGCAAAGCCGTCAATGCAAAGATCTTGCCCTTTGACACGCGTAGAGATATCGCGGGGGAGTCCAACAGGAATTGCTTCACAGGCTTCAGTTTTCTCTCCGCCAGATCCAGGACTTCCCAATGGAGCGTCTTGCCGACGCAGTATATCAGCCCTTCTGCATCTGCCGTGATTGAATATACTTCGCCAGGAAGACGCTTCTTATACCGTGTCCAATATCTGAGCAGTCTGCCCTCGCCTTCGGCCGAACGAGCATGGAGTTTTTCCGTGGATACGATGATGAGCTCTCCGCCTTGTGTAGTCACGAGTATGAACGGAAATACCTTGCCGTCCTTTTTGTACAGCCACTCATGCAACCCAAATACCCTATCTCCGTAACGGCCCAGGCCAGAGATGAATTCGACTTCTCGTCGATCCTTGTCGGTAGCGACCGAAATTGTCGCTCCCGAATCGGGGTCGATAAATCTCAGAGTGGGCCTGTCATCGATAATCATCGCGACGACGAGGCAGTTGAGCGTCTGCGAGAAGATGATCCTTGATGGGGTGCCTCGAAGCGGGATAGACCTAGGCACATTTCCGATATGCGGACCGAAGTCGGCCAAGAGCAGCCTCGATCCAGCGAGGATAAGAAGTGATGTATGCCCATCTTGCCCTGATAGGTTCTGTGTAATCCTGTGGATGGAGTGAATCGGGGGGCAGGGCATTTGCGGATCGCTCAAATCCGTCGGCCATATGTAATGTTTGCTGTTGAACTTGCCTTCAGCTGGTGAGAAATTGCTGAGCAATATCAATTTGTTGTCACAGCAAGCAAAAGCCGACGACGTTCCAGTGTATGGCACTGAAGTTGGGAAGACGTCGACCCGCGCTACCCCAACGACTTCCGAGTTGCACGTCAGGTTGTCCGGAGACTGGTCAGATATGCGAGCTGTGATAAGGCTGCCGCATCGAGTGCCCAGCACAAGGTCAACTTGATCCTCTCCCTGATGGGCTACAGAGATGCTGGTCAGTGCCTCAAGCTCAGCACCACCACCTTCGTCCGCTAAATGTCTCACGTCAACGATAGGTCTTGGAATTAGGGGGAGCCAACTTGGCATTTGAGGCCATGCGGCAACAAGTATAAGACGCACCTTGGCCAGACGAGACGGATCCGGACACAATCTCCTGGCCAGTTGTTGAGTAGATGGATATCCACGGCACTCCGTTGTACATGGACCCAGCGGCAATGAAACTCTTGTTCGACACTGAGAATATCGAAACGCAGGTTACCTCACCCTGCGCATCCCAGCTTCCCGCCAAGGAGAACTCGATGCCTTCGGCGGTCATAACATGCAGCCGAGACACTGGAGCAATGTGTGTAGAGAATACGACAGTATGTCCAATGCAGAAAGCACTCTCCGCGGCGGCATCAGGTATGCCAAGGACTTTTCCGATGCGACATTGGGAGCTAGTTGACAAGTTAATCCAAGCTTGGCAAGGGAAACTGGAGGGACGCTTTCTTTACCTTGCTGTAGGAGTAGCCACATTGATGGATCTTTCAGTCACCTGAACTATACTATCCTCCACCTGGATAGCGTGTAAAGTCCTGGAGGCCAGGTCGAAGGGGGTGTCTTCAGGCGGTACGGCATCGACCTGGTCAAGGCTCTCTGAGAAGCGAAGGACAACTGATGAATGCGGTAGCGCCAGAAGGCCATATAGCACTCTCTCATTGGCCTGATGCGTGGTAAAGGTCCATGCTTGCCTTATGGGCTCACCTGTTTCAATGTCCAAGCCGATTCGAGCCTGTATACCCCATCTCCATTGCACTACGCTCCCGGTAAGGCCACGACCAGATGCGCTGAAGATGTCGTCTTGTTTACGCATCTTGTTGCGGCGCTGCGTCGTTGGCCTCGGCTGCGCTAGCTGGAGGTCTGCTTTGTTCGGGTGCCAGCTGGAGTAGTCATTCGTCGTGGTCATGTCGATGACGGGAGACCAATTGGGAAGACTGCTAACACGCTGGATGTCCTGACGAGGGGCGAGCTAAACAGGGGAAGGAAAGTGTTGACCGTCAATAATAGCCAAATGGTCCTTGCTCGAGAGTAAAACTTACCTTCCAGATGCCGCCTGGGCCAGACTCTCCGCCGATAATGAGAACGTCGGAAAAGATATCGTATGCGGTATTGAAAGCTGTATCAATGTTGGCTCCCAGGCATCCGACGTTGGTTACGGAAGGCAAGAGTTCGGCCGCGTCTATCTCGATGTGGATAATTGCGCCGTCTTCACGGGCCAGATAAATGATGTCGGTTTTTGCAAAGTATTTCTTCCTGCGAAATGGCCTTGCCCAGGCGACCCAGAGCGGCTCGTCAACGCCATGATGCTGCGGCGTCCGCGGAGGGGGTTGGGTCGGCAAAGATTCGAATTCGGGTGCGCCCGAGAGCGCATACTTTACAACCCCTATGTGAGAGTGGGAAACGGCGAAAAAGGCGGTTTTGAATCTGATGGGAATCAGCAGCAGGGGCAATCTGTGCTCTTTGGGAAGTCGAGTGCCAGTCCTCTCTTCGGCGAAAATGGATTGGAGATCGTCGCCCAGCTCCCATTCATAAGTTGCCATGCGGGAAGCGGGGGGCCCGCGACTCCGTTCGCGTCGAGCGACGACCAAGAGCAGGATGATGTGATAGTCATCCTCGGGGCGAGGATATAAGAACTCCAGCTTATGAATGGCCCCGCTGACAGTTCGGATGCGTATGGACTTGATGGGCTCGATAGATCCGTGCTCTGCATACTGTTTGTTGAGCTCAGACAATGCTTCCAACTCGTAGACCACGAATAGACCTTCCGGAGATCCTGCAGCCATGTACCGAGAAGACGGGTCCACGGCAAGCTGATAGCCCAAGTAGGGTAGCAGCCTGGGGTTTTCATACGTGGTGATGACAAACTCGAGCGTCTGGTCCGGTTGTTCTCTCACAAAGATGAAGAGCAACTGACAGGACTCGAGCATCAAGACGAGCACCTGCGGCGGAAGCGAGCGACTTTGAAGCCCGTCCAAGATTCCATGCGCACCCGGAGACAGTGGAGAGGACGGGGGTTCGGACTTGATGGGGACGCCGTACGGGTCATCATCCAAGCCGTGCTCCAAGCTATCGCCGAGGACAACTGCATTTCGGATCCTGAACCCAAAGTCGGACTTGCGCAAGACGTCATGGACCTGACCGTCTCTCCCGAGTTGGCTGATTTGGAGGAAGTGTTCCTGAAGAAGATGTCAGTTTGAGGCAGCTCGTAGCATAGAGGCGTGAGACACCACGATAACATGTTTGAGAGAGCATGACTATTTTCCCACGACATTGGGTTGACTTACACCGATGAAGGCAATGTCGTTGTGCGTACTAGAGCGCAGTCGAACTGGTAGCACCCATCGAACAACAGGGCTCTCAACAATGGTATGAGTGAGAATGCCGCAGACTGGAGGTTGTTGCAGAGGCTCAGAGGCCGGTTGTGGAGCGGCAGAGGCTTTCAAGGCAGCCTGCAGGTTCACGGTTTCGGTAACCCACTCGCCGTCTCTCAAAACCCTTGTTTGGAACGCCATCCTATGTGTCTCTTTTATGTCATTCTCCGGGAAAGGCGTGTGCTAGTAGAGACTGCGGAGAGGCCAGGTACGAGGTTGGTAGGCTTTCAAGCAAGAGATCCACTGTCGAGAAGAGTCTTTCGCTGATTCCGCTCGCTGTCCAGGGCGTAGAGGGGCGTGTGTGAGTGTGAGATATCGGGACAATGTGAAGAGCGTGTTATAGCGGTGTTGCTTAGTTCAAGATGACGATGCCGTCCTCATAGTGCCAATCGATCAACGAGTTGGTGAGAGTCGAGAGTGGAATGGCAATGCTTGAGCACGGCCGTGGCTCGGATACGGTCTGGTGTCGTTGATTTGGTACGTGAGCAGCTGCTCACAATATCCGTCTGATCTGATAGAGAGGCGCAACGAGTGAGATTCGATGCTAGCAGATCTGAAGCTTGTAGGGCATTCACCGCAAGCTACTGCCTAGGTAGCAAGAGCAGCGACTCAAGCTGGAGGCGGCTAGTAGGAGAGCAATTGTCAGGCTAGAGGTGAGGCTATTGAGGGTTTTTTTCCGAGAAAAAAAAAGAATAGAGTAAAGTGAGAAGTGATAGAGCTGGCCGAAGGAAGAAGATGAAAAGACCTGGAGGCAGCAGATTGGAGGTGCTAAGGGAACCTGAAGAGCTGGAGCTCACGAGTGGCTCAATAGCCTGCAGTACCAGAGATACCAAAGAGGTACCTGTACCTTGCCTGCAATGGGGTGTACAGTCGGGGAGGCCAAGGTAAGGTGTCGTGCAGCTTCCATGGGAATGCTTTGAGGCAGCAACGCACGCAAAGAATCATTCAGCATAAATGATCCCTAAAATACAGCATCAATTCAGGTAATAACGAGCCGTCTGTCGGTTCACAAACCGTCTTGAAGTACCTCCCGTCTCTAGCGGTACTTGTACCTTATAAAAGACAGAGTGGGGCCGCAGTTGGGTTGAGGCACATGTACCTTATGTACATCTGCCCACCACTTTGACGCACCTCAAAATCCCATCTTTTGCACCAACATCAACACCCTCCTCATAGTCTACCTAGTAGCTGCAACGGACATGCAATCCTATTTAGCTCCCTTATGCAAGAAATCCCACTTCACTCATCTAGACCGATCCATGGGTAGCATGTAGTAGTACCTTGCCGTGGCCCTGGTCTCGGGTCTGATGCCACCACTGGATATTCGCCATGGGAGGGTGAATATAATAGTTGTAACATCTTCTGATATCATCCAGAAAGTTACTATTAGCAGTCTCAAGAGTAGACTAAGTGTTCAATTTTTTGGCCATCGCGCCATTGTTCTCGACGGCTCATGAGTAGGCATGGGGAGAGGGTGTTGTGCCTCAAGACTCACTCTCACACATCGTTTCCACTCTATATCTTGCCTCCGGCACTCCTCCAAATTACTGACCAATGTGATGATGCCACAGCCGCATGGAGGATTCGGGGAGGCAATTGCTGAGCTATGTCTGCCACCCTCTTGTCGCAGAGACCTTTGGTCCGACATCGTCTCTCATTCTACAGAAAGGGAGGACATCGTACTACTACTCGCAACTCGGAAGACGCATCCAGGCTCCTGAGGCCTAGGACACGTCCACCTCTGTCGAACCAGCACCAATCGTGAAGACTGTCGAGTCAATATTTCGTGCAGATATGCGATCAAATATTGGGTATGACCACGCTTGTCACACGCAAGGCATCAATATTCACCATGTGTTACACATCAGTACCTCTCACAAGCTCATCCGAAACGGGCTCAATGAAGACAATCTCTCTTGGATCCCCGGCCCACAGAACTGAACGACTAGTCTAGTGTCCTCCAACGACCATAAGATGGCGAGATGATGAGCTTATTGTCATGAAGATTATCGACCACTTGCTGCAGCCTCCCCTGGTCCATTCTCCACTCGGTGAGCGAGGAGACCAGGATCTGAACTTCAAAGGGTGCAGAGCTTTCAAAGTGGCCAACCGCATGCTTCCATTTGGTGGGCCTGGAGCAAGCAGAAGCAGGCGAGGCTATCGTTGCAGATTCAACACGGCCTACCTGGAGATGCAAGTGTTGTACTTGGATCACTTGTGCATTGTTTAAGGTGTCCGAGTACAAGCCGTATTTGTATCCAGAGTCTGGTTGCGATATGTACCTACCTAGACTGCAAGAGCTAAGTAGGAGAATGGCCTTTAGCAACGATGTTAGAATGGAACAAGCTGTACAACATGAGACCAGGCGTGGTTATGAGCCTCACTCAGTTTCATATTGGCCATCCACGCTTGATACAACATGGCAATACATTATCAACTGCACAGAATGAGCTGATATATGTTTATTGCTATCTCGTAGAAACTACTAATCAGATGTTTAAGCAAGTCAAATTAAAATGAAAAAATAAGGGTCTTTACTCGAATCAACATCAAGTACGAGTACTAGCTGCTGTAATTTACATGTGACACCAAACCACGGCCCACCAAACGACAAGCCACCGCTCTAGCACAGCAACTCCCAGCACATGGAAACCACAACGTCACCAGCACTAGCCCGATCCAAACATCCGACTTCCTCCAAAACCACCAAGACACGGCACAATCTAGCACATGAGCCTGGAACAAGAGCCGGCCGACGACGCTGGCCTCCGCGAAGACGATGACCATGACGACAACCACAGCAACAACGACTTTGCAGCTTCCAAGGAGGACGACGAGGACCCCGTCGACTCGCCCGCCATCGCCCTGAAGACGAGCGAGATCCTCGCCGCCTGCACCTGGCGAGATGCCACGCGCCTGAGGGCCCTCGCCGAGTCCGACGGCGGCCTGCTCGCCGATTCGCTGCGTCGGGCAGCCTGTACGTTGTCTACCACCACATTTCTTTGTCTATTCTCTTTGACCAGCGTGCTGACAAGGTCGGATGCTGTGCATAGGGCCTATCCTGCTTGGAGCGTCCCCCCCTGCCGAGGAGAAGAAAGAGGTCGACAACGACAACGACGACGATGACGGTCTTGCCTACACGGACGGATCAAGTCTCGCCGCTGACGACGACGACTGGAGGAATCTGCCCCGGCATAGGGACGAAGATCAAGTCCAGCTCGACGTCAACCGCTCCTTTGTCCACTATCCAAGCGGTATGTCATGAACATCTAAAAGCTCGATACCGCCGGGAGGCATCGTCCCCCCCTAACAAACAATAAACTGACATCTGCCCTCTTCAAACTAGACCAATCCGAACCGGAACTACACAAGCGCAAACGCGAACTATCCGACCTCATCGTCGAGGTCCTCCGCCGCCACCCCTACCTCTGCTACTTCCAGGGCTACCACGACATCTGCCAGGTCTTCCTGCTCGTCCTCGAGCCCGCGGCGCGCGCGCCCCTCGTCGCCCGCCTCTCCGTCCTGCGCATCCGCGACTTCATGCTGCCCAGCCTCAGCGCCACCACCGCGCAGCTCAGGCTCATCCCCGACATCCTCGCCCGCGCGGACCCAGAGCTCCGCCGCCACCTCTCCAGCATCGAGCCCTTCTACGCGCTCGCCGGCACGCTCACCATGTACGCGCACAACATTGAGCGGTACAGGGACATTGCTCGATTGTTCGACGTCATACTGGCGCGGGAGCCTACATTCTCCATCTACCTCTTTGCCCAGATCGTCATCGACCGCCGCGAGGAGATTCTCGAGATTGACGAGCCCGACATGCTCCAAGTCATCCTCGGCAGGGTACCCCCCGAGCTGGACCTGGATGGCCTCATCAAGAGAGCCGTGAGCCTCTTCGTCGACCACCCTCCCGAAACCCTCCGGTCATGGCGCCACATTTCCAGCGCCAGCGTGCTCAAAACCTGCAGGGACGTCGATGCGAGCACGCGGCAAACGCTCGAGGACGGACACCGCTTCTTCGAGAGGCAGGTCAAGGAGATACAGTGGCAGGAGCTGCGGATGGGCGTCAGGAGGAAGATGTGGGTGTACAGGCGGCCCGTCCAGTACGTCGGCGCAGCCATCATGGTGGGAGTCGTGGCGTTTTATCTTCGGCGGAACCCGTCTCTAGTCCAGTATATATGGTCCTTTTTCCCGGGTGGACATTGATGTCGTTGTCATTAAAGGACAAGGGGCGAATGGTGTTTCAAGGAATCAATTTCTCGCATGGCAGGACTGCCTTTGGGGCTTAGAGAAAAGAAGAGGTGGGAAATCTAAGGACAGCGTGATAGGATTCACACAAGGCCTCCTGTTGTCTGAATTGAACACAAAAAAAAAGAGCTTCATACACATGTGCCTGTCGAATTATTCAACCCTTCTTCCATGAACATGCTAATATGCCTCCTGACGCCAATACAATAAGCAACGACAGCTAGAATCCAATTATGGCTCTTCATGATGATTACCCCGGATCCAACGCGTAGTGCTTTACATGGTAGCACTCATGCACTCCCCCCCCCCCCCCCTTTTCGCGTAATACTATGCCCATCTCACGCTTCTTCGCCTTGATATTTTTGCTTCAGCTCCTCAAAATGCTGCTGCTGCTCCTCCGCCAGCTTGCCCGTCTCGTCGCCGATAATAGTCAGGATCAGCGAGTAGTTGTTATACAAGAACCGCTCGCTCTTCCTCGTCTCGCCGTGGGTCTGCGCGTGTCGAGCCAGAAAGGTTTCCACTTCAGACCGCAAACGGCGCAAGCTCGCGACGACGGGCTCATCGTCGCCCGCCTCCGTGGACAGTGCCAGGAAGCCTTGGAGCAGCTGCCCGAACCGCTGCGTCACCATATGAGGCGCGGCCGACATCTTGCTCTGATCGGCCTTGGCCAGTTTCGTAGGCGCGGCATTGGTCAGCAGTCGGACGGATTCGCAATGGCGGTCCATGATGACCTGCAGCCGTGGCCATAGCAGCATGTTGGTGCCATTGATGTAGCCGTCCACGGCGGGCACTTTTCGCCTCTGGAGGTCAAAAGCGAAGTGCTGATTGAGTCGGATGCAGAGGAGGAGCCCGAGGGCATCAAAGCTCTCGCTGACAAGGGTCTTTGAAAGCACCCTACCAACTTCGAATGTTGGCTCGAATATGTAATTGAAGTTCCTGGATATCTGTGCGTACGAGAGGGCGGGTGCGAAGAAGGAGGCTAAAAAGGTATACTCGGCCGTGGCATTGTCGATGAGAGCCAGGTTGAAGTTTCGAAAGGGAACTTCCAGGTAGTGAGTTGACTGATCCTCCTCTGCTAGGTATGATGAAATGGCCGCGGTACTCTTCGTCCGTAACATGTCGATTCGGCGCCCGAGGTTGAATGCGTCGTGTGGCGGGCCAGCAACCCGGCTGCTCGACAGGACGGCAGCTTTCCTCGTGGCATCCTCTTGCCCTAGAACGTCATTCTTGTCCAGAACATGGAGCTTGAGCTTTGCCAAAGCCCTCTCGTAGCGTGTGAACTGATTTAGGTAGTACCATCGCATCGTGTTCATGTACGCCTGTGATATCTCTTCTGCGAGGGCGGCATGATGCTTATGCAGAAAGGTATACAGGTCCTTGAACTTGAGAAAGTTCTGTTGCTGGATTATTTGCGCATTGATGTGTGGTGACCGAAGAGCTTTGATCTGGGCAACGAGGAAGTCTCGAATACGCTCTATAGCCTGCAGTTTGTCATGTCAGTTCCAGTCCGCAGCCAAGAAGTCATCATAAGCGCAACAGATGTAGAACGGCACCTTTAGGATCAGCTTCTCCAGGATGGGGCCAAGCTCCTCGCTGGCCTTGCCCTGCTGTGTTCCCGATAGCTTCTTGATGGCTGCCGCCCTCTTGTCCACCTCATTCAACGTTCTAGCCCACACTTCGTCAATGTGGCCTGTCGTTATCCTGGAAATGGTGTCAGGGGACACGCTCAGCTCCTCCACCAACGGGCCAAGCGCCTTTTCTATTCGTTTGCGATTCTCGAGCCTGCGACTTAATGCGCTGGAGCGTGACTGCAGAGTTTCAATGTCTGCCGATACGGTCGACAGGTCGTTGCGGAAATCAGTAAGGTTGTTTTCGACCGAGTTGAGGATGTCGTCGCACGCGACAATGGACCGATGCAAAGCGTCGAACCGGGCCTTGTCCTGCTCATCTATTGCCAGCAATTAGCACATGAAAGGGAGACAGACTCCTGGCGCAATCGCAAAGGAAAGTCATCGACGGGCCGGGACGCACATTCGCTCGCGCTTTGCGGCCGGCGCAAGCTTGTGGTATCTTGGGCAATGTCGCCGGCGGCCAGCTCCTGGAGAGACAGCCCGCCAAAATCGAAGTCGAGCGCCAAATCGTCCTGCGTAATCAGGCTTGCCCTGCTCTGGCTCTTGCCTACGACCTCGGAATCGGCCGCCAGCAGCTTCTCCAGGACGTCCACCGGGTCCGGGGCCTGGGCTGTAGGGTTCTGCCTGGCCTCTGATCCATTGGTCTTTCGAGCCGACGCCAGCAGCGACGTTGTCGAGTCGCCAGACACCAGGGACAGCGACGAGCCCCTCGGGGAAGGCCCTTGTCGCTGCGAGGTTATGTAGGGACTGAGGTTGCTCGATGTCCGTCGCGGAAGCGGCGAGTTGTGTCTGCTGGTGAGCTGGGGAGTCGACGGCCCGGACGCGTTGGCTTGGGTCGCTGCGAGACGGTCGAGCCACATGTTGCGAAGGGGCCGGAGCTGGGACTGAGGGGAGGGTTATCGAGTGGTGGAGAGAAGGCGCTTCGCGATCATGACCGTCTCATGGCTTAGGGAGAGGGCCTATGTGTCTGATTGACCACTAAGAGCGAGATGGCGGATGGTGGATGACGGATGGCTGCTGGACAAGAGCATGAGCTTGAATGAGCTACAAGGAACATCAACCAATCCAGTCTGTGCTCGACACGTTTCAGTCCGAGTCGGCGGTGCTGCTTGGTGCTGAGCTGCCCTGATGAATGTATGAACTCGGCAGCAGTGAGACGAGCACTCGAGGCTACAAGGATACGGTAGTTGTACCTGATGCCGCTGCCTGTGGAGACGACATGGCTGAGCTTTGGAGGGTTCAGTTAGCGCCATCGTCAGGTAGTATTAGTGGAGGACGGCGCTACAGCTTGAACCTCAGCGTGGGAATCATCTGGGCTAGGTAATTGCGGTGCAAACAGCCGCATCAAGCATCATGGATATGAGACTACCTATAGCAGCATCACGGCTTTAACGAGGGCACCCAAAAAAAACGCCCCAACGCCCACACTTCCAACGCAATCTCTTCCCAAACGATTAACGCCCGATATCAAAACCCATATCCAAGAAAGTAAAAAAAAAAAAAAAAAAAAAAAAAAAAAAAAAAAAAAAAAAAAAAAAAAGAAAGAAAAAAAAAGAAATTCAATCTATGGTTTATACCATTTTTGCGCAAAAGTTCAATTTATTGAGACTGGTCCCCCCTGCTGAGTCGTCAGAACAACGCAACCTGAAGAAGACGTCCAATACGAGGGCTGGGAAAGCCATCTACTTAAGGCGTTGATCGGTAAGGTAGCACAACTCACGCGAGTACTCGTAAGAGGCTGGTACCTTGAACAATGCAGCGGAGATGCAGATGAAGCTTCGACCTGCAGTCACTGCCAGCTCATCTCTAGACTTTCAAGTTCCTGCGGCACTGTGAGCACTTAGGTGCCTCTGTGCTAGAGGAGGAGGTAAAGACTGTACCTTATGAATACTAGACAAACACCACTCGCAAGTAAGGTACTTCAAAGCTAGGTGCGACTTCATTGCCAAACTGTGGGCGATGCTCCCACTTCCATTTCCAACAAAGTCTCTGGATTGTTCGTACCACAAGATACTTGGTCCATGTAGACTAGATGCTGGCTAAGGTCGAAGAACAAGAGGGGCCGCATGCAGCATGCTGGGTAATTGGCAGATTCGAGATGCGGAGTTGTGTGTGATCATCCTCGTCCTGAGCTCATGCAACGTCTCCCCTCCCTCCCAGACACTCTGCAGAGCAACAGGCACGGAACGGAAGAGGAGTGCTTGAAGGTATCTGCTGCGGCACCCGTACCGTAGCTGGGCAGGCAACCAAGGCATGGGCCTTGTATCAGGAGGAGGCCGTTAATTAGACACAAGGTTACCAACTTTGAGTTCTGGCTTTAACTGAGAAGTGAGGAAGGCTAAAGGGAAATCAGTGCAGGCTATCGACGGGAGGTTTTTGGCGAGGACAGGAGGTGCGCTACTACGGGTGTTGTTCACACTTGGACAGCCCAGCCAATGCTCGTGAGAAGTAATAAGGCAGGGCAGTGATACTTCGGGTTCTACTGGAAGAGCTATCACGGCTCTGGTTTCTTCCAGGTTTCACCTTGGCCAAACCAGATAACGAAACTAGATAACGGATAAAGAAAACTTAAACGAATAGAGTAAATAAAAATAAGAATTAAAAATGGCAAAAAAAAGATAGACAAAGAGGCAACAAAGAGGCAAAAAAAGGGACCCTCTCCAAGGCTCACGCCCGTGCCAAAACGGTACTAAACTGCTGTAAACCGTGTCCCACCGTCGCCCAAGCACCATTTGCCGCCAGGGCCAATCACACCGGCGAAAAAAAAATTCAGGTAACGCACCTTTTCTTCCCCCTCCGTCCCTCTTCCTGCTCTCTTTCTCCTCCCACCTCTCAATTTCTCCTCTCCACATACTTCCAGCACTCCACTGCTTTTCTTGTCTGCCGCGCAGACTCTCTCTCACTCTTCGTCTTCTTCTCTTCCGCTTCACGACAAGCTCGATTTTTGCGCAATCCATCACAATGTCTGAGGAGGTAAGTTTCGGCCCTCTGTTTGAGCGACACTCTGCTGCTCTGGTTCTGCGCAACGAAAAGGACAAAGGAAAAAAAAAAAAAATACACCCCGCAGTCGCTATGGCTGCCCCTCGACTGAGCGACACCCCACATCACAATATTGCTATTTTTTTGCCTTTTTTTTGCTGGATTTTCGAGATGCAGCTCTGCGTTCTGTTTTCGTGTTGTTGTTCGCAGGAGCAAACGTCCAGATTTTTGCCCAGTCGATTCGCAATATTTTCACAATCTGCTTCAGAACGGCCTATAGACGAGATGCTGACCATTTCTCCCGCCAACAGCATGATACCACCTTCGAGTCCGCCGACGCCGGCGCGTCTCTTACCTACCCCATGCAGTGCTCTGCTCTGCGCAAGAACGGCTTCGTCGTGATCAAGGGCCGCCCGTGCAAGATCGTCGACATGTCCACCTCCAAGACCGGCAAGCACGGTCACGCCAAGGTCCACCTTGTCGCCCTTGACATCTTCACCGGCAAGAAGTACGAAGATCTCTCCCCCTCCACTCACAACATGGACGTCCCCAACGTCACCCGTCGTGAGTACCAGCTGGTAAGTAAAATTATGCCCCCATGGTCAAGGAGAAGGGTTGAGCTTTGCTGACACGAGTTTTCGCAGCTCGACATCTCCGACGACGGTTTCCTCTCTCTCATGAACGACGACGGTGACCTCAAGGATGATGTCCGCATGCCCGACGGTGAGATTGGTGAGAAGATCAACAAGCTCTTCAAGGTTGAGGAGAAGGACACCAGTAAGTCATGACTTGTTTTTTTTTTTAGAAATGTTAGAAATGGAACGTATTCTAACTTTTCGACCCAGACGTCGTTGTCCTCACCTCCATGGGTGAAGAGGCCGCCATCGAGGCCAAGGAGGCTCCCAAGCAGGGTTAAATCAAATCCTAGCTCCATAACCAAATGAGCAACACGAAAGATTTCAGGATTTGTTTTATAGCCCCTCGCCACCTCCTCCTCCTCCCTCCATCTAGGCGTTTATCACGGCCGTCGTAACATCGGATATCCTTGGGTTGATGTATGGGTCGTTGCGTTCAAAGGTCGATGGGTGGGATATTTTCAGCTAGTTACAATACTCGGCAACTCAACAGATGCACTCTCTGAGGGCCACCACATTTCCTTTTGTATTTCCACGAGTCAATGCCAACTCTACCCAGACAGAGATGTGTGCGTGGCTGGCCTGAATGATGAAAAATGAAAGATAAAAAAAGTTACTTGCAAACATGTCTTTGCTGCCGTGGTGATGAGGGTGTTTCATGTGAATTGAACATGTGAAACCCATCCATGAAACTGCTTGTAGATTTCTAATAGTTCCTCGAAATTGGTTGCTGCAGCTATTCCAAGACATGTGTGGCTGCAGCACTTGGAATGAAAAAAAAAGTGGTAGTGAAAGTGATAAGCAGATAAGAATCTCTGAGAGGTAGCGTAACACAGCCAGAGCTGCCGACGAGCTTCGCTTTCAAGCTTCATCCCTCGGGACTGAGTTTCGAGTTGCGCGTGCCTTGAGTTGTCGATTTTCTTGTATTGTCCATCATCTCAGCATTGGACAATCTCAAGGCTCTACTTGTCTTCTTCCTCCAATTTTCCTTCCGACATTTTTGTATGGAAACCGGTGGTGCAATATGAAGGCGAACCTCACAGGAAAGCGCCGTCAAGACCGGAAAGTCTACACTCGCTCGCCCTAGATCTCAACATAGCCAACTGTCTTCCGTCTTGACTTGCTCTTTGCATCATCTCATCGCCTCATCCGCAAGGTCAAAATGGAAGGGCCAGGAGATATGCGTCGGATGCCCCGAGGGGAGAGATGTCCTGAATGCGGTAGCCAGAGATGGTACCTGCAAGACGGACTGAGGTTTTGCTCTCGGGGCCATCAGATCGAGGTAGGGCATTTTGGACACCAAAGACGGATAGTAAAGGATTGCAGAGCTGATTGAGTATAAGGGGTTCATCCAATTCGATCTTGGTGACATTGAAGACTCGGGGAAAATGGGAGCCGTGTCTCGGCGCGAGAAAGCCCCCAGAGCCAGGGGAAAGAGGGCGCCGATGCTCACTGGCCAGGCGGGCCGAGATCTCTACTTGGAGGCTCTCCAGTTGGTGATCAGGAGCCAGGTAGCATGGCTCATCAACGAAAAGGGCCACAGGGAAGAGTTGGAGACTGTCGTTCGCGATCTCTGGGACCTGCGCATCAGAGGGTCCAACTCTGGCATCGCCGATGACGCTCAAGGAGACGACGAAGACTTGGCAATCTTTAGCTCTGAGCCCTCACAAAATGCATCTTCAAGAGAAAGGCATCCGACGGCCAGGAAGCAGAGCTGGGATCCCGAACTGGGCTTGCGATGGCCGTTGCCGCGTGTTCCCGACACACTAGCAATCTGCTACCTGGGCTGCATCCTCTTGAGGATACCGACTCATCTCGGAGAGGTCATTCGTTGGGCCAACAGCGGGAGCATTCCGTACAAGAAATGCGTGAGTATGGGTGGTTTCTGAGCCTTGGCTTCTTTCGTTCTGACCGACTCGGATAGTATTATAACCTGCCCCAGGAAATGAGGGATCGAATGCCTGCCGCGTACATAAGAGTCTTGAAGATGCCCTTCCGCACCACGACCAAAGGTGGTGAGTTACACAGGTCTGTCATGGACTTGGTACTCTCATATGACTTCAACTATGGCCTGGTCTTTCCGGAGATTAATCACATTCCGGAGCTGGTACAATTTGCAAAGGAGCTTGCGCTGCCCAGTGAGCATTGCCATTTGTCCAAATTGTAGGAGAACTTATCATCTGACATTGGGACAGTTGATTCTATCATAGTGGCTCGAAAACTGGCGTCAATCTTGGGCTATCAATTTCACTTTCCGACTGAACGGTCCTCAAATCCCCGGCTGGATTATCCAGAGATACGACTCATGGCTCTGCTCATCGTAGCTACCAAGTTGTATTTTCCCTTTCCTGAAAACTCCTCGCTATCTCGCGTTCGGAGTACAAGTTCCTTTGAAATGCCTACACTTGACTGGGAACGATGGCGGCAAGGCAAAAGAAACTTGCCAACACAACACGAGAAGAGGACTACCAAGTTCGACTTTGACAAGGTCACCCCCAGCCAGGTGGTAGCCATGGCAGATGACGAGCTGGACGCGTACTTTGCTCATGTTTCCAGTCTCATTGACAGCACCAGTGAGCTTCAATGCAACGTGATCCTGCGTCTGAGTACAAAGGCTAACTCACAACATCTAGACGACAACCCAATCACGAAGTTCTTTCCAGTCGAAGAACTACCAGCAAGCACAACCCAAGTGGAGGATGTTTCTGCAAAGGACTTGGATGACGCCGTCAAGAACCTCCTGAGCCAGACCCTCGAATACAATCTGCCCGATGCAGTTGAAGGGGCCGAATTCAAGCCATCAGCTATGCCGAGATATGAAGCATTCCGTAGAATTGAGCATCTCTCTGAGACTGCCAAGGAGCTATACACAGCGGCAGGTAAGTATACACTCGGCACAGATTACCACATCACTTATACACTGGACAGCCAGCTGACATTCCATCCTGAAGGCTTAGTGGTAGGGGCCTCTCTTGAGACCATGACGGACGCCGTTTACAGGATTGAGCGGGCCATGGTGGTATGGCAAAGCAAGCAGTTGGGCACAGGAAGCCACTATTAGATGCGATATCTTTGGCATGTGATATCCTACCATTACCGAGCAGTGGTCGAGGACTGTAAAGATGACGTAGAAAGAGGACATCAGCAGCTGGCTCAGAGTTACGTAGCAGTTGAAAGGAGAGGATCCGGGGTCCTCAATCAATGATGAATCAATACAATGCGATAAGACACTCGTCTGTCGGACATCGTTTCCCATCAGTGTTGGTTATGTAGAAGCTAAAGCTACTACTGGGGTAGAAATGCAGTCAAATGAATTTCAGCACATGGTTGGTGTTTACCACTGGCAGCTGTTGCAGAATTCCCACGAGGTACAAGGTACATAGCGCAGCTTGACGTGGAAAGCTCCATTTGGCAGGCGATCCCAAACGCGGGCTAGGGCGAGCAGAGTGGATCGTCCAGCATGCGCTAGCAGCAATATGGCAAGCCCTCGCAAAAAAAATGTCCCAGAGCAGGCCACTTTCTTCTCCATAGTCACGTGCGTCGGCTACTGACCTAGGGTTTCCCATGATTTGAACTTGCGCCCCACCAATTTCGCGCGCAGATTCAGCGATTCGAACCTTCACATCGTCAAGCATCACCAAAATCGCCCAAGAGTGAGTACCGCCGCCATGCCCGTGAAGATGTCTCCAGGATGAAGTGCTAATCCCTTTAACAGTGCAGATGTAAGCCTCCGTCCAGCACAATTCACAGACAGATTTCCTGCTCCCCCCGAGACGTCCGAAACCCGGCAAAATTTCGATAACGGTACTGACAAAAAATGCGCGAACCAGCTTCGTGAAGACCCTGACGGGCAAGACCATCACCCTTGAGGTCGAGTCCTCCGACACGATCGACAATGTCAAGTCCAAGATCCAGGACAAGGAGGGCATTCCCCCGGACCAGCAGCGATTGATCTTCGCTGGTAAGCAGCTCGAGGATGGCCGAACCCTGTCCGACTACAACATCCAGAAGGTGCGTCAACAATCAAGGAGGGTGCATTATCGGGCATCGATGATGTGGAAAAGGCGGGCGAAAGAGACAAACGATGGAGAATTGAAGGGAAAAGAAGGAAGATGGATCAGGAATGTAATGCTAACGTACATCTGCAGGAGTCCACCCTCCACCTCGTCCTCCGTCTGCGTGGTGGTATCATTGAGCCCTCCCTGAAGGCTCTGGCCTCCAAGTTCAACTGCGACAAGATGATCTGCCGCAAGTGCTACGTACGTCGAACTCCTGAACAGCTCTCAATCCGCCCGGAAGGACGGGAAAGACCTTTGTTTGATCTAGGGCGCTAACACCAGTTCACCAGGCCCGTCTCCCTCCCCGTGCCACCAACTGCCGTAAGCGAAAGTGCGGTCACACCAACCAGCTGCGACCCAAGAAGAAGCTCAAATAAATCATTTCACCAAGGATGTGGCGTCTGGTTTCTGGCATTCTGGGGTTGGCAAGGACAGAGGTGCTTCTGCTTTATTCCGGATTTGTTTCTACATTAGCATCATGGCAGAGGCAAATAGTATATCAATCTAGATGATGTCTGGTGGCGATATGTTATGAAACAGTCCTCTTTGGGTGGGGGACAGCCAGTGATTCGACAGTAGCTGACGCTCGATGTTGCTTCTTGAAAGCCAGCTTTTGGCCACCGATGCCTGGAAAGGGCGATGTCAAGGCTTGAGGAGGGAGGCACTTGTGATGTAGCGGCTGGGAAGACGAATAGGAGATGCTACAGTCATCAGTTACGTCCACAATTGAATGCGTTGAAGATATATTGTCAAGCAAACGAGTATCCCTGTGATTGATGGTGATCTTTGGTGATTTTCGGTGATGTGCTCAGATATTGAAACGCAGCTGGTCACATGACGATTGACGAGATATCAAGACGATACAAGTGCCGTTCGAGTATAATGTACGATGATAAATGGACACGGCTTATGGTCATGTACAATAGCAACTTGTAATACAGACCTTGAAATCCGTGCATCCCTTCCGCGCTCCATCGTGGTGAGAATGATGGTCATCACGTGATGCGACGACAGTCGTAATCGTGACAAGCTATCCCCAAGCTCGAGCCAGCAATCGCGGGACCTCGAGCCGAGCTAGAGTCGTCAATTGTCCGCCAAACTACAAGTCAGGCCAAATAATTCCGGACGTCTCTTTTTCCCTAGAGAGCGGACCATTGCCAATTCTCCTCTTCGAGACGCCAAAATGTCTGGCTCCGGATACGATGCAGTAGTCGACGTGGACGACGAGGTACGTGGACTCGAAGAGGACATGCATACCTAGCATGTTATCAATCCAAAGAACATCGCTTTGCTAACAAGGAACACACAGGGCGACCTCGGCCACACCGACCTCCAGGAAGACCTCGAATTCCACAGCTCCAACTTCACCGACGCCCCCTCGCGCAGCGGCAGCGGCCGCAGCAAAGCCCCCGGCTCATCCAGCCTGCTGCCGCCGCCAGCGACCGCCTCCGGCTCCGGCTCGGGCTCCGGCTCCTCCAAGCGCTACCTCTGGAGCATGGCCTTCTACGCGCAGTTCTTCGACGTCGACACCTCGGCCGTGCTGTCGCGCTGCTGGGCGGCGCTTTTCCCGCGCGCAAACTTCCTCGACGTGCTCGAGGGCAACCCGGACCTGTACGGGCCGTTTTGGATCGCCACGACGGTGGTGCTCATCTTGTTCCTGGGCGGCACGATTAGCCAGTATCTTTCGACGACGGGGAAGTCGCAGTTTGCGTATGACTTTAGGCTACTGAGCGGTATGTGAAGAACATCGATGCTCTCTCTCTTCTTGAGGCCCGACCCCTATGGAGGGGAGAGAGTTATATTTTTGATCAGATGAAAACTAACCAACATGCTCATTCGCACAGGCGCCGCCGGTCTCGTCTACGGATACACCATGGTCATCCCCGTGGCCCTCTTCATCGCCCTGCGCTACTTTGGAAGCGAGTCCGCCAACCTCCTGGAATGCTGGGCGCTGTACGGCTACTCGAACCTGATATGGATCCCCGTCGCCCTCATCTCCTGGTCGCCCATCTCCATCCTTAACTGGGTCTTTGTCGGCGTCGGCTTCGGGATGTCCGTGGTCTTCTTGGTGCGGAACTTGTATCCGGTGCTGAGCGCGACGGACCGCCAGGTCAGCAAGATCCTGCTGGTGATTGTCATCTTGCTGCATGCCGGTCTTTCCTTGACGATTAAGATTCTCTTCTTTGCTCATGGAAGTCCTGTTGCGAGATCTCCGGCGGACGGAGGATCTGATGGTAAGCCGGAATGAGTGGAGGAAACTCTCATCTCTGCATCTCTGTTCAGTTTTCATTACAATGAAGATTCAAGGGGAAAGGTCAGCGGCATCGTAAAGGGTCTACTTTCGTCACGGGATGGCGGGTTCCAATGAGAACATCATTGCAGTTTGGTGGGCATTTGACAAAAGCACTGTATACTATAGCAGCATGGTTAGCTATGCCTCGACATGAACGACGGGACAACGAATCTAGATAATGTTCATTGACTTTCAGCCCCTTTGCATCTGGTAGCTATCCTTATATATTCACCTGAATGGCAATTGTCCCAGCCCATCATCCCATATATACAATATATCACACAACACAGCCCCGTCCAAGCCCAGGTCGTAAAGATAAAAAGGTCATCCAGCACCTCACTTCTTCCCCTCGCCACCCTTTCCCCCCTTCACCACCTCAACCGGCCCCTTGTTCGCATCCCAATCCAGCCAGCTGCCCGGATACTCACCCACGCTGGCCCAGCCGGCATGCTGGGCCAGACCCGCCGCGGCCTTCGCCCGCACGCCGGCCTTGCAGTAGAAGAGCAGGTTGGCGTCTTTGGGCGGCCGCTCGTATCCGTACATGTCCTCAAAGTCCTCGTCGGAGATGTGGAAGCTCTGGACGGCGGAGGTGATGGGGATGTTGATGGCGCCGGGGATCTTGCCCGTGTCGATGAGCTCGTGGGGTTCGCGGACGTCTTTTGGTTTCCCGAAACATAGAATTGTCAGTTTAGAGCACTATAGCAAACACAGGGGCATAGGAATAGAGAGGATTGTAGACGTACCGACTATGACGACCTTGTCCTTGGGATCCTTCTTCTCAACCAACGCCTTAATCTCGTCGAAGCTCCAGATGCGACTCCCCGGCACCTGGCTCTCCGGGCCAGCAGAATACCACCGCACGCCAGCAGCGCCTACACTCTTGCTCCATCTCGTCGCCGGCAACGGCCGAGTTGTTGCCGCCGCAGAGACGACGCTCGAGAACGTCCTCGTGGCTGCGCGTGCCGAGGTTATAGTGGCTGGGGTTGAGGCGGCGGCGATGCGGCGCAGCGGGAGCCGCTGGCAGACTTGTCTGGTAGCCATTGCTTCTTGCTGTGATTTACGGCGTAAGAGAAGAATGAAAGGGATCGGTGTCGGAGCGAGATGTTGCAGATCCAAGAGCTGTTGTGAGGAGAGAAAGCGAGGGAGAGAGATGCAATGCGCTCAGCAGTTGATAGGTTGACGAGTTGCCGCTGATATCCACCGGCTATCGAGGATACTCTTCAAGAAGCTCGATCGAACCAGCTTGAAGCTAACCAGCACCAGCACCAGCAACCAGCTCAAGCTGCTTCACTTTAACCACAACACCAAACACACATTAATGATACAATGCAATGCAATGCAATGCAAAAGCGATAAGCCCAGCAGCTCAAATTAGTCGAATACTTGGGCAGCCCTCAGCTCCCCGAATAATTCGTCAAAGTTGATCCGAACGAAAAGTCGCCCCGCGACGTCATCCGTCATGTGGGCAGCTGAAAACCGACAGCTTCCTTCCCCAAATGCTGAGAGACGCATATGTCCTAATCACCGTTTCGCCGGACGATAGCCTACCGATTTACTTTCCTTTTCCTTTTTCCCTCTTGACTTTACAGAAATCCCTGGTCTGATGCTGCATCCATCGATGATTCACGAGGAATTGGATCCTCTTCGTGCTTCTTCTATCCTTGTCTCGTGTCAGCCCATATCAGCTGAGCTTCTACTGCATTTGGACCAAATCTCATCACCCCAGACACAAAGAGCATACGCTCGACTGATCAATCTTCTTCTTGTCCTCTTTATTCGTTCCATCAGCTCAACCTCGTCCCCCTCGTGGCGCTCAGCAGTGAACCACGCCGCCGCCGGGTATTATCTAAAGAATTATATACAGTGATGGGTATTAAAAAAAATGTACCGTGCCCCCTTGTGGCCCTGATGCCAGGCCGAATCCTGAACTCCAGTTATTAGTGCCAGGGCAGCTCAGTGTTCGGCAGCGCCCGTTCCTCGCTCGACAAGCTGATGCCGCTCATCTGCAAAGGAGAAACGCCGCCTATTGCCATGGCCGACATCGCCCACGGACTCTCATATATCGCCTCGATATTCCAACATCTCATATATGCCGGCTGACTCGACTTCAAAGATCTCGGTCTTCGCTGTTGCGTCTTGTTCTTTTTTTCATTTTTTCTTTCCTTTTCATTCAGTCATGCTTTTTCCATTCTTTCCGTACACTCTATTCATTTCCTCTCCTCGAAAGTAAGAGGGCAGTCATCCTACTCCATTGTCAGCATGATCTTCTTCAAGCTCGCCCATACCCGAAGATGTCTTCCTTACCTTGGGGAAAATCGTGGCAAACACCTTGATCTCCTCTGAGAGAGGGGTAGCGTGATGAGTCCAGTTCATCTGCACAGACGCCTTTCCGAGCATCAGGGCCAGGTTGAGCTGCGCATAGACTTGGCCCAGACAGTAGTGAGCACCGGTTCCGAACACCAGGTAGTTCTTGGCGCCCTTGGTTTCGGCATCGCCCGAGTAGTATCTCTCGGGGTCAAAGTAGTCGGGGTTCTCATAAACATCGGGATCGTGCAGGGCCATGTACGTCGTGGGGATCAGCATGGCACCTATCCGGCAACATTTCAGTCAGTATTCAAGAACAAAAAGCACTCTAGTGAGGGGACGCGGCTTACCCTTGGGGACAGTGTAGTTCTCGGTGATGGGGAACGGCTTCTTGACCTTGTACGGAACCATGAGCACAGGCGGGCGGTATCGCAGAAGCTCGCGGACGACGGCACGGGTGTAGGTCAAGGACTCGAGCTGATCCATGTTGAGCTCGGCATAGGGGTCACCGTTGCGGACCTTGAGGTTCTCCTCTCGGACGCGGTCGAGAACGTCGGGTCGTTGGGCGGTAACCTGGAACAGCCACGTCGCGGCACTGCTGGTGGCATCCTGGGAAGCGAAGAGGAAGGTGAAGATGGTCTGCGAGATTTCATAGTCTCGGAACATGCGCAGCATGGGCGCCGGCTTCACCAGGCCCTCGGTCGACAAGCCCTTCTCTTCAGCCTCGCGCCAGCGCTCCGACTGGATCATCTGCAGAATCCAGCCGTCCATGATGCAGGTGACGTCTCCTCCGGCAGCCATGCGGACCTTGCTCTTGGCGGCACACTTTGCGAATTCGGCGAGAACCATGTCGGCCGCCTTCTTTCCGTACCACGTCTTGGTGTATGGGAGGATGATGGGGAAGTTGACCAGCTCGAGAGCGGCGGTGATGAGGTAGTAGTCGTCGGCAATCTTCTTGACAGCCTCGTCGGAGATGTAGTGTCCGACAAAGGTGCGGCAGGACACGGCGCACATCAGCTCTCGGAACTCGGGCATGAAGGGAACGGGCTTGCCGCCATTCGCCTTGGTGACGTCGAGGAAGCGCTTGAAGTACGTCTTGTACACCTCCTCCTGGCCGGGCAGATAGCATTCGAGAGCCTTGCGGGTGAAGAGACCGTTCAGGCCCTTTCGGAAGTCCACATGCGGCTTGCCGTCGAGGAAAACCCAGTTGTCCTCTCCGAGAAGCTTGTACGCGGCATCGACAACGCAAGGCTTGACGTACGCCGGGGAGTTGAGGACCTTGCGAGCCATGTCTCGGGTGGACGCAATGACGACAAACCTACGAAATCCCATGTTAGTCGCGATCTCTTCCCGTCGCCAACTCCTCGAAATACGCCGAATGCGATTCAGTCGCGTCAAGACTCACTTGTGGAAGACAGAGACGCAGCTCAAGGGACCGCTCTTCCACTTGGCATAGTACTCCTCGAATTTGGGGTCCATAGACTGCAGGAAGGGTCCAATGAAGGGTTGCTTCCATGCCGGGCCGACAATGGAGCCCTTGTTCATGAGGTAGCTGACTGTTGGATAGCGACAATTCGTCAGTTGGGTCAATTCTCTCGGGCGAGCCGCCGTGGGCCTTCAGAAATGCATAGGGCGCAGCAACATACTCTGGTCATAGGCGACGCAGACGGCCAAGATGGTGAAGAACCAGGTCCACGCGCCGGCGTTGGCAATTGTCTCGATCACATAGTCGACCTGAGGAGGCACGTTGGCGCCGACATATTTCGAGTTGGCGAGGACCGACGTCAGGACGGAGGACGCCCTGGTGGCATTGTTGAGTGTGTCCATGGCGGATCCAAGGAGAGAAGAAGAAGCTGGATTCGGATGTTATCTGCTCCCAAGCTCTCGCGGTGTGTCTCTCTTCTCTGGCTAGGACACGATATGATGCTGCTGCTGCCTCTCGTGCTGGAGTCGCAGTACCACCGAGCCTGACAGGACAAACAGTACCTGGAGGAAGAGAGAACCGACGGGGGCAAGCGAGTGACGGCGATGGGGATATAAAAGAATTGAGGGTCGACAGGGGGGGGAGAAAACAAAAAGGCGCCGGGTCAAAGGCCGTCTGGGGTTTAGCAAGAGGCCAGATACAGGCGAGTGACTTCCAGCTGCGACTAGCAGTACCTCCGGACTTGAGATGTGGTGCGAGATGCGGGCGAGACGTTGAGCTGCTTTGGCGCTGGAGCCGACCCACGAGTGCGGTGTGCAGGCGCTACGGAGCTGGAACGCGGAGGTATCTGCCCAGGTACTGGACGAGTATTGCCTGGGTACAAAAGGTCGAGGTACAATCGACGGAGGAAACCACCTCAGATGCTCATCTGCCTTTTGACGGCAATAGCAGGAATGAATCCTGCGAGCGCTGCTCCTCTGCTTTCGAATAAGATGCTACTACCAGTTCCGAACGAGTACGAGTATTACATCCCAGGTATGCAATGTGTGTAGCATTGACGAGCAGATGGCGCAAACGCCTGCTGACGGAGCAGCAAAAAGAAGAGATCAATTTTTTATCCAGGTCCTTTGCCCGATTTCGAGCCGACCCACGGCGTCTCCACGAGCCAAGATGCAGCTAATCCGCCTCCCCTGTGTGGTTGATTGCAGCGGTGGTCCCCTGCCAATTTTAATCTTGTCTCTCTTTTTTGGCTCTTATCGATTCTTTCTAGTGGCGGAGAAAAAGAAGACTGGAGCGGGAGGGCAAAAAACATGACAGCATGGCGTTGCGTGAATCGCCAGCCAGCCTTGCGCTGGTACGAGTACGGACCACGGACGGAGGGCGGAACACGGAGTACAAGCTGACGATGTAAGTGTAAGTTGTGTGTGAGTTGGACGTTTTCCTTCATTTCTTCCAATTCGTCTTCCTCTCCTTCTCTCCTCTCTTGGCGATTTGCAGTCACATTTGCCTGCTTCTCGCCCGGATCCTTGCCGTCACCTTTTTGCTAGTACTAGTATTATTAATATCCATACAAGTTCGCGCCGCGGCGCCTTCGGCTTTAGGCTTGATGCCGTTTCCACCACCTCACCCGCGACCTAGGACACATGTACCCGTTAATTAACAGCCCACCTATCCCACTCGTCTATCAGGCGTGATCGCGTACTTTTGCAACCGGGCCCTGGATCCTGGCATCGGGAATAGTGCTGTTGGGATGTCAAATTGCCAGGTCCAAGCTCAGCCCAAGACGGAGAGAGAGCATCATAATACAAGGCTCGCTGCTGGCCGGGTGTCATCCCGTCGATGGCAGGGTGCTTGAGCTTACACGAGATTCATTGCAAGGGAAGAAAACGATCAGAGCTTTGCGCCGTGATAACTATCGATAAGATGGCTTTGACATCTCTTGAGACATTGAGTCCACCACGGCCGAGCATGAACCATCAGGTGTTGACTGCTGCTGCGAAGTACACCATACATATCAGCCTGGAGACGGCTGTGGGATGTGTGTGAACAAGGAGGATCGCCCTCTATCAGGAGCCTATCCCGTTGGAGCTTTCTCTCTCGACCCGAGTTGACCGGAGTCTCATCACTCGTAAGAGAACTCGTATGATGATACGCCTCTGCAAATGAGGAGCGTCACTCTTGTTTCTGTGCGAAGCTCTCACGCGACTCTGAGAGATTGCTCCTACTCATGCTGATTCTCGCAGCTCGGTCCTCCTCACTGTGTTGGCGGGTGTTACTGCTTCGCACCACCTCCGCGGACAAGAAAGGGGGGCTGCTCCAGAGTGTACCGATCAGGCAAGTATACGAGACAGTGCGCCGGACTGTCAGCTCGTACTCCAGCTTGAGTGTACTCGTACCTCGAACATTGCACAATTCTGCAGCGCTCGCCATCGGCGCATTCGGATTCGGACTCACACAAGACACACAAACAGCAACTCGCGCAGCATCAGATCCAATCTCGTTCCTGTGGCCCCAGCCCACCAATGGCAGCCGCCCGCTCGCCCAAGCGGTATGTACAAGTCCGTTACAGGCAATCTCTGGATCCCTTGCAGCCAGAAAGTGTCGCAAAAACGGCAGCCTGCCGCGTTAAACTACGATTCTGTTGGGGCGCCTCTCGACAGCCGCAGCCAATCGACTTTCACCAAATCCAGCCACGCCCGTCCCGCGTATCGAACACGAATACGAATAAGTGCTTGCTTTGTCTCCAAGCGTGCCTTTCTGCTGTCTCGGCCCGCTTTTGGGCTGCTCACGCTCCGCTCGTTTGTCCCCTGGCCTTGTCTCGTCCTTGCCTGTAGCTTGACGCCTTGAAGGATCGTCTGCGATTACGGTCACTAAAAGGAAGCTCACAGCTACATGTACATACGATGGACTATCGAACTGCCCTCTTGTCCCACGCGCGTGCCTGCAATTCGCCCTTGAGCTCCGGACTGGCTGGTGCACCGCAGGACGCAATTCGAGCTCAGACCCAGCCCAGCCCGAGCCGTCCGGACGGTAGTCTAGTCTAATATGTACAGCCAGCCACGCATCTCGGACCAGGTGCCAGACATCCAAGCGGCATGCTTCTTGTACGAGGCCTATCAGCGCGCGCCAGGGCTCTACGGCTGGCCTGGTTTGACTTTATATCAATGCTTACTTTCCGCGTCCGCTGCCCTTCTTCCCGACATCATCAGGCGCTCATGGGTTCCTCGGCTGGGCAGTGGTCCGAGGGAGCGGCTACAGCAGCCCCCCCCCGGCCCATGCTCATGCTCAGGCTTTCCTTTCCGGATCTTCCCCAGTGAGGGAAACCCTTGAGCTGTCCGAGCTGACTGACATCATTTTTTTGGCCACTGATGGAGCGAAACGCGTTGGTTTTGAATCATTTAAGATTTGCTTTCTGCATCTCACTGCTGGTATCAGGGGCATGGCAAATTGCTGTACGGGGTATGCGGCGAGTTTCGGAGAAGGATGGCATTGGGTTTGCCTGCTGCGACAAGGAGCACTCCCCGTACCATCTGCAAACTCCTTCGCCAAAGTACAAGTAAAGGTTGCCTGCATGCATGCGCGTTTACCCCCGGCTGCGTTCGGCTATGTAATCAGTTTGGGCATGAACTGGATGATGGTTGAAGTGTTGCTTATGTAAGGAGTCACGATGACTATCTTGTTACTACTTCCCGGGTAAGCGAGCAGTTGCAGTCGCTGCAGACCACAGCGTCGTCCCCATCTCACATGATACGATGCATTTCACAACCTGTCCTGGCGTTTCTCAAGCATTCTGACGGACAAGCGACAAGAAACTGAAGCAACCAACCCCAAAATCGACGTCATTGAAGCCACCGACGTGGTGGTGCCACCCCCCTTGTCCTAGCTGCCAAAAGGCCTTTCCTGCCTCTAACACACACATCCCGTAGCACAAGTCTAACCGCAGCCTAACGATCGTGCCATCCCCATTCGTAGCTGGACAATGTCTGCAAGGCTGTGTCTCAATCCTGCCAAAAAATGATGAAATGAAATGACGGCGTACGAGTACTAACGCCCCGTCTGCCTTACTTCAACAACTTGAGCTGCACTCATGTAACTCCTGCTTACATCATGGCAGGCCACGTCCCTGTATGGAGGAGACTACCTACCGTAGTAAGGCGTGCTGCGGGAAGGAGCGTGACGTATCGATACTGGCGACCTGCTGGGACGGGTGCTGTCACCACTAACACCACTATTAATATGGGGGACGGCCTCAGCTTCCTCCCCGCATCATCATCAATCTCTACTGCAATCGCATCTCAACGACTACAGTTTCTGTCAACATCTACCACATTCAAGATGCCGTCCTACATCGTGAGTAGTAGTCCCACTGCTGTCCTTGGCCTTGTAAGAAACATGCACTGACGAAGGCTTCTCTCGATTTCTCTATAGGTCACCCTCAAGGAAGATGCTTCCGATGCCGACCTCGCCGCGTAAGTCGAACCCCTCTTATCCAGCTTTGACTGCGCCGACTCGACATACTGACGCAACAATAACTTAGGGCCAAGAAGAAGGCCACCGACGCCGGTGCCAAGATCACTCAGGAGTACAGCCTGATCAAGGGCTTCGCGTGAGTCTACCATCCCCGAACGAGACGGAAACATGTTCGTTTCCTCGCCATTGTGGTGTTCCGATGGCTGACGACTTGGGTTTTGCCACCAAACAGCGTTGAATACCCCGAGGGCACTGTTGTCGCGCTCGACCAGGAGCCTAGCGTTCAGTCTGTCGAGAAGGACCATGTTGTCACCACGCAGTAAATGGGTGTAGAGCTCCTGACGATGCTCATGATGATGATGCCGGCAAGACCTACATAGACGGGAAATAAACATAGAGTCTCTCTTCAACGTGTTGGAACATGTCTTGCAGCCACATGCTCTATCTGTTTATCAGTGACCATCTAAACATCGAACGCCAGCACCTTGATGCCTGGCCCTCTGGTCCCTGAACCAGCCAAGGTCGAGCTGCCCCGCCATGGATCTCGCGATTCCCCTCCTTTTAGCCTCTGGCTCCCGGTGACGTGACGTATGTGCCTGATAAGGGTGGGGGAGCCAAGCACGCCGTTATCGCCATGTGACCGACCCTTCACCGGTCGTTGACATTGGCATACGATATGCTGGTTGCTGGACCGAGGATGCAGTGCACTGACGGTATCCAATGATCAATTACTATTCCAAACACCATAACTGGCGGCTGACTTAAGGCGTTCGTACCACCACCTCTTCTGCGCAGCTTACTTTGCGCTGATGCCCGTGATTCGCCCAGCCTCTCCAGAGCTTGTGCCGCCAGTGGCCTCTTCCGTTTGAACCGGCTCACCACGGCGCCGGCATCCGCTATCCCGCAGCTGGCCAGGCCCCAAGATCCCGGACCAACTCGCTCTTACATACTCCATACATACTTTCCTATCCATCAACTGTCGATCTCTCTATCGACTTACTACATATCTTACTGTTCGCAACTTCGTATTACTCGCCAGTCGAATGAGCCAACGATCGCTGAGCTGCTGACCGACGAACGGACATTCTTACTTATCGATTACCCTACGACGATACAAAAGAGAAAGACGCGAAGCAAGCATATGCTGTTCGTGATATAGACCGGACCGGTGTGTGGCTTGGCGCGTATCTTCGGCTGCGTCTTCTTCCCATTGCCGGTTGGCGCCGACTGAGACTCTTTCTCTCTCTTTGACTATCCGACTGTCGAATCGTCACAGTCTCAGCCTTGACTCGCCGCTCTCTTCACCCCCTTGCATAGCGAGATGCTGCCATGACGGCCCTGCTCAGGTCCACGAGGCAGCTCCGGCCGTTTGCCATTCGAGCCCCGGCCATTCTGCAGCCCCAATGCCGGCGGCGCTTCACCTCGGGCAAGACACACGATGTTTCCGACTCCGACATTGCGTCTCTCGCCAGCTTGCCCCAGCATCCGTTGCGACTGGCCGACCTCGTAAGGTAAGCAAACAGCCCGCAGCTCATGCCCATCTTCAAGAACGCTTCAATCGGCATGGTAGTGTTAACAATCTCCCTTCGTCCAGACAAGGCAGGCCGCCGCTTTCCGAGAGATCGCTCCTCGCATCCGCCAACTTCACCCTCTCCCTCATTCCGATCCGCCTCGCACGTCGCCTGCAGGCCCTCCAGAACCTCCCGTACATTGTCGTCTCCAATCCGAACATCTCGCAAATCTACAACAACTACCTACACTCCCTCTCCATACTTCTTCCCTACTGGCGGACCGCCTCCAAGGGCCGCGCCATTACCACTCTCGACGACGAAATCAAATTCACCAATGTCCTCGCCGAGCTGGTTGCCACCCATACCGACACCATCCCCATCCTGGCCAAGGGCTTCCTCGAGTGTCGCAAATACATCTCGCCAGCGGAGGTGACGCGCTTCCTGGACGAGCATCTGCGCGCCCGCATTGGCACTCGCCTCATCTCGGAGCAGCACATTGCCCTGCACTTTAGCAGCCAGCCTCATTTCGATCCCGGCGCCAGTCCCACGCCGTGCCCCGAGCATCCCACATACATCGGCGTCATTGACACGGCATTGAAGCCTTCGGTGACGATTGAGTCCTGTGCCGGCTTTGTGGCTGACATCTGCGAGCTGCGGTACGGCATACGGCCGAAACTCATCATCAATGGCGAGCCCGAGACGACGTTTGCCTTCTTGCCGATGCATCTGGAATACATCATCACGGAGCTCTTAAAGAATGCGTTCCGAGCGTCCATCGAGAGCAGGTCAAACGAACCCATTGTCGTCACAATCGCCCCTGAGCCGCCGCTCAAGCACCAGCCCGGCGAGCTTCCAGACATCAAGCCGCCCGCGGAAGACCTAGGCCCCTTCAAGAGCGACGCCATCAAGCCCCTGGACGATAACGCTCCGGGCGTGACGATTCGCATCCGAGACCGCGGCGGCGGCATCCCGCCGGATGTCCTCCCCAACATCTGGTCCTACTCCTTCACCACCTTTTCCGAAGACGACGACATCCCCGACTCTGGCGGGCACGACGGATTGAACGCCATTGCAACCGCCAGTACGGGCGGCAGCTCCATTGCCGGCCTGGGATACGGTCTGCCGCTAAGCAGGGCCTATGCCGAGTACTTTGGCGGCGGCATCAACGTCCAGAGTCTGTACGGATGGGGAACGGACGTCTACCTCCGCCTGAAGGGCGTCGGAAAGGTCGATAAAGGCGTGAGCGACGATGCGGAAGAAGAAAAGTGAAGACCGCGGATGAACAAAATAAGCGCAATGATATAACCTACATATACTTACTCGAATGCCCCGGAGGCAGCCATTGTTGGCTACAGCGAGATGGAAAGATGAGACAAGAAATGGGAATGCAAAGCGTGAGTAGGAAATGCTGTTTGCTCGATGGCCTGTATATCTATGATTGTTGATAGAAAGCGGGCAAATATGTCTAACGATTTGCCAAACTGTTTCCAAAGCTTGCAAATACATACAATTTTTCAAACATAAATTGTCATGCAAAGGACCACATATAACACCAAGCCTGTACGAACTCGATAAACGCATCCCTTCAAGGTATACCGCTTTCACCCCTACACATCACCGTCTCACAATCGTCCCTCTTCTATTTTTGCAGACTCACCATTATAGAACTCTCAAGTCAAAGATACAATCGCTCAATAAAGAACAGATACCTATTATTAACAATCGCTACTAACAACTTCCAAACAGTAATCGACGCATCCAATTCGTAACCCAATGACTTTCTTCAATTCTCACTTCTTCTCTCTTCAACACAAGACGACACAAAAACAAGGCGAGCAAGACAAGACAAGACAGCAAGGCTTGACTTCTTCGCTTCCCATAAGACCCATAAAAACGCCAAATATCTTTGCCATGTAACAAGTATTGCTGATGCAGCTCCTCCTTCTTTTCTCATGTTTTCTTCTTTTGCTCTTTGCATTGTAATGATAGTTTCTCCTGTGATCTCGTAGAATGTAACCGTTTTTCCATAGTCAAGTTCATTGTATGGACTATCGTACGGAGGAGTTGACAACCTCTCCCCTCCCCAAATGAATGATTAGTACGAATGTAAATAATGAAGAGAAAAAGAAGGTAGTCAGCCAGGGCTCTTGATCATCGGTACGCTCGTTCATCGTCTCCATCAACACATGCCACATTGCATTACATGTTTTCCAACTCCCGGTCGATCTGCTTGTCCACAAACGTGCGACGCTCACCAACCAGCTCCGTCTGCAGACGCTGCTCAACGAGCGCGCGAACCTGCTTCTTCGTAACGGTGTCGAGGTCAACGTCCCGCAGCACGGCCTGGATGGCTTCAATGATGGCAGCATCCGACGCAACGCCACCGGCAGCTCCCATGAAGTCAAACGAAGCGGTCGATCGGGCTGCTTCATGGCCTCGGCCGAAGCTCATGGCGGAAGAGGAGCGGTTCATGCCGCCAAGTCCAGGCGAGGGAGTCAGAGTCAGGTTGGATGGGCCACGGGTATGCATCACACTCGTACGCTGGGGGAAGTCCGAGTATGGCGACCCGCTGCGATCCTGAATCGCAGTACCCAAGGACATCATCGACTGTCGGTGCTGCATGTAGGCAGGGTCGCCCATTTGGCTGGCGGCAAACGGCGCAGGGGAATGAGGCTGGGGAGGCATGTATGTGTTGCGGCCCTGCATGCCGGTGAGGACCGAGCCCTGGGGACCCGCAGAGTAGACACTCTTCATTTCGTCCATCTCGTACTCGCCATAGGCCATGTCCTGCTTCTCATGGGCAAAGTAGTTGCCACGGCGGCCCGGCAGGCCGTTCATCAGAGCGTAGTCGTCCCAACGCTGCAAGGGGATGGAAGCCGGGTTGAAGCCCTCATCGTCGACAGCAACCACCTGCTTGTTGCCCTTCTCTCCGATGACGACACGAGTGTTACCCCAGGAGAAGTTGTCCTGGTTCCAGAAGGAGTAGACGGGAAGGGCAAACGAGTAGATGGGATAGGCAAGGATGTAGATAATCATCCATCCAATGTGCTGCCACTGTCTCTTGAGGATGAAGATCAAGGCCTGGAGACCGTAGACGGCAGCCAGAATGACAAGAGACCAGAGAGGGAACGATGTCGGGTGCGTGGCGACGCTGTAGATCATGTAGCCCAGGTACGCACATGTTGCGGGAAGGATGATGGTACCGAAGAGATCGATGAAGACGATGAATCGCATGCCAAAGAAGCAGAAGCCACACATGTCCTTAAGTCGGAGCAGCTCCACCAGGTTGTGGATGGTAGAGTTGATCCATCGTCGACGTTGGGACAAGAGAACGCTCCACGACTCTGGGGCCGCTGTCTTACACTGAGCGTGAGGGAGGAACTTGAACTGCATGTTCGGGAAGTGCTTCGTCATCAGAGTCGTCAGGTATCGATCCTCACCCAGGGACAGGAGGTTCTTCTGGTGGAGTGTATCCACGTCGCAGACGCTGTAGTCTCGAATGACTTGGTCAGAGATGATCAAGGGCTTGCCCTTTTCAGCTGTCCGCAGGCGATACATGGTGAAACTAGAGCGAGCATACACATGTCAGTCGATGATGTTCCAAACTTAGTCCAGAACTTTTGGGTTCACTTACCATCCAGGCAAACAGGTAACGCTGCCGAACAGAGACTCAAAGGCCTTTGCCATGTGATGAGAGATGTAGTATTCGTAGACTTGGATCATTGTCCACCAAGACTTTTGGTCGTTCTCCAGGCTCGTCTCGCCGCAGATGCCGGCAATTTTAGCATTGTGAGCGCATGCAGCTACCAGCCTGTTGAGGGAGTCTTCCTGGACACACGTATCGGCATCAACCATGAGGAGGTACTCGTACAGCTCGGGGTCGACACCGATGACGTTGTTGATCTGATTGAACATCTCCAGCTCCAGCGGGTTCATGGGAGAACGGTGGTGAACACGGTTAAGGAAGCTCATCAGGAGGATCTGAGAGTCACGCTTGCCGCGGTTGCCGGGCTTGGCCTTAGTCTGCTCCGACTCCTTTCCGACCTTGACCACGACCAGGTAGGGGACCACGTTGCCCTCGTACTCATATAGACCAGAGTAGACCTTGGCATAGTTGAGTTGGTCACTACCGGGGCCGACGGCCCTGAACGCCAAAGCAGGAGGGTCAACCTTGGGGTCGACACCCAGGATGTCCAGAACGATCTTGGGCGTGGGACGGTCATTGCCTCCGCCGACGACCATACCATCGCAGATGATGCATATGAGCTTCCTCTTATTGTCATATTGCAGAGCCGTCAGCGAGTCGAGGGCCTTTCGCAGCGAGTCTTCGCCTTCTGTGTAGGCAGGGACCTGGCAAATGACAAACTTGTCCTGGGGAGAGGGCTTGCGCTTGGTGCTAAATTGCAAAGCCGAGACAAACTTGAGTGCGATGACGATACACAAGACGATCGTGAAGGAGAGAAGGATCCAGTTGTTGACCACGCAGCGAGGCGTCACGCGGAAATCCGTGCTGCCCTTGAGGAAGACACGCTGGATGCAGAGCCAGCTGTTCTCGAGGTTGGCGTGCACGGTGCTGTTGTTGTTGGGGTCGTTGAGGATAATGTCCAGCTTCTCCTTGATGTCCGTGCCGGGGTTGTCGCTCCACAGGTCGGTGATGTCCTTGTTGAGGAACGTGTAACGCTCGTCGTTGTTGTACACGTCCAGGGTGTGGAAATAGTTGGTCAAGTCGTAGATCTGGTCGCCGTACATGGCCCACATCCTTTGCGACTCCTCGCCTTCTTTCTTAACGTCCTTCTTCGTGTAGACCAGCTGTCCCTTGTAGAATTCTTCAATGGCCGGCTCAAACACATTCCAATACCAGTTCTCGTCAGCCAGCTTGCTGGTAGGATCGGGCTGAAAGTGACCAGAGGTGTGTACGGCCACGGAATATTGGACAGTGTTGTTGGGAATCAGCTGAAGCGTGTTGGGAACGCCGAGCCCAGGGCAGGCCACATTCAGAGGGGGCGGGAAGTAGTCATCCATGTCCATGCCAGCCAGGGGCAGCATCACATCCGAAGTGGTCTTGACGTTGGTATCGCTGTGCTGCTGCTTCCAGAACTTGGAAATGTCGTAGACGCCGCCACGGATACTGACGTAGAAATCGTTGGTGCCTTGATGAGTTGAGACTTGCTTCCGGTTCCAGGCCTTATCCAAGTTGGGGCACAGAACGCGTCCAAATCCGACAATCCAGAAAATGATGATGGCATTCATGAGAGCAATGAGCATGCACAGCGCCAGCTTTTCACGCCAGGCCATGCGAACGTCGGGGCGCTTCATGCCGCCGATATACCTGAGCAACGGGGACGGGATCCACCAGGTCATAGCCCAGGTGAACCAAACCCATGCCCGACGGGCGTTGTCGACCTCCTTGGTCTCCAGCTGCTTGTTCTCAGCCATTTCGGCGTCAACAAAGGGAGCGGCCTCTGGGTTGTAAAAGCCATCACCCCTATACAAGTCGCCCTTGTTACCCAGGCCATAGTCACCACTACGCATGGCACTTGGTGCAATGGACGGCGCGGCCTGAGGGGTCTGCGCCTGGCCAAGTGTCAACTGGCTCATATTGCCCTGGCTCATGCCGCGGTGGTGCAGCTGGTCCCGGCTGGCACTGGCCATGTTGTCCACGCCAGTGGGGGGGAAGTATCCGCTGCCATTGCCCGAATAGCCAGTGTCGAAGCCGTTGTTGAAGGGGTTGCTGTGGATGGGGTGGATTTCGTCGCCCGGCTTGACATCCAGCATGCTCTCCGCCTCCCACCAGGCGCTGTCGCGAATCCAGATGCGTTCCTTGCCGATGAAAACTTCGCCATTGGTCCAACCACGCTCCAGGATCCATGTCTCGATGCCTTCCCTGCCATCCCTACAGCCGAGGGGGGCATAACGCTGTACGAACTCGTCAACGTCAAAGTCGGCGGTGAAGTCGAGGTTTCGATGTCTGCGGTTGGCCCATTCCGGAAGCCTCCACGAGCGCAGCTGCCGAGAGACAGTGCCGGCCGACCATGCAGACGTGATGGAGGGCAGCGCCGCCAGGCTGGCTGGTGAATCATCGGTCGGGTGCAGGCAGAGATGATACCACAGCCGGTTGGAGCTGAGCACGGTGGGTAGATCAATGCGACCAGCCCGGCCCAGGTTGATGCCTTGGCCTTCTACTGGGAAGAGCAGGCTTTTGAGGAAGCTACCATCATCAGCGCCAAACGCAGCCTTCTCCAGAACGACCTCTCGCTTCTCCAATGCGTGCTGGCGCTCGCGGGTCTGAGGGCTCGGGACTCCCAAGTCCGCCGCTACCTCGGAGACAGCCTGCTGGACCTCTCTAAGGATCGAGGAGCTGGCCGGGGGGATTTCGAAGCCATCATTAATCATCTCGGCGTTGATGCCTTGAGTGTCGTCAAAGACGGAACGCATACACAGCGCCCTGCCAAGAGCAGGGTCGGGGACCTCGAGAACGGTAATGGCAACAGTGTCGCCGTTGTCCTCGTTCGAGGTGGGAGTGCGCACGCCATGGCCGTCCAGAGACTCATCGCCATCTCTTATGCGGACGAGCTGCGCAGCAATGGCGGCGTTGGCCTTTGAGATGACCCAGTCAACGAGGGACTCGTAGAGTCCGCCAACCAGCGTCTTTCGGTCTTCCGTGCTGCACTGGCGATGGATGACGTCTGGGTCGATGCCGAGCAGGCCACCGACATCCTCGCAAATCTCCTCGAGAGCTTCGGATTCGATGCTGTAATCGAGCGTGTCGCCCAGCTTGAGCAGGCCGGCCAGGGTCGAGATGAAATTTCGGTGAGCTGAGCCCTTGATGCCAATGTCCTTAAGAGCCTGGCGGAAGTCGTCGGCCGCCGCGGAGTCATCTGCAGTGGGCAGGTAGGACGGCGGGTCGTAGGTGCCAGATCGAGCCAGCAGGGCGTAAGCAGAGGCCGATTTGAGACCCAAAAACTCCCTCTCCGCGGGCGTGGATGCCGATGTCAAGAGGTAGTAGAAGACATCGAAAGCGCGATAGCCTGCCTCGGCAGGAATGTTCAGCAGGCCCGCGTCGGTGTTGATCCCACCCTGGGAGAGAGCCAGCGTAGCTCCAGTCAGGTTGCCGGCGAGGTTCAGAGACAATGTCACGCCCAGGCCGGCTTGCCTCTGGGCCGCTGGGTTCTGCGGAGTGACGCATCGGAGAAGCGGCTGGATGGCCTCGAGGGCCTTGTAGACGGAAGACGGGATGGCAAACGGGAACGAGTTCAGGAAAGGCACAAGGAGGGAGGGGGTCGACTGGTGCAGAGAGCTGGGCTTCTCGTTAGCTACCGTTACGGATGCGATCTGGGGAATTCTGGGCTTCATTCTCTTACCCCAAGACGACGCAGCCATCTTCTGCACGCCGCCTGGCATGCTCCCAGGCCCGCGATGCCAGTGTAGCGTCGACGGCGGGACCGCCCTGGGCAGCTGTGAGCCATGTGTTGACGACGACGCTGGTGCTCGCATCCAGCTGATGCGGCTGTGAGGTGAGATAGATGTTGTGGATGGCGTTGAGCAGGGTGGTTGTCGAGACCTGCGTGGTCTGAGGCCCGCCACCAGCTCGAGCCTCCGAGGCCATGGAGAACATGGAAAGTCGGTTCGCCATGACGGAAGAGGAGTGGGCGTGAAGGCCCTCGAATCGACGGTGCGTGCTATAACGATGCCGCGCAGATTATTCCGTATGCTTGTGTGTTAAATGCGGTTGATGCTCTCCTTGCTCTTGTTGTTATTGCTGTCTGGCAGGCACCAATTGTGTGCGACCGGTCCAACAGCAGCAAACAAGGCTATGGAAGAGAGGAGAGCCAAAGGGGCAAACCAAAAAGAGAAGATGAGGGCGAGGGCGATGATGGGGATGGAAGATGGCCTGCTGATGCAATGCGAAGCGAGAGACGAGAAAGACGGCTGACGGAGTGTCCAAGGCGCGACTGCCGTGTTGACTCCTTTTTTTTTCTGCTTCACCCCCGGTCTTTGCTTTTTTTGCTCGAATTATTAAGGTGCTATTTTTCGGCGCAAGAGACGTCCAAGACGGATAAGGCAGATAGAAACGATACACAAAGTCAGACGGAACAAACAGACGATGCAGAGAGCGAGCGATTGAAAGGAGAGCTGCCAAAGCGAATGAGGCAACGCTCACCAGAGGTGGTCAGAGGGAAAACAGCAGAGGGAAAAGTCTCGCGGCTGTGGCAGCAGGATGAATTCGATGGAGGTTGGAGGAGATGCCGTGAAGGCGCTAGGAGGTTGAGCACTGCCAGGTAAAGGCAGCATACAGCAAGGTACAGCGAGGTACCTGCTGGCTGGTGCTGGCGGATGGCGGCTGTGGCACACCAGCAGAGCTACAGGGGCATCCGCAGTAGCCCGTGGAGCCCTGGAAGGGGGGGTGCGCCAAAGAATGGGCCACCTGTAGCGATCCGGCTGCCACCGTCAATGGCGCACAGTAGCGGCGGGTACTTGGAGGTACTTGCCCAACCGGGAAACAGGGGCCCCCTGTCCAACGTGAATGGCTGGACGGTAGCGGGCGGTTCTGCTCACTGAACGCCGTTCCCGCTGACGCCTCAACTCGGGGGGTCAGCCACGCTTGCTAGCAGCAAGTGGTGCTCTCTTAGAGCTCAAGGGCTCTGTGCTAGCAGCAAGAGCCAGCACTGGTGGTACGAGTACCTGCGCATATCACACCTTGGTGCTGATGATGCTGTAGTGGTACAGACAGCGGATGCTGATGTTGTTAGCGATCCAGCGTTGGGCTCGGGCCTGGTTGTTAGCACAGGGGCTACAGGCCCGTTGGTGTCGTATACCGGCTCAGCTGAACGCAGTCCTTGCTCTCCATCGCCATCGTACCCAGAGGTACCTCGTAACCCCCCCGAATCTCGATCAATCCACTGAGCCTCGATGGAGCACCTTGTAGGTACCGTGGATGTACTGTGGTATGTGCGAACTGCAGCTCCCAGAGTGCTGTGCATGCCCTGTGAGGTAAGGTATCGACTGGAGAGCAGCTCCGTACAGTACCTACGGGGTACGACCAGCAGGTGGGAGAACCGGGTACGAGGCAGTACCTCCGAGTTTCTGCGCGCTTCTCGTGCCCACCGCGCGGTCCATACCAGCGCCGCGCCGTCCAAATACTTTGAAGCGAGCACATTTAATTTACCGTTATATGGGGTATCATGGAATATTCCACGGCCTGGAATCGCACCTCCACACGTCCTGCATTGCTCAGATGCGGATATAATACTCCTGCCTGCCATGGCGCACCGCGTCCTCGGCGCCCTCCCTGGGAGACGGGCCCGGAGTGGGCGGATGCAGCGACTGCAGCAATACGAGCATCTGTCCGGCGACGCCTTGACGCATCAATGCTGTGGTATCAGCGCGGCACAATGACCGTCTCAAGATGACTTGACTGACACGGCACCACCAGCATGACAATGCTCGTATTTTACCTCTTTTTTTGCTCTCCTGTGAGGGGCACACGACCGATGATGGGCGGCTGTGCTTGATCGCGGGTCCAGACAGAAAAAACTAGACCTCGTACTTTGCGATAGCGGACGGCTCCGTTGAAGACGATTGGCTGAGAAACAAGAGAAACACAAGCTCAGCAACTAGGAAACCTAAGATAGAAGAGGAAGATGGGCTAAAGAACCCTAAAATAACCAACAAATGGTGTTTTTCTTACATGCGGGGAGAGGGGCAATGAGAAGTTGGATGTATGTAAGCCCACAGGACTTGAAGCAATCGCGTTGGCCACTTGCAGCTGCCAATGTGTGTACGTAGGTATGTATCGTACAGGGCATTCAGTGTCTTACGAGTACTATCTGTGCTCCGCGAAAAGGAACAGGTTCAAACTGCATTTTGATCCATGCGTTTTGGTGTGTTTTCCATGCGTTTCTTTTGCAGCTTGACACCCGGCATCCCTGTCGTCTGCATTCCGGGCTGCTCCGGCGTCTCATACCCACCTCGCCCCCGTAACTCTACGGAGCCGATGGGTACTTGTATGTACTTATACGTGGTGCTCGGAGCAACTTCGAGCAAGACATTCCGGCCGCACTGAGACTCGAGAATACCTGGGCGCAAGATTACATGCTTGTCGTATTATCAAGAGAATGATAATCTTTCTGTTATTTTTTTTCTCGGGGCGCCAATAATACCCAGATACTGGTGCTGCGCGCACGTTAGCAAATGCTCGCATTCATGGCAAGTTTTGTCGTCGACAGACTTGACGGCTGGATGCATCCGATGCATGACAATGATGGAAGAGTGTCTCGTGTTTCGGGAAAGCTTGCCCGTATTCCACCTGTCATCGGGTATATTTTAGGGGAGATCTGGCGACGATGGTTATAAAAAGAATGCCGAGCTGCTGCTGCTGCCAAGAAGTTGTACATACGAAGAGGAGCCCACGCACTCCGTTACAGTTCATAGAGTTGCCATTATTAGGGCTGTGTGCTGTCCTCGTTGCATACTCGCTGAGGTATGGCAGGAAACCGCCACCAATCAGGTATCTTGGGTATCAACTACAGTACCTCTCGGAACCCCTATTCCTTGTCATACTGAAAATAGGTACCTATAGATGGTAATCCTATCGTACGAGGTAAGCACACATCATGATAGGTAGTCTCTGTATATAGATAATACTGGTAGTAGGAGGTGAGATGCTGGATCTATTCCCATCACGGAGCGCTCCTTTTCTTCATCATTCAGGCTTCACGAAGACAAGCTTGTCCTTCCACGGCGCTGCTTATAGCCGCTCTCACCGGCAGCAGGCCAGCTTGCGGGCACTTGGAAATTGAATCGATCCGAAGCGAGGAACCCCGAGGCCACCCCTGGTCTTCCAGAACAAAAGACCGGCTTCCTCGCACCCGGTGGTTTGCAAATAGCACCTGTAGCTGAGAAGGGGTGAAGCATTCCTCAGTCACGACTTTGACCAGATGGAAAAGAGACTCTGAATGGTTTGATCTTCGTCTGCAGTTAATATCGATTTATTTCGATGTGTGTGTGTAACACGCGTACAAAAGTACAGCCGCTATGGCCTTGCAACGGGCTTCGGAACATGTGCATCATACAAGTGCTGTACATGGCCAGCAGATCAGATCGGCAAGCCCCGCTGCGATTAGTCGCAGACTTGTCCGTTCATGTTCCTGGAGGTACTCCGTACTTGTGTTCAGTCAACATCACAAGCTACGTGTTGCTAGGCGTACAAGTAGGTTCTCCTGCCAGTACTCGTACTCACTCATTACCCTGTTGCCGCGAAATATCTGAGGTGCAATGGATAATCGCTTCACGACTGGGCCACAGGGAGGTTTGGCTGGTGGAGGCAGAAAGAGAAAGAACGCGAGGACAGAATAAAGTCATTGACGTAACCCCCCCTGTCCCATATATATTACCATTCTTTCCTCATCTTTCTCCCCCATTATATTCATCCCTCTGCCTCAGTTGCGACGTGGGGATCCCATCATATCAGGCCATCAACACCTTGAACACCTCCACAACCCACCGGCCTCGATTTCCCTGCCATTCACAGTTCGTGCAGCAACGCCGCAAGAATACATTGCACTCTTCCTTGCAATGTTGTGGTTACGTCCGGGTACTTTGAGTACCACTGCAGTCTGCAGAGCCTGCAATCAGAACTCCATGTTTGCGTGAAGATTGGCGATGCATCTGCAGATTATATGCGAGGGAGGGCTTGCAAGGTGACATGAAGAACTACCACAGCCAATGGCTTTCCAAGATGCTGCTGTCTCTCTGCACTGCTGGTTCAGATATAGGGCAGACGCGTAATACTTCGTATAGAACCACAATATAGTCGTTTTTACGAACCGCCATACTTACTGGAAGCACTATTCGAATGCCTTTGTTATTCTCAACGCGATAGATAACAATACCTAATATCTCGGTCAGCACATGCTGATTCAGACTCTTCTTTCTCATGGAAAACAAAGCAAGAGGCATGCACGCAGTTACTACTACGAAAATGTACAAGTGCGGGCTTCCGGCACCGTGGACAGACAGGCTGTGTCTGGCTCCATCGCGACTGCTAATAATACTTTGCAGGCGGCATCACCCCTGGACATGTCCAGCATAAGGGGCGTACAGAAAGGCGAACTGCGCTTCTGCCGCCTGGCGCCCACCGGAGTCGTCCGTGATGCTAAAGCCACTCTCGCCACGCCCCCTTGGGGAGAGCGGGAAGGTACCAGTAGCTGCCGCTTGCAGCACCTGGAGTGGCGCACCCGGTACCTTGCGCCGGCCTCGAGAGAGGCACTAGCAGTTATCTGATCAAGTACCTGCAAGTACCGACCGGTGTCGACCCGCAGATACCTCCGAGTACTTCTGACCTTTACCTCGATTCTCACAGGCAGGCAGCTCGAACGCAGAGCAGGAGCACCGCGCCTCGTACCTACCCGCACCGCACCGCACCGCACCGGCTGGTGACTGCCTGTACGAGTATGTACGGTACTCGTATCCATCCACTGGAACTGCAGTGCAGTGCCTTAGCAACCTGAGTAAGCCGCTAACACCTACAGCCCCTTTCCGGGCGTGTGAGCAGTTCGCGGACGAAAAAAAATACCAACCAACCTCACCACTCAAACTCTACCAGAG